ACTGTTTCATTTGGGTTGCTGCCATGCACCAAATCATTTTCATTCTTAATGAGTTTAGTTAAAATTGAAGAGTTTCGAGTCTGCTATACCCGGAATTGAACTCTCCAAAAATCGTCCACAATTTCCAAACTAAGATTTAAATTAAAATGTTTTGTTATAGATGTAGTATGTGATTTTATTTCTCTGTGGAATCAATGGAACGGGTATTTCGAAGCGGACGATTAAAGACGCGATTTCTGCTCTGATGAGGTAGAGGCGTTAAAAAGAGGTGGAATTAGAGCTTAAGAAACAAAGAATTGTTATGTTTGGACTTGTAATATAAGGAAATACCCGATTTTTCATTTTGTTCATTCAGCCTCATAAACAATGGTTTAATTGCTTGTGCGTTATTAATCCAGTTTTCACTGATTAAAGAATAATTCTGTCGCACTACTGAGAAAAACAAAAACTGGTTTCAGGAAGCCATCTCAAAACACAGAAAAAAATCTTGCAGCCGGCATTGAAAATAGGATAATAACAAATCATTCTTGCAATCGTACCTTTTATCGAATAAAACTCAAATTAAGTATATCTTGTGGCGAAAATTTATGGGAAAACAAGATCACTGCATGAAGGACACTTAAAAAAAATTCAGGCTGTGGTGAAAGTTTATCCCCGTTTTCTTAACCTTTCTCTCAGTTTTAATATTTTTTAGTTTCTTTCAGCGATGAAATTGATTACTTCGAATAGCACGTTCAAACGAACAAGATTTTATTGTACAAGTGCTTCTAACATTTCGAAACTCTATATCCCTCCAATTATTCGGATTTTTAACTAATAACTTCATCCGTAAATGCATATGACTAATTTTACCATGCAGCTGAACACCGAGTAACCCACGTGAGCGAATGAAAATATCACCCGTCTTTGCATGAACGACTTTCACAAAGAAACGGTTTTAGCTTTCAGATTGAGTTAGCGTGCCTGACGAAATAGCTATTGAATTCGCTTCAGTTACGAGCTAACGACTTACTTTGTTTCATTCAAAGAAAACGGCTCTTTCATGAAATTTCTCACGAAAATTTCGTGAAACAAATTCTGAAAGCCCCTTTGAATCTTCGACCGGAAGCAGGTAAGTCCGTTAATGTTCCTTGAATGAACATGTCAAGCCTCCTATGCGTGGAACTTTGATATACCAGAACTGCGTTAAAAGTACGTCAGTACAGTTTAAGTAATTTAGCTAGCTTTTCCGTCTGCTCTCATTTCTTTCTCAGAGCAAACAACAATTGAGATCCCATCAAAATTCCGGAAAATTCTGTCATATACAGAAGCCTGCCATCAATGCGCGCGCCAAGCCGACAGAGGGATTTTCTTCAAGAGCGATTTTTTTCTCTTTTATTTTTTCAGAGTGTGTGGTCAGGCCTTTTTTTAAAGTTCTCGTTGCATGTAAATCATTTTGAAAACAAGGCCGAGATCATTTTCCATTAGAAAGGGAGCTAAAACTAACAAATCAATTGGTCGCGTTTCATTATAGCGCAAGGAGGAAGAGTTATAGATTACTTAGAAGACAAAGCAATTGTGTCAAAATAAATTAAATAAATTAAATATAATTTAATTAAATATTCTAATGTTCTTAATCTCTCTAATTTTCAAAACAGAGCTAGTGGGTCTCTATGTGATCGATTTTTGTGGTCAAAACAAGGGAGATGTTCATGAAAATGTCTTTGCATTTGTTCATTTCAAAAAAGAAATCTTTGATTAAGAACAAACTTCTAAGAAGAAGACAAAAGACGAGCTACAGGAGGGAATGATTTGTTTGGTGTGTTTCTGACGCGTGCGCATTACACGCAATAACAGGTGTAACTAAATCGTATGTTGGTGCTATTGTCGTTGTGTGTTTTCACTGACTTGTGAAGTTGCTATTATCTTTTCTACTTCTCTAAGCCCCACAAAAAAGAAAAGTTTCCTCTATCGTTTAAGTTTCACGAGGAAGCTGTCTTTTTTTTAGCGGCTTAAATCGCAAATGATCTTGTATTGTTCTCGAAGTGCGAAAAATTGGATGAGACGAGCAAAGTTGTGACGCGAGTTTCATTTCAGTAAAAGTGTTGAATCTGTCCGTCTACTGCGTTTGTAATATGAGCAAACATTTTACACTTCACACTAGAGAACTTTCCTTCGATGTCAGATTTCAGGCCAACTTTGCGGATTAGGAAAAAAATTATTTTCTGTTTAATACAGCAACCAACACAAAGTGTTTCTCTTATTGTTTTTCACGGCAGCAATTCGAATGATGAGAAGTAAACATTTAGGCTTTCTGCCGTAAAAAACAACAATTGCTATAGAAAAACTCTCCAATAAATTAAATTTGTGAATAAAATTAACTCTCACTGGATAAGTTGTTGCCAAATATGCCAGCAGAAAGGAAGTTATTCTGAGTAGCAAATGCAACTCATAATTATGAAATGCAGGGTAAAGAATCTAAAAAAGTCAAAAAAATTGTGACGAGAGGATACCCTGAACGAGTTTGTTCATAATTTTCGCTTATTTTGTCGAAACAAAGCCCAAGACTTATTAGAGATATTGTAAAAAGAAAGAAAGAAAGGTAAACGAGAATTGCAGCTGCTACGCTCCAAGATTTTCACATCTCATGGCGACTGAATATCTAATGTATTATTATCAGGCTAGTAGGTCAGGTGGCGCTCGCTACAAAGTTCTAAACGATAGCGACTTAAGTCGTTACTGGATCACGTCTAACCACTAAGAGCGAAATCTAAAAACTCGACTTCATTACATCACTCTGTGAAATTCTTGTTTACCAAAGGTGTATGGCAGAATTGGCTTGGCATGTTGTTCATGGCGCGGCTTGCACTAAAGACTTGCCGTTTAACTCTCATTTTTCTGTTTATCACAAAAAGAGTATTTCGTTCATCAAAAGAGAACAGAAGTAAAAAGGGATTATGCTTTATTCGGGGGAACATTTTCTGAGCTTAAGGTGAATTTAGTTATCACAGGCAATAAGTTGTCGGTGCCTTTTCATACGCTCGGTGACAAACGCAATCCACTGGCAAGTCAAGTCGTATCAGTTGCAAACCTTTTAGTCACTGGACAGTAAATTTTGCAGGAAATATCAAATGATGTGATTGTTTGTGTTTTTCAATTTCCCATTTTGAGCGTATTAACTTCTTTTCTATAGTTCTCCGATTGTGTCTTTTTCTTATTGAAAAGTTGATCATTTGTGCCTCGTGTCGATGTAAAAAATAAAAACCTCGCTCTTTCAAATACTGATAACTTCACACTTGCCTTTCAAACCGATAGTGATCATTTCTCCTTTATTCCATTGATAAAAATTACGCATTTTCGATTTCCCGCGTGTCCGTTTTCTCGTACGTGACCGTGCGGTGCGCTCCAAAAATATTGCGTTGTTCTGCGTGACGTGAGCGCATTGCGAGGGCTGACGCACCTACGCTTTGGTTTGTCAGTTACTTTATCACTGTGTTCTATTTTCATTTTAAAAAAACTAAACAAGAGTGCATATGATACGTGGGCTTCTACAATCAACAATGGTTCGACAACACAACACACACAGATTCAAATAGAGCTTGATGAAAAACTCAATCAAGCTGGGAAAGGGTATTATGACGAGCGTGCTTGCCGCCAAATGTAACGTGTAGAAGGGAATGAGTAAAGTTCAATACATTTATGACTGGTCTGATAGCTTGCTCAAACAACATCAATGTATGAGCGGGACCCGGAAATAAATACCACTTTGGCGATAGAAAACTGGACAATAAGTTTGTTGAGCAGTTGAAAATGTCCAATTTCAAGAGAATTTGTGCAAAAAAATTGTGTAGTTGTCCTCATCAATTCATATTAAAGCGTGGGAAAATTTTTCCATTAAACAGCCAACACTCACGAACCCTAAGAAATTCATTTAATGCAAAGATAAATTGCGAACATTACAAGGCCAGGGTTACTCAGATAGTATTTTTAGTAAAAAAGTCACCCGTTTAATTGCTGCAAAAAATTATCAAAACAGACAGAGATTGTTTGCTAATATAATAGTCAAGTTTGGGAACGACTTTTTTAGAATTGATGAAAAAGTGAATTTCATCGTCACCTGTATGTAGCGCGAACAATAAAATGCTAACTCATTTTCTCGTCACACAATACCAATTAGCGTACTTGATGTTCGGTTTCCACGGGGTTTTTTGTTTCAAAGCTTAGCCTCTTTTCTGCAAGAGCATTAAAATCAGCTCCCGTCAGGAGCTCGCATTCATTCTGCTAAATGATTGTAAATCCCACCCTACTTTCTTCAGGGTTTTCGTGTACGTTTTTCCCCTTGGGGACCACCCCCAAGGTTTAACCTGTAAATTAAATCGCACGCATCTCGTATTTTCACCAAAAAGAACAAAGTAAACAACTATTTGAAATTTGTCTTTTTGTAATCTTGAGTCCAATAACAGCGGACAAGGCCGATGTCGCTTCACTGATGTCTGTAGCTGGCAATTTAGCCGGTGTTTCGGGCGGGAACGGTTTACCTCCCAGTTCAACCCCCTTCGAGTTTTTAACCTCGATGAGAGCGATTGTTGAATGTGATCATGTTATTAGGTGTAGCGCTGAATGACAAGCAAGGCACGCGTTCGCCAACTCGCCGCGACAGCTAACGTGTGCCAAATGAGTCTAATTGTCTTCATTGTTATGATTGGTCAATAGACAGAAATTGACACTCGCTGAATTGCTACTTGCAAATGACCAATCATACATCAAAAGGAATAAATTGGTAAACCAATGAGAAACGCGTTCACGATAAATGAAAGATTTGATCAAAAGCCGGACAGCTAAAATCTACAACTATGATCTCGTGTGAATATGACAAAGCCGGCCAAATATAACACACTGGAGTGTACCGCCAGTTGCCATTTTTTACTACAAGCCCTAAATTAATTCATACCGATACGGAGTTCGCCCATATAGCTTTTATATTTGCCGTGTTTCATAACAAAAAAAACCAATATAAGCCCGATAGTTGACTCGTTACGGCATCGCAAGATTTTCAAAAACGGTGTGTAACTTACACACTGAGATAGAATGTACCAGTTCGACTCTGCATACGATCAGGAGGTTCCACACATGTACCCGAAGGTAAACTACTCACAAATGATGTCTCGCTAACAAAGATACTTTCAGTTTTGTTTCCATTCATCGATCACTTTCTTCATTTACTTTCGTCAGCTCTCTTCAAGACCCACTCACGTCGAACGAAAATCTTGTAGTCCCGTTGAGCGTATTCGCGGACAGGGTGAAAATTTGTCTCTAGACTCGCAAGGTAATCATAACCTACGCTTGGTTGCCAATATTTGTGTTTATTAGATTGTCTGACGTTCCAAAAAAAAATTGAAAACGAAATAGATCGGATCATTTTTTATCTTTTGTCAGAATTATTTCAAGATTTGTGCCAAATGCAAGAACACTGGATGATTGAAGGTAACTACGTTAACGTGAAGTGTGCGGCGAGTTAGCGATAATTTTATTAGCGTAGGGAATGAAACATCCTGAATAATTGATGAAAAAGTGCCGAATTCATTAAACTCAGATCTTAGACGCATAACGTTTAATTTTCTCTTTCTGTGTGACTTTTAAAGCCCGGCCATACCAGCCAAGTACGACAGACGAGCAATTTGTCCCAGAAATCGAAGGGAACTCGACTTCTTCGAAAGAAGGTAACTGTCAAATATATTGTTGTGTTACCTGAAAAAAATATTCAAAGAAGATTAGGTGTACGTTTCTTACTAAGCAACAGGTATAGGGTAAGAAGCAGAAAAATAGTTTTTTTTGAGCGAAGTTACCTCCAGCTGTAAATGTCGCCAAATTTTTTTTCCGCGTCTTCATGTAGTTGTTAGAGGAACGTTAATTAAGTCGAATTTTGTCGGTAAACACGTGCCTTAAGTAAGATTTCTGACCGCTGAAACACCACCGTAATTAATGTTATCTCTGGTGACAGCGTTTTTTCCCAATCTCTCCTTGTTTTTTGCCTCGGGGTTAGATTATTTATGCCTTAAAAACACCGCTGTAATGTTATGATGCTCATAAATTTGCAGCCATTTTCCAACTGGAGAAAAGTCACTAAAAACCGCATCAAAAGATCCGCGCCGATAAATGGCCTTAAATATCGATGAATATTTTTCAGGTCTCTATTTGCCTAAAACGAAGTTAAATAACAGTTTTTTTCTTGTTTTTATGGGGAGCCTTGATTTTCAAGCAATAATACAATCACCCGGCGTATTATTTTCCCAACAAAAGTTGTACATTTCGCTTGTTTTCCTTGCTCTGCCCCCATCCCATTTTTTCATTATGTAAATAAGGCATTCTTTTTTGTTTAGGCCATTCATAACGTTAGTTTTGTTTTGAAAATGAATAGGCATTTTTGTCTAGAGGTATATTTTTTCTCGTTTTGTAGGCTGCTATGCCACACACATTAAAGCAGAGCCGAGGGAGCGCGCCTGTCAACAGACTGAACACTATCGCCGAGGAACACTCAAGAACACAAATAAGATGGACAAGGCCAGCGACAACTCTTCCTACATGAGAATGATCAGTGAAAGCCATGCTTCAAGCAGTTCCCCTTTAGTATACACCTGCTCAGCTCAGCCATCGGGTTTTCACTGTATGAAGGGCTACAGACAGTTAGCGTACGACAGCACGCCTTTCGATTCATCGCAAGCTCCAAGCTATCCTTCCATCAAGCAGGAACCTATCGATTACACGACATGCGAGAATCCCTACGACCAAGGTACGCTTCGAAAAAACTTCTTCTCTCGTCTCAGTTCTGAAGCGTTTGTTCTTTGCTGTCTCTTCCAATGTTTTTAATTTTTCGTTCCTTCTACTTTTTTTATGAACTAATACCAAATTTTCATGCTTTGCTACATCCAAGGAGTAATAAAATCAAGTCTTGTATTTTTCGTCGTTAATTTAATTTTTTCTTCACTTGAAATGTACACTTGTTGAAAGAAACACTTTTGTTGGGCTGTATCACATTCTGTTCTTGATTTTCCCCCACTGGCAAAAGGCAAAGACATTTTAAAGCAATGACCACCCAGCGCCAATCAATTCTTCTCCGCTCATTTAGGAATGAAAATTTTATGAAGAGTGAAAGTTATTTTTTAATAAGCCTTTTTTTGCTATCTTTACAGCAATTACTGTGGTTTTTCAACTCCAATTCCCTGCCTCGATTAACAGCAGTGTATGAAATCTGTCACGTGTGTTTAGCACAAGAAATGTACTAGTTGTTACTGCTGCTCATTTCAGTTTGTGAAATTGTTAGATAACTGATAAACGAACGCGTTGTAAACGGTTTTTAAGCTCTGCCCTTTTGTTTAGGTGCTTTGATAAAGTATATATGTTTTGTGGTTAAAGCACTAACAAATGGCTTCCCCTATATATATATATTCTGTTGGCGGCTTCGCGTAATTTATTATCTCTTCCTTTCAGAACGTTTACAAAGTCTCGCGTCGTTTCATCATCAGGTGCATCAACAGGCCGAGTGTTATGGCCTCCAAACATCTTCAACAGAGGGTAAATTTTTTCCATTGTAAAATACCACTCGGTGAATTGTTTTTCATTCTAATTAGACATTTTGATAGCCCACACATTATGAATATTCATGGCGCTTTGATTTTATGATAGAAAATGTTGAAATTAATTTTAATTGTTATGGAGTGAACCGAACACAATATCTGAAATTTAAGGCGCAGATGTTTTTACCATGATTGCTGCATCACTTTAATATTTTCTTTGGCAAACACATATGAACTCATGACAGCCTTAAGCCAGATGCTCTTTCTTTCCCGAAAGCAATTTCTTGCTCTTTTTCATTTTCAAAATCAATTAAATTATTTTCAAACACCATTCGCTCTGGACTTAAAATAATCGGCTATATTTTTTCTTCTCGACCTTCAGTATTCTTGTTTTTGTGAGTGCGAGTTGTTTTCTTTTTTTGTATGCGAGTTATGATGCTTTTCTCCACTTAAAAATCTTAACAAAAAAAATACTCGCTAATTGAGGTAAAAACATTTTCAAAGGGTTTTAGGAAGATCCCTAGTTTACATTTGGGATGAATCCTTGGCTTAGTTCCTTGGATCGTTTATTCCCCGCCGCTTCGCAAATTCACTACTCGATCTAGTGTTACAATCCAAGCTTCCAGATTTCTCACAAGCCAAGATGCTATTGTTTGCATTTTGTATTTCTGTAATTAAATTATACGTTGACAGCGGTACATTTCAGTGGGGCATTTTAAGCCTTGAAGCACGGTAAAACATGATAGGCTTTTCCAAACTTTTTAAAATTAGTTTAGATTTTGAGAGCCATTTACTCGGTATTGTCAAAGGTAATTTAATTTGCTTGGTGTAGGAGAGTCGTTTAAAATTCACAATCATCATGCAGGTGTATTTTAGCTTTCAATGGGCTAAATTTCAGCTGATTAGTGTTTTAAAGTTCTCTTCCTCCTGAATATCTATTCAAAGCGCACAAAACCTTGTTCTCTTACCGGTAGAAATTAGTTGCAAAAGTGTTATACATGACCTTTTAATTTCCCAATTGCGCTCAAATGAAGCAGAAGAGATTTGCTCTTCTTTGCAGTCTTGTTGGTAACCGCCATGATATAGAAAAGAGCATTTATTGACAGCGAATAGAATAAAAACACACCTCTTAACTCTGCTCATTTTTATTATACAAATAAAGGAATTAAGCTATGTTGAAGTTCAGAATATAGAGTTTCTTTTCGCTCGATCAAGTTTGTTTGAAGTTGCTTAAGAAAATAAGTACGTTGAATTCAGAGCCTTTTCAAGCGACGCGAGCAATGTCACCAGAGAATTGCTCACAAAATGTCAGTAAAAATTTTTCAACGGCTTCCAGAGACTCACGAAAGTGTTTCAATCAATGTTCACACGTGAATGAATCGATGATTTGATGAGCTCTGTAGTTTGTTCTTGTTTATGCGGATTTTGGTTTCTTTCATTCGATTAATTACATAAGTAGGTAGCTTCTCCTATCATGGTGATACCAAACACTTCAGCCCACATCCCGGTCAACTCACTCGAATAGTTAACGTTGAATTTGCCATTTCACAGTTTTGTCGCGTTCTGAATCTGAAACTCAGACCTACCCAATGCGTTCTAAATATTCTAGAAAATAAAATGCGAGCACAAAGTATGGCTAATAATTCAATTCACAGTTTCTTTAATTGTAGAAACGGAAGACGGTACAATTTTCAAAAATAAAAAAATAGAAAAACCTCGAGGCACATAAAATCACCTGCAACTAGGTTAATAGATCATGTTCCTTCGAAAATAGTCAGTGAATGCATAGTGATCCTGTCTATTATAAACTGAGATCTGTCCACCAAAACAATTTGAAGGCAATTTTAGGGTTTTCTGTGTCGAATAATCGTTCCATGCTGTGTGCCTCTCGTTAATTTCTGCTAGCCGCGATTTATGCGGCGAATGGCCTTTTCTGCAGCTCCACTGCCATTCACACGGTTGGATGAACGATATTACTAGAACTTTTCATTCAATAAACGAATGTTTTCTCGTGAATCGTTCTTGAAGCGATCCGTCTTCACGCAGCCGCCTAAAGCAATCGTGGAGCGATTTTTCGTTGAGCTCTGCTTTGTTTTGACGCGGCCCTCTAGCCGTTTGTACCACTGAGGCACTGCCGAGGTGTTTTTATTTCTAACCCACAACTGAACGGTCTTAACTCCATTTCACGCACAGTAACTGTGTACAAGGCCTCGTCGTGCATTAAAATATTGGAATAAAGAGGAAGGGAAGCCTCAATTTATACCAAAGACAGGATATTTACAGTGGTAAACGGGAAGCGATATGTCAACAAGAAAGGGCGGAAACGATCAGAGATTTAAGAGTGTACTTTAAAACACTCCGAACACGGGAAACGGGTTAATTTTTACTGGCGCTTCTGAAACGAAAAAGGCATTGGAATCTGAAATAATGTAGTGAACCAATCCAAAGCGAAAATTTAGGGGGCAGAAACGCACCAGTGAATAGGTTGTAATGATAGCATACTTCTCACAGTACACTGCGAGATTGCGTCGAGATTTCAGTGATTTACGGCTGCATGGTGACAAGCCTATTTTCTTTCCTGTTTAAACGTTTCTGTTATCAAAGGGACACGCGTACTGTTAAATCCGCTTGGCAGAAAAAATATCATAATACTGCTGACAAAGTGGTATTTAATATTGAAACTATTTCAAAAGATACCAGCTCAGTTTAGAGGTTGTGCGAGCTCTCGGTAGTGGAAGCTCCGGTGATTTTCACCAAAACACAGTGCTTAAGGACTTTACCATTTTGTCTCTTATTTGGGCTAAACAACGACCGGACGTAATACGTTACAAAGCAGCATTCAACTTTGCTTGCCACTGGCCGAATAATAGCTCTCAGCCGTTTAAGAAATGTTTCATTTATCTTTGCTGCGAATCCTTCCTTGATCTGAAAGAGCAGTAACATTCATGGCCTCCATGCACACGTTCGGTAAGAAAAAATAAACTCACTCGAAGTTTTTGCCATTTACTTGAAAGTAGAAAATAATTGAAATCTCAAAAAGCTAATATAATTTTCTTATTTTCTCTGGTAAAAAGATATTCGCTGTCATCTTTGTCTTAGAGCGAAATTGAGTTATTTTGGAATAATGTGGTAATTTGCAATGTTCTAATTTTTTCTTTCACTTTCTTCTTAAGCTGCAGTTTATGATCCAAGTGTTCATTCCTTTTACGACGAACCTTTGCCGTACGCAGAGAGATATCATAAATACACCGACTTCAAAGAACACAAGCCAACTTATAGGGACGGTAAGTCTAACAATTTTTTCCCTACTAAAGGTTTTTATAACCCTTCGCGTCGACTCGAGTTTCGTGTAAAGGTAAACCCATTAAATGTCGCAAGTAAACCTTTTTTTCCATTTCGATGGAAATTAATCTGTCGCAGATTTCGCCTGCTTCTTTACTTTCTGATTTTTTTTTGTGTATGTGACAGCAAACTGAACAGCAACGAACACAGAAAAATATTTGTACAAATACTTGAGTGAACGGAAGATACTTGCTGGTAAATTAATATGATTTATACAACACCGCTCTAGTTTGCAAACGATCAAGGTATTACGCGTATCACAGAGGGGGTTTCCTTTACAAGATTTTCTATTTCTCGATAATAAACCGATGTGAAAGAAGACCATGGAAAAAAGCATTAAATTTTTCATTGCACCTGCTTTATTTGGTCAAAATTAAACCTATTGGATATCATATCTAGCGCTATAGAACTTTCTCGTTTTCTGAGGATTTATAGAAATTTTGATTTTCTTTCTGGACATATTTTTTAACGAACGGATACAAAGTGCTCCAAAATCGCAAATTCTAGCTCGATAACTGATGAGATGAATTTTGTGCTAAAAGCGTGCGCGCTATCTCTGTATTGCACTAATTACCAGACTTATTTTGATTACATTCGTAAAGCAGCAAGGCACCCAAGAAATATTCAATGCGACACATGAACACCGTTGAGATATTTATCAAACACTTTGCCATTACCTAGTCATTACACGAAGTAAACCGTTTTCCGGATAAAAGCTACAGTGTAATCTTTACTTAACCATTATTCTTGCCAAGCAATTTTTTTATTCGTATCTTGCCTTAAGAAAACGAAACCATCCGCTAACGTGTAATTGCTTAAATTGGTGGAAAATTCACCTCCTTTTCGATTCTATATCATCAATTAATTTCAGGAAGTTTTCTTGCTGATTAAGACATAAATATTAGGCAAAAACGCAACTTTTCCAACGAGATCTATGCCTCGATTCAAAATGGGTGTGCGAGGAGTGTTTGAAAGACCCGGATGTTAGCGCCACTTGAAACAGCTAAAATAGACAATGAGCACAGAACCAACTAAGTCCGCGTGAATTCGGTTTTGTTCAAAAACCAGTGGGAAACACAATGTCGGTCTAATCATTTTTTACCTTTTTTCCAGAAAGTATTGCTTCTTTGCTCTTCTTTTTTGAATAATTACAAGATAAATTACTTTTAGGAAAACCAAACATGGTGACGCCAAACTTTTCAGAATCTTTGACAAATGTCAAAATCGTTTGATTTCTATTCTGTTAAGGGAACTTTGCACGTCGCAAGATTAATTTCGATCTTTTATTTGTTATTTTCGTTTTGTAACTTAATTAAAACGTGAAATGCAAACGTTTTTGCAGAGATCACCCACCGAACATCAAATTAAGCCACACGCGAAGACAGCAATTTCAAATGAAAACTATTGCTCGTAAAAACCCATGGGATGTCTCTATCGCAAAGATCACGGCCAAACTACATTATGCAAACAGAGCAACCTTCGGACTTACAAATGCGTCATCTGCTGCGCTGAAGTTTCTTAATCGACTAAAAGTGTTTTGAATATCAATGGAAAGTTAGAAGAGCCATTTCATATCTCTGGGCGCTTTGTCAAAGTGCAGCTAATGGTGTTTTCTTGCAATTAATCAAGTTTCATCGTATTCTTTCAATGATAAGCTCTGGCTAATACGCTCCCCACACATGGCTTTTCTCTGCTCGGTTATTTTGAACTATTTAGTATGCGCAACAGCTGTAAAGAGTAGCATTTTACGAGAGCAGTCTAATTTGAATACACTCAGCAAAATGGGAAAATAATTTTTCTATTCTTCGGTTAGGAATCAAAAAAAACTTTTCAATAGGCATGGCCTTAAACACACGGTGAAAATTAGGGAAAATGAAAAAAAGAAGCATGAAAGGAGACGAAATTTAAACCACGTTTAAAAAATTGTTGCAGAGCGCTCCTAGAAACGGCTTTTAGGTATTTGATACACTCGGTATTTCTTCTCGTGGAAAAACAAACGGAACAGCGTATTCTTTTAGTTTTGAAAGGTTACTTATAACTTCGAAAGGTAAAAAAGGCAGTATACAATTAAATGTGCTTTAAAGATTTATTCATTGCTGTTTCGAACCTAAGTAACTAAAAATATTCACAATCAAATTTTCCCTGTTTATGAAGTGGACATCTTGCCTTCCTGAAAAACATGTAATTCAATTATTGCGACTTCAGACAAAATTTGCTTTTCACCCACCAAGATAGCCCTCGCTGCTTTTTTGATTCATAAAATGGTGTATTGGTTTGGTTCCGCGAAAGTTGTCAATAGTCCTAAAGATTTCCTGCACATCTGGCCTCATTGCGAATGTAATTGTGTTTTTTTTCCTATTTTCTGGTCCAGACTGTTTTTCCGAGTAATATCTAAAACAGAATCACTTTGACATTAGCAGCTAACTGTGTATGAATGATTCATGAATGATCTATTAAATTTCTATACTTTTACATGAAACAATGAATTTTTCAAAAGTAATGTTTATGTTTAACTTGCCAAGAAAAATACGACTGATTGTATGAATATCTCCCTTTGGATGTCATTCTTTAAATCACCAGTAAGGTCACCGTAAAGTCTAAAATGGATGTGTAAGTTATTAAAACGTGCCGTTCTTTTGCAAAACATAGGTCCTGAGTTTAAAGTTCCGAACGGTGTCACATATCCAGAACCCAGGGCCTTCCAAAGACGGGGCTCATTGCAACTGTGGCAGTTCCTTGTGGCTCTTTTGGACGAGCCTGAATGTTCCTCGTTTATCGCTTGGACGGGGCGTGGCATGGAGTTCAAACTCATTGACCCTGAAGAAGTAGCTCGTCGATGGGGAATTCAGAAAAACCGCCCTGCCATGAACTACGACAAACTGAGCCGTTCTCTTCGTTATTACTACGAGAAAGGAATTATGCAGAAAGTAGCTGGTGAACGTTATGTCTACAAATTTGTGTGCAGTCCTGAGGCCCTCTTCAGCATGGCATTTCCTGATTCACAGAAACCTTACATCAAGCCAGAGTGTCGGGAGCCAAAGCCTGTGAGCCCGCACGCACCTCAGCAGCTTCTTCCTATGCCAAAAGAATCATATCCCAAGCCACCCTTTCCTCAACAGCACTTTGTCAACCCCTCAGCCAGTTGTTATCAAGCAGAGTGGGACCTGGACACTACATGTGTATACTAGGCTTATGAGCTTCAAACAAACAAACAAACAAAAAAACAATGATAACGAAGCAGCTGTAAGTTTTGCAATGAAAAGTTAAATATTGTATCATGACAAAAATCATACTTTGCAGAATGATTTGGCAATGCAGTGATATGGAATATCACGTAGCTTTTCGAATGATTCCTTCGCATATTTTATGACTCCTTCTCGGCCAATATAATTTGAGCCTATTCTTATACATGACCAGCAAGGAATAATCAAAGAAAAGAAAAATTGACCTTGAACCGCCGCTGCTATTGTTATTGACGAAAATTCAGGATCGAAAAAGGAATGCCTTGGGCTATACGCACCACGTGATATTTTGTATGCAAAGCCGGCCGGCCTTTGTAAAGTTAGAGTGTCAATAAAAACCAGATATATGAAAATATGTGGATACGATCTATTCCAGCGTAAGATTGTTGGAGTACTCGTGTTTTGTCTATAGATGTAAGAAAAAACATTATATCAATAACATTATTGTTTATAAGATGTAAAATACATTTTGACTGAATATCTATGAAATTAAATTTGTAATATTTCTGAGGCAACTTGAGAGCTCAATAAAAAGATGACAAAATGAAAAACGAATAAGACTGCAAAATAAACGAAACATTCGCGTATAGCATTATGTGGTTATGTTTAACCAGAAATTCCACTTCACCCTCTGCTTCACGTTATGAATTGTTTTGAAACGTTCGACAGCTGAGTAGGAAGTACGTATGAGTTAGTAAATGTCGGAACTTTTTCATTCAGAACTATTTTAGTTTTATTTTGAAAGGCCCAGATTTTAAATTTCCTTTTCAAAGGGGGCATAGACAACGCTTTAAGCGTAGCAAATATAGTAACAAAACTAGTGGCCTGTGGTGTCAGCTAATTGACCAAAGGCATCGGCGAAGTGACCTGGTATCATTGAAACAGTATGAAATTGGGCGGAGTTATTCCAAGACTTTCAAGCTACAATCAGTTACAAAAATGTTGAGACATCTTGAACAAAAAGTGAGCACACCAACCTCATCAGATGGCCAAGAGAGAAATTTAGTGAAAAAACCAAGAGCTACCCTTCTTCCCATATTCAATGTTTTTCATTGAAGTTTTTTACATGACACTGCTCAGCTACCAACATTGCAAATAGGGGAGTGAGGAGATCACATTATGACACATGGTAACTTGTCTCAACTACTTTTGTAACTGGTTGTAACTCTTTGTAACGTCTGAACCTCTCTTGGTGATGTATGATCAATAAATATTTCATCAAGATGCAACATTATACAAAGTTTAGGAGGATCAAAACCATCTTATTTTATTTTATTTATTTGATAATATACGAGAACAAATTATGCGCGTCTGATTGGCTGGAAACAGTGCATTTTTCATGAAACACGAGTGCAAAGTTGTAATACGAGTGCAAATTACAAATAGCGCGCGCGCTGTCAAAATTTCGTCTGTCTCGACTTTCTGTCAGGCTTTTTTCATGTAGATCATTAACAAGTAACAATATGATTTCTCGTGCAATTTGGAGTAAATAAGCACTTGTTACTTGCGCCTATTTACACCAAATTGCATTCGAAATCAAGTGATTACCTATACTAAGCTGGCTTCAAAACATGCAGGTCTCATTCATGTCTCCCCCCTTGTTGGAAATCTACACTGAGTATGAAATTATACCTTTGTGGATATTTTGGTCGATTTCCAGGTCAACAGTAGAGCTTTGCTTGCAAGAGCACTGTGACAAATAAAAACCAGACAAGTCTGTGTTGGGATAAATTTTTGCCACGAAAGATGGCCGATCTATTGTTTAAAAATTAGATATAGTATAGTTAATCAAAGAATTTGTCAAGCTCTAGCGAACGTAAAGGCACGATAAAAAAGGCAAGGTCTCATACCATATAATTGCATTAACGAAAAGGGAGGAGTAGGGTCAAATTTATCGCGAGTGTCAAGTCTGAAGACAAATACGACGAACTAGCGAAACATACTATGTCTTATACTGATGTCTGGTGACTTATTAACTTTCCATTAAAACACGTGACTCTTGCGCAAAGAACAGTCTATTGCTATTAAAAATCACCAGATTGCTCAATCATCCTTGGATGCTCTGACCCTGTCCCCCTTTAATTTGACCCTTCAGTATACCCTGCCAATCCCCATTGACTTTGTGTTTTAGTTAACAATGAACTATATAGCAAATATAGGACACATAAGTCTTTTTGTTTGGGGGCAAATAAATTTATTTTAGAGTTAACAACACGTATAGACACAATGAAGGGTGTTTTTGACACCTTGCGCCAGTTTAGTCTCAGAGTTTAGAGATCTCTGTAAACGGATTTGGGTACCTGACGTAATTCTTTTTGTTGAAAGTTCATTGAAGTCTCTGACAGTTATTGGTGAGGACGAGAACTTAGCTTTCATGATTTAGTGCTCTAAAGATTCTGAAATTAAAACTCATGGGAGAAACACCAAGATTCAGTATCAAGCTGCACTAAGCAGAGTACAAATAACGCGAAAATTAAGTACGATTATTCAACAAGTGTTTAACAATTATTTCAGGAGATGGTAAATAGGCAATGAGGCGCGTAGCCCCGAGTTGGCTGTAACCAATAATCTTGTATCCAACGCGCGCTCATGGAATAATTGTTTTATTAAGTCTTATTAAATCCTGAACGTTTGGAATATTTAGAGTCTTTTTCAGCTCTGAAACAGTTTGTGTAATGCATTTCCATATAAGGTAAATAAGAGCCGATAACCGGAGTTGAAAATTATTAAGTATCACGTTCATCGCATGGGGCTGAGTAAAATGAAGGATTCTTTTCAAGCATGCTTTCAGCGCGAGTCACGCAGCCACAATTAAGGGGAATTTCTACGACTTCTGAAAACACGAGTGATATCAATCCTTAATTATACGAGGAAACAAGCGATTGCTTGTTTATAGTACAAAGGGAAAAATTTTGTTTTATAATGAAGATCAACAACGCACGCTTCGTAGGAAGCCATTTCAGTGTCCAACTACCGTCGATGAACAGTAGAACGCACGGATCAGCTGAATGAAATTATAATTTTGTAGATCAACGTCAAAGCAATGAAAGCAACCCTGCTGAAAAACATTCCTCATCAATTAAGTTTATCATGTTTGCTACGTACTAAAACCCGAAACAAACGAAACAAGTGAAACACGCGAAACGACCAAAACTAAACAACTGTTAGGACCAAAACAAAACTATCACAACGATCGAGACGAGAGAGAATGGAATGTCGCAGTTAAATGTAGATTGCACTGCAGATGTTCTCTCGCAATTACAGCTTTTAAATGTTAAGGCAGTCTCACGAAACCTTTTTTCCACCACGCGAGCAGTTTAAACCTTAATTTGACAATTACATGTAATTTCCAGGACCGAACGCTAGCCACATCAAATGCCAAAGCGTATACGGAAAGGAGAGGAAGAAACAGATAACGGTATTCATTGGAAACGTCTATGCCCGTGATTTTTTTTATTATTATTTGATTTTTATTTCAGTTTTTTAATTAAGGTTTCCTCGACGCCTTACGCCAAGACGATGGCCATCGAGAGATACGATAATTGAATTGCCCCGTGAGGTAGATCAGAAGAAGACCACTATCGAAACGAGACAAATATGACACCCCTGGGCATTCATTTTATTATTATTGACTGTTTTGTATATTATTTTCGGTCGTTTCGGTCGTTTTTTTTGGTCGGTAGCTTTGTTTCGCTTCGATCGTTTTGTTCTGGTCGTTTCGTTGGTTTCGCTTGTTTTGTTTCGTTTTGCTCACGGTTTCGTTTAATGTTTCTAAATTTGGTTATTGCACCAGGCAATTACCAAAATGCCCTATATATCAGCCAATCGCCATATGTAATTTCTGACGTTTGAGTGACATGGGAACGAATAAGTCAGAAATTAAAATTCAGACGGCACGTTGAAGAGGTTCGCATGGCAACACGGTAGTTGCGGATTATTTAAGCTTTTCGCGGGAAAATTAAGTCATTCTACGTCGGTCAGTCTTAGGTTCGACCACTTTCTTTTTTTTTTTTTTTACAACTCTTTGTAAAATATCACTGCTTTCATTGAATTTTCTGTGTGATTAGTAGTGTAACTAAGTTTATTTTAGTTATCCTTTCCTCGGAGTACAGTGCTGCTGCATTAGATGAGGAATACGTTTCCACATATTTTTTGGCCACTTCTAAAGAGTGGTTTTTTAGTGGTTTTTCGTATCTGGCGTAGCACAGCCTATTTTTGTATAACCCTTCAGTTTTAGTGAATACTTGCAGTACATTGCAGATTGTAGTAGGATGTGTAGACTGCAAGACTGGCTGACTCATCCTAAATACACTTTCACATTGAATATCTCGCCTGAGTGTAGTCAGAATATAAGTAATTCTTCCCTCTATACAGTTAATACGCAATTTTCAATTAATTGCTTATTTTGCACTGTTAAAAAAAAAGCTTGTTTAACCAGTAGGGTGCGCCTGCTACGCCTCTTTATCTGGTTCGCTTTTACATCTTAATAAAGAATGCGGATAAAATCTTTAGGCTTGTCAAAATACGGGACAGCTCGTAAAAGCCCTCAGCGTTACTACACACCAAACGTCCAATAAGATATAAAAAAATATAATGTTTCTAAGCAGTCAATAACTGTTTTCGTCAAAAGAGCGTTTTAATGGATGAATGATGGCTTTTACGGCTGTCGCCGCTGGGAACACATCCTGCGAGGAATTTTTTTTCATCGTTTAAGGTACCGTAATATTATGTCGACGACTTGGATAATTGCGCAACGTTTCCACGATCGATTAGTTCCGTTCATTACCGTGGTCGGAAAAATTAAACCAACATAATTTTGGACATGATGTGCCGATCATTTCGAAGCTTCAACATCCCCCCCCCCCCACTGGTGACCCACGGGCATTTGATTGTCGTCCATACCGGAAGGGGGGGGGATTTAGACCTTGGCTGGCTGGAATGGAGAATTTGAACCATAAGTGTCAAATCTTTCCAACGGAATACAAGTGTTATATCTTTTTGACATGGGGATGTTTAAAGGTAAACAATTCACTTTCATAAGCAAATGACTGCGAAGAAAAGGGAAAAGGTCAGTAAGGCTTTGTCAATGTGTAGAAAGTCACGGCCACTGGATTTTCGTTTTATGAAAAATCTGAGCGGTGCATCTAAACACAATTTTTGACCTGATGGGGGGTAGGGTCAGGAATTTGGACAAGCCAATCTTCAAAAGTTCAAATACCCAGGGGTTGCTCAGGGGGGATGTTGAAACTTCGAATGCTACAGTCAGAGCATCGAACGTAATACTGACATAATGACTAAACTTCCTAGAATTTCCCTCGATGTTGCCGTCTAACAAGAGATAAATTCTGTAGCCTGATAAATGTCAAGAGTGACCTTGTTTTTCTCGCTTGTTCTTTAATAAATATTTCCAGTTACTGTTAGCAAGTTTTACCTGATAGTAGTAGGAATAGGGGGGTGTAGTTTGAGGCATCTTAGCGGCTATTATCATGAATAATTGAATTGGCATTGTAAAAAATTTTGAGGATAATTTTCGCTATAATGCCATGGTTCAAGGGGTGACACTCAAAAGCATGATGCTCGAATTTGCGAGCATAAGTTATCTGACGCTACTTATGACGTTTTGACGCGCTTGAAGGTCAGTAATAGGTGAACGGAAGTAAGAGGTATCATAATGCGCAACCTAACATTTGCATATATACTACTTGGGTCACCTGTGCTTCTCAAAAGCATGATGCTCGAATTTGCGAGCATAAGTTATCTGACACTATTTACGACGTTTAGACGCGCTTGATGGTCAGTAATAAGTGAACGGAAGTTTAAGGTGTCATATCGCGCAACTTAGCATTTGCATATATACAACTTGGATTACCTGTGCTTCTAGGTTATCCTTTTTGTCGGCAGATATTTAGGCACGATCGGTACTCACTTATAGTCAGTGAGCAGATCAGATTGCTGCCGACAGTATGGCGGTAAGTATAATTCATTGGAAACGTCTATGCCCGTGATTTTTTTCTTATTTTATTTTTAATTCAGTTTTTTAAACTAAGGTTTCCTCGACGCCTTACGCCAAGTCGATGGCTGTCGAGAGATACGATAATTGAATTGCCCTGTGAGGTAGATCAGGAGAAGACCACTATCGAACGAGACAAATATGACACCCCTGGGCATTCACTTTATTATTATTGACTGTTTTGTATACTATTTTTGGTCGTTTCGGTCGTTTTGTTTGGTCGATAGGTTTGTTTCGTTTCGATCGTTTCGTTCTGGTCGTTTCGTTGGTTTCTCTTGTTTTGTTTCGTTTTGCTCACGATTTCGTTTAATGTTTCTAAATTTGGTTATTGCACGGGGCAATTACCGAAATCAATGAGAAATGCCCTCTATCTCAGTCAATCGGCATATAAATAATTGTTACCTCTATACAGTTAATACGCAATTTTCAAATAATTGCTTATTTTGCACTGTTAAAAAAAAAGCTTGTTTAACCAGTAGGGTGCGCTTGCTACCCCTCTTTATCTGGTTCGCTTTTACATCTTAATAAAGAATGCGGATAAAATCTTTAGGCTTGTCAAAATACTGGACAGCTCGTAAAAGCACTCAGCGTTACTACACACCAAACGTCCAATAAGATATAAAAAATATAGTGTTTCTAAGCAGTCAGTAACTGTTTTCGTCAAAAGAGCGTTTAAATGGATGAGTGATGGCTTTTACGGCTGACGGCTACAATTTTGGCAAATTTACGGTTACATCTCTTTCTCTATTATACTTTTGGAGTTGAAAAGACAGAAATGTTCTTATGCTCTTCTTTTACACTCAAAACATGATGCTCGAATTTGCAAGCATAAGTTATCTGACGCTACTTATGACGTTTTGACGCGCTTAATGGTCATTAATAAGTGAGCGGAAGTTAGAGGTGTCAGAATGCGCAACTTAGCAGCATTTGCATGTATACAACTTGGGTTACCTGTGCTTCTAGGTTATCCTTTTTGCCGGCAGATATTTAGGCACGATCGGTGCTCACTTATAATCAGTGATCAGATCAGATTGCTGCCCACAGTATGGCGGTAAGTATAATTCATTGGAAACGTCTATGCCCGTGATTTTTTTTATTATTATTTTATTTTTATTTCAGTTTTTTAAACTAAGGTTTCCACGAGGCCTTACGCCAAGTCGATGGCGGTCGAGAGATACGATAATTGAATTGCCCCGTGAGGTAGATCAGGAGAAGACCGCTATCGAAACGAGACAAATATGACACCCCTGGGCATTCATTTTACAATTATTGACTGTTTTTTATGGTTTAATCTTTTTCTCTATTATACATTTGGAGTTGAAAAGACAGAAATGTTCTTATGCTCTTCTTTTACACTCAAAAGCATGATGCTCGAATTTGCGAGCATAAGTTATCTGACGCTACTTATGACGTTTTGACACGCTTAATGGTCATTAATAAGTGAGCGGAAGTTAAAGGTGTCATAATACGCAGCTTAGCAGCATTTGCGTGTATACAACTTGGGTTACCTTTGCTTCCAGGTTATCCTTTTTGCCGGCAGAGATTTAGGCACGATCGGTGCTCACTTATAGTCAGTGATCAGATCAGATTGCTGCCCACAGTATGGCGGTAAGTATAATTCAATGGAAACATTTATGCCCGTGATTTTTTTTATTATTTTATTTTAATATCAGTTTTTTTAATTAAGGTTTGTTCGACGCCTTACGCCAAGCCGATGGCTATCGAGAGATACGATAATTGAATTGCCCCGTGAGGTAGATCAGGAGAGACCACTATCGAACGAGACAAATATGACACCCCTGGGCATTCATTTTATTATTATTGACTGTTTTGTATATTATTTTTGGTCGTTTCGGTCGTTTTGTTTGGTCGGCAGGTTTGTTTCGTTTCGATCGTTTCGTTCTGGTCGTTTCGTTGGTTTCTCTTGTTTTCTTTCGTTTTGCTCACGATTTCATTTAATGTTTCTAAATTTGGTTATTGCACGGGGCAGTTACCGAAATCAATGAAAAATGCCCTATATCTCAGTCAATCGACATATAAGTAATTGTCCCCTCTATACAGTAAATACGCCATTTTCAAATAATTGCTTATTTTGCACTGTTAAAAAAAAAAAGTTTGTTTAACCAGTAGGGTGCGCCTGCTACGCCTCTTTATCTGGTTCGCTTTATCTGCTCTTCTTTTTCTCTCGAAAATCATATTTGTAGATACTGCACTCCGTTAGGCGTCACATGCCTATACAGTTGTTATAGAGAAGTATTTCAAGGGTTTTACATTGATTTGAACCATATGGAAGCGAGTTAATCCGATTATTTTGGACCAGGGAAATTTTGTATTAGTTCCTTTCGCCGTTGGGAACATATCCTGCAAGGAATTTTTTTCATCGTTTAAAGTACTGTGATATCATGTCAAAGACTTGGATAATTGCGCAACATTTCCACGATCGACTAGTTCCTTTCAGACCAACATAATTTTGGGCATGATGCGCCGATCATTTCGAAGCTTCAATTCCCCCCCTCCCCCCTTACTGGTAACCCACAGGTATTTGATCGTCGTCCATGCCTGGGGGGGAGGAGGGATTTAGATCTTGCCTACCTGGGATGGAGAATTTGGACCATAGGTGTCAAATCTTTCCAGCGGAATACAAGACAAGCGTTATATCTTTTTAACATGGGGGTGTTTAAAGGTAAACAATTCACTTTCACAAGCGAATGACTGCGATAAAGGGAAAAGGTCAGCAAGGCTTTGTCAATGTGTAGAAAGTCACGGCCACCAGATTTTCGTTTTATGAAAAATCTGAGCGGTGCATCTAAATACAATTTTTAACCTGATGGGGGGTAGGGTCAGGAATTTGGACAAGCCAATCTTCAAAAGTTCAAATACCCAGGGGTTGAACAGGGGGGGATGTTGAAACTTCGAATGCTACAGTCAGAGCATCGAACGTAATGCTGACATAATGATTAACTTCCTAGAATTTCCCTCGATGTTGCCGTCTAACAAGAGATAAATTCTGTAGCCTGATTAATGTCAAGAGTGACCTTGTTTTTCTCGCTTGTTCTTTAATAAATATTTCCAGTTACTGTTAGAAAGTTTTACCTGATAGTAGTAGGAATAGGGGGGTGTAGTTTGAGGCATCTTAACGGCTATTTTCATGAATAATTGATTTAAGCATTACGAAAAATTTTGAGCATAATTTTCGGCATAATGTCATGGTTCAAGGGGCGACACTCAAAAGCATGATGCTCGAATTTTCGAGCATAAGTTATCTGACGCTACTTATGACGTTTTGACGCGCTTGAAGGTCAGTAATAAGTGAGCGGAAGTAAGAGGTGTCATATTGCGCAATTTAGCATTTGCATATCTACAACTTGGGTTACCTGTGCTTCTTGGTTGTCCTTTTTACTGGAAGGGATTTAGGCACGATCGGTGCTCACTTACATTCAGTGATCAGATCAGATTGCTGCCCACAGCATGGCGGTAAGTGCCTTCAGTTTGATTATTCCGGTGGAGCAGTCTTTGTTTCAGTTGTGTGGTTAGATCAATAAACTTTGTCACGTTTATTTGTCACTAGCTGTGGACACTATTCAAAGACAAAGCATGCTCGAGTTTATGCAAATAAGCGATAAGGCTTGTTGGTATCAGCTGTTTCTTGCAGAGATAACACGACAATGACGGTTTGTTTTTATAGCGTTATTTAATTGGGTAATCTTAACGAAAGATTTATGTCAATCGCTACTGATGTCATTTCCTAGCCAAAGTCAAAAATGGTCGTTAGAAGTGACTGTTCTGGGTCGAAGGAGCTGGAACAAATTGTGGAAAATAGAGTCTAAGTAGATCGCGAATATCGTTACCAATTTGATCAGTTACAGGCGCGAACATTTTGGACAAGATTATTTTGAAGCTTATTTGTACAAAACAAAATAAAGATGTAATCTCCGTACCATGAAATACTATGTAAGAAGTGAGTTAGTGGCACAATCAGTCTTGGTGAATATGGAGATTGACTCCTTAGGCATGCGACAGAAAGCTATTTTTGGCATCTTTCCACAATTATGTAAATGATAGCTATTGTAGTCTGACAATATCGAAACCACACTGTTCAGTGTCCAAGTACTGTAGAAGTGATTTTGAAATGTTCACTCTGTGTCATGAGCATATGCAGGGTTGAGTAAATTCGCTCGACACGAATGAAAAAGCATAATATTTCGAATACAAACAAACATAAATAATTAGGTTCGAAATTGCGAGATTTCATCAATCAAATGGGTGGTGTACGAGTGAATTGGACAACTTGGAAAGTGCATGAAAAGTAATTTTCTTGTGACTCGGACTGAGATTTGAAGGTTTCGTGGTTCTGGCTTACTGTTGAGAACCTCGATTCGTCTACGATAGAAAGCTGACTGTGAACTTCAAATCAGTTTTTGACTGTACAAAGGAGCAGAGTTCATTTGATATGAGGAAGAACCGCAGACCTACCAGTTTTTTGGATTGGACATGTTTTCCGATATTCAAAGATAACTTTTGTCAAGTCTCCTGTGTCGCAAGAGAGAACGCGAAATATTCAATAACTAATTAACCAAATTTAAGTTGTTGATCGGTGAAAAAATTTACCACATACATAGTGATATAATGATATTGACAATGAAAATTACAATAACAGTGACCATAAAAACAGCAGAGGCAGTAACAGTGACAATGACAGTGACATTTACAGTGACAGTAACAGGGAGAATGATGAATGAAGACAAGGAGAGGGATGATCACAATTACAATGATTACTTTAAGACAGAGAAACAACAGAGAGAAGCTGAGAGCACATACCAAAAAAACATGTATGTTGACTTAAAATTATTGATGAACAATCCTTATAAACAAACTTCAAGTAGAAGAGAAGTACAATGCATATGATGAAAACATAAGTTTAATTCATTACTTCAAGGTATGGCATATCAAAGTTGTACTTACCATTTCTTAAAGATATTTTTCACTCTTCAGTCTGGTCCATTTTGATTCACTAAATACATCAAATCTCACAAGAAAAAACATGAGATAAAATTATGTGAAACTTACCCAAATTTGTGATGACATAAATGACAAAGGTAATCAGGATAACAATAACAGAGACTGAAAGTGACGGTGACAATGAAAGTGACAAAGACAGCAATAGTGACACTCACAGGGACAATAAGAGAGACCATGACACCGACAGTGACTAAAACAGAGGCAATGACATTGACAGTGACAGATACACTGACAGTGACAGACACAATGATACTGACAGTGACAGACACAATGACACTGACAATGACAGACGCAATGACACTGACAGTGACAGACACAATGACAGTGACAGACACAATGACAGTGACAGACACAATGACACTGACAGTGACTACAACAGAGACAGTGTTACTGACAGTGACTACACAGAAACAGCAAAACCAACATTTTAATGATAATGATAATGAAAGTATCAGTGACCTGTTAGTGACAAGGATAATGTCATTAGCAATGACAGTAACAATGTTAATGATTAATATTACCCATGGTATCCACATTGGTGAGGTGGTTTTCAGAAGCAATCTCCCTTATCAACTTTCTTTTCTTGCCATCAGAAAATTATTTAACTGTTATGCATCCCCTTTGGAGAATTTGGAGCTGTTCATACCTCTTCCCTTTTTTGCATGCTCAGAGAACTTTGTTTGGTAAATGAATTTGGAATGGGAAATTCAGCTGATTGTGTAATCAAATATGAAATCTTGCCCCAAGAAATATCCTCATTTATCTGTAAGAAGTAAATTAAAATTCCAAAAAATGAAAGTATTTAAAGGAGTGATGTGTTTGTTGTGGCTTTTCTAGATAATTCATATATGTACTCAATTGTACTCAAAGATGAAATTTACATAAACAGCAAATTGGAACAATTTTTTGGAATGCCTGAACTCATAGAAAGATTACATCAAATATACATCAAAAGCATGAAAATTACCAAAAATTTTAAAATTCAAATTTGTGTAAGTTCCTTCAAGAGTCACAGTGTTATTTCCACCATTTGTAATGGCTTTTTAATTAAGAACACTCACACATCACCAGCTTGGCTGTGGCTAATTTTTATGCTGGCTTATGTTTATCTGACCCTGGTCATGAACAGAACTCTTCCATCAGGAAAATGTTGCATAATTATCCAACTCATTGACATAATATCACATAACTTTAAATGATAAAAAGAAAATTCCTTGCTGGATGTGTTCCAGACAGTCACAGTGTTATTTCCTCCATTTGTAATGGTTTTTTGAGAACACTCACACATCATGATCACTAGATATGGCCATAGATGATCTTTTAAGCTCTCAAAGATATGAGCTAAGAGCTTTGAAGATATTCAAATTTCCTCCAATCCACTTTACAATGAACTTATTACACAGGGCAGTTGAAGGATGTCTCTCCTGTCACTTTTTCACAACTCTTTTGTGCCTTTACAGTCAACCCCCAGCAACTCAGACACAGTCAAACAAGGTACCATGACAAAAAAGATACGAGCCAAGAGGAAGCTGAACTTTTCAGCCTCAGATTACAGAAGCAAGAAAAAGTTTCGCCTGAAGAGTGATCTCATGATACCTGTCACTCCTCTTCAACTAAAAAAAGGTCACACACCAACTTCCAGTGATAAGGAGACAGCCAATCATGAAGAGGTAAATAACTGATGTGAATCAATGTCCATATCTGAGTAACTGCACACCTACCCCTCCCCTAGCTCAAAATTAACCCTAACTTGTTATCAGTTGACTGCTGTTTATTAAGGGGAGGGGTAAGTGCACAGCTGCTCAGATACTGACATTGATCCAAAATGATCTTCAAATAGTCTTGTAGGTTTGCATAATGAAGTTAATGCTTTGTTGAATGTTAAAAGAACCAGGAATGGACACTGAGACAAATTTAGTAGGAAAATTATCAGACCAAACTTTTGAGCTATCTGTGGTCCTTTTTAATCTCTTCACTCTTAAGGTCTTATTTATTTAATAATTCTCCTTACTATCTGTGATACAATTCTTATCATGTATGTTTGGAGAGTTTGGTATTGGATCAACTGATAATCTCCCAATTGATATTTTTCTTTATGGTCATCACTTATCTGCTTGTTATTGAATTTATAATGTAAGGAGAAATTCTGTTTTGGTCACTCATTAGAGTTAATGTGTTAAAATAATTATAGCTCTTATATTTCTTTTGTTGAGAGTGACTGCTTGTAGGAAAAAAGCAATTGTTTCCTGACTATTTGCCTGATATTTCTCCATACAAGTTTTATTTAAGGTCTGAGATTTACTAGGTTACAAAGTATTTGATATCTCGCAGGTAGAACCAGTCAAATATCTCATTGGGCAGTTGATCTGGGGCAGATTGAAAGGATTTGACTGGTGGCCTGGGCGAGTTATTTCCAATATTGAAGCACAAAAGTCCCCAGCTGTAGAAGGTTCTTATTGGATCAAGTGGTTTGGAGATAACAAAATATCAATGGTTTGTTATAGTTTATTTAGTGTCAGCTCCAAAGCTTATACCAAAGTGATGACATCAGCCAATAAGAGTGATGGGTTAACATTGCAAGGAAGCTCAAACTGCTAAGTAGTTGTTGATCTGTTGGTTTAAAGTAGGAAGGGCTGTGTATGTTTCCAATCCCAGTTAAAGAGTGTTAACAGACATGCAGCAAAACCAAATACACACATTTTTTCATTACCAACATTTATTTACTGGTTGAGCCCCATCTTGTTTAGTTTGTTTGGAGACAGATCTTACACCCTGCTTTATGTTCTCTTGGTATTATAATAAGAGATTTGGGATATTAAGGTTAGGGAAAATGGTGCCAAGAATGCACTATTAGTCAGTGAACTTGCAAAGAGCCTAAACAAATTGACTGATCATGTGGGTTCTAGCTCTATATTAATTTTGCACATTCAGTTGGAAAGAGAAATACTTAAGTTGGTTTCTTTATCATCTCATTGTAAAGTCTTAAAATGCAAGTAACCAAAGATGTATATTTATTGCAATAACAGGCCAGACTTTTTTATTTATTTTGTAGCTTCCTGTTGTATGTTTACGGCCACTTTACGAGTTCAAAGAGAGTTTTCACCTATCAAGGATGAGAGGTCTTTATAAGACAGCCATCATTACCAGCTTAGAGGTACCTGCTATTATTTATTATTGATGCTTTTCATTTTCATAGGTATGGCTTTATCTGTCCATATATCAGTCAGTCAGTCTGTTTATATGTCAGTTAAGGATTAAGTCAGTGGACTGTTGGTTCATATATCAGTCAGTAAGTCGGTGGACTGTTGGTTCATATGTCAGTCAGTCAGTCAGTCAGTCAGTCTGTGTGCTGATATATCAGTCAGTAAGTCAGTGATCAGGACTGTCTGTCTGTATTTCAGTTAGTGAGTCACTGGACTGACTATCCAGATATCAGTGAGTCACTGGACCAACTGTCCAGATGTTAGTCAGTCAGTGGACTGCTTGTCTATATGTTGGTCTGTCTGATACCAGTCAGTCAGACTGTCTACCTGTATTTTAGGGGTAGTTTGTTCTTATATCAGTCAGTCAATAAGTGAGAAGGGTGTCAGTCCAAATGTTAGTCAGTCAGGCTGTCTGTTGATATGTCTATCTGTCTGTCTGTCTGTCTGTCTATCTGTATTTGTTTTTTTTTATGAGTCAGTTAGTCTGTCAGTCATTAATTTAGTTGTTCAATTATTTTTCCCAAGAACTCACCCCCCCAAAAAAACTGTATAGTCATTGTATGAAATCTCTTTGCAGAACAGGACCTTTTGAAAAAACCTTTTTTGGTTTTTGGGAAAATCCTTGGTATAGAATAAATATAAATAAATGAAGCTCTTAGCAATCTTTACTTAACTTGCCCATGGTAATGATTCACTTTAGCCCCTGGGGCACTTATTTACTTTTGGTTCCTCAAGAGAGGGAGCTTATTTAAGACAGGATGCTTATTAGGGATGGGGAACTTATTTCTTTTTTTAGAAAGAGCAGACTATGCAAAACAAAACTTTGATGTTTATTATTTTGAAAAAATCCAGAAGACTGGAAAACAGATTTGTTGTCCCTTGATCCTTCTTGGCTAGGGTTGACCAGCCAAGCAATCACCACACAATTTGAAACAAGATTATTTGTTTGAAGGAAATGAGCTCTCACATGAACATAGTATAGTTGAGAGACTAAGATGAAGATTAAAACAAACATGAAATTTGAGGGAGGCCCTTGATAGAAAGGGGGCCTTATTGGAACAAGGGTGCTGAATCAAATCATTATGGTATGTAACATTTTTTTTTCACTAGGTAGCAGCAAAAAGATGTGGTAAAGTGTTCTCTAATAGCAGCAAACAAGAAAAGTCAAAGAAAGGGAAGAGAGGAGGCAGCTCTAGACCAGGAAAGAAGGCTGAACCAAACGCTGAGATGGAGAGAGAGGATGAACAACTTAGTGAAAAAAAGAAAATTGAAATAATGGTGCAGTGGGCATTAAATGGGTTTGAGCCAAGTGGCCCTGAAGGGTTTGCACCAAGTGAAGGTAAATCAGAACTACTCATGACTGTGTTTACATGGTCAGACATTACCTCCTCTGATGTCTACTGTCATGTTTCTAATCACAGTTATTAACAATGGAAAGTATTGAGTAGTCTTGTTTTGTGGAAGTAAGGTTGCTAAATCATTTAGGCACACTGAAGAAGATGGATTTGAAATCTGGATGCCATAGGCAACAAATCATTCATTGTTCCTCTTAACAGTCTAAACACATTCATCATGTCCTGTATTTAACCATAGTGAGTTTGCATCCTACTCGTTATGTCTAAGACATGTTTTTTAACTTTGCTGTATCAATCTCATTCTTTTAGAGCATTGACCATTCTTTGAGATCATGAAATCAGTAGTTAGCCTTTTACACTTCAAACCTTTTTAAGTGCATTCTATGGAGCACTGATTCTCAGTCAATGGCATGTAACCTTTCAACTAAAAAGTTCTGTTGTATGCACAAATTCTATGACAGAAAATTAACCTTTAGTATATTCTTAAACCAGGTGATTTCTTAAAGTTTGGATTTGTATAAATACTTGAGATGAAGAGGGAATAATTGCTTGATTTTCCTCTAGAGCAAATTGTTTCCTAGTCATAATTCAGTTAACAGTGTTGCTGGGTATTTTGCATGCTTCTGTTGTACTAGTTAGATTAGTTAATAGTAGGTAAATGATGTTACAATTAGAGAAATCAAGGATTAAAATGGTGTGACAATTCATGTTTGAAAATTTATTGAACAGAATTGTATCTGTCACTGAAAGTAGTATTTCTCAACCCCTAGAGGATATGGTAGACACTCCAGTACCACTAAATGAAACGGATCTGACGTCAGAGGAAATGACTGCTGATCAAAAGGCACGCTTTGGTAAACCAATCAATGAACCAAACCTGGCAGAAAATATCAAAGGTAAAAATTTTCCTTTCCCCAAATGACTCAGTCAATCATGTGAATAATAGTCTTTTTCGCAGGTGGTGTTGACCAAGTGGCTTCATCCAAGTGTATTGTAAATACACCAGCAAAAGAAATTGTGATTTTTTTGCAGGCTAACTGGCTCTTCACAGACATGCAATAAACTTTTAATTATCTCTTTTTTTAGAGCTTTACTTTTTCTTAACATTGAGAGTGTTGCTCAGGTTTAAATACAGCTTGCACATGTCAGGAATAATTGAATCGTTTTAATTTGAGACCATGATATTACATAAACAACCTTTATTTTTTCACTGATTGAATCTGATCAACCATGGTCCTTGTTACATGCATTCACCATGATAGAAAAAGATGTAAGTGCTAGAAAGCAACATCATGAAAATTGTATTTTATGAATTCTGGATTATTAAAATGTATGTATAAATTTTTTTAGCTCTGTTTGATGCAGTAGCAGATGGAAAAAAGAAAATTTCAGGTTAGAGTGTTGCCTAATTTGAAACTAATTTTCTTTGCTAAGGTTTGTTCAGTAGTAAAAGATGTTGACAACAATTGGGAAAAACAAATTGTCAACAGTGGGTCAGCAAGTCAAGGATTTATTCAGTGATGATGGTGGTGGATAATCTATCAGATGTCAGTCACAGTGAGCTAGTCAGGCAGTCAATTCGAAGTAATTTGTCAACCAGCTGGTCAGTTTGGTAATCAGCCCACAACTTGTTGTTGGTTAGTCAGTCAGTCAACAGCCCATAACATGTCTTCTGTTTGTTAGGCAGTCAGTCAGTAAGTTAATCAGTTAGTTATCAGACCATCAGACAATCAGTCAGTCAATTAGTCAGTCATTCTTTTGGTCAGTCAGTAAGTCAGTCTGCAGTCAGCCTATCATGGCTTCTGTTAGTCAGTCAGTCAGTCAGTTGGTCAGTTAGTTAGTTAGTGGTGGTAAGTTTCTAAAGAAACCATGGTGCTGTGTCGGTGGGAGAGTATAACAGGATAATTTAGGGTTATCAACTGAGTTGATAACATAAATTGGCCACCTTAAAGAGTTTAAAGGCTGATGTTTTGAGTGCTGTTAGCCCTTTGTCAAGGCAATTGCTCTGATGAAGGGCTAATGCTTGAAACATCAGCCTTTAAACTCTTTAATGTGGCCAATTTATGTTATCAACTCAGTTGATAACACTGAATTACCCAGTCAGTTAGTTAGTCAGTCAGTCAATCATTCAGTCAGTCAGTTAGTCAGTCAGTCAGTCATTCAGTCAGTCAGTTAGTCAGTCAGTCAATCAGTCATACAGTCAGTCAGTCAGTTGGTTCACAGCTCTGCAGTCAATCAGTCATTGTCAATCAGTCAGTCATCATACTCTCAGTCAGTCAATCATTCAGTAATAAGTCATTCAGTAAGTTTGGTAGTGATCCATTTTAAGCTAGACAGTTTTCATCACCTTTTTTTAAGTTACGAAATGGTATTTTCTTTGTGTTGCTGTTGTCTAGGTATCTGTCTTGCATGTGGTGATGATAGAGTTTTCACTGAACATCCATTGTTTGAGGGAGGTCTGTGTAAAGAATGTAAGGTACCACAAACTTTTTAAATGATAAATATAACCTACTTTAATATTTAAATGTGTAATTTCATGTATATCATGTGTTGAGGACTTGTGGTGATTTTAAAATGAATCCTAATTATGTCTTTTAGACTTCTTTCTTGGAAAATGTTTATCTATATGATGAAGATGGTTCTCAGGTAAGTAAAGTGTGTACTGATGGCTTAATTTATTCTTTATTTTATGATTACATAGTTGTCACCCTTTTAAACTCTAAAAATAACTTTAAAGGTTGGATGCATTTAATTGGAAAATATCAGACTTTTCTGCTGACCTGCTTAATTATTCTCAGATGTAGTTCATGACATTTTCTGTGGTTAAAAGTTATTGTCATATCTTGTGAAACATGTCAGTATAGTTGATTACAGGCTACAAAGCAGTTTTTTGAGTGTTAACCATCTTGTGGAGCTACAGAGGGCAAGATGAAGGGTTAACAGTCAAAAAATTACTTTTCCAGAATTTTTTTTTTACTGTCAGTTGAACTACCTTTTTCAACTGCTTGTCAATAATTCCCTTTCCCAACAATGTACATAGCACATTACCTTTAAAAGAACTGAATTATTGGTTAACATTACTTTGCTCATTAACCTTGCACTTTGATGTCAGATGTATTGCACAATCTGTGGAGATGGCAAGGAAGTTTTCATGTGTGATAACACTGGCTGCTTTAGGTAAAAGTTTGTACAAATCGTGGGCAGTATTCTTGAGACATTTCTTGAATAATGAGAACAAGTTACATTGTAACAGGGAGGAAGGGAATCACTTAGCCCCCACAGGCTCCTCATCATGTATTGCCCCTTGCCTGTGTGTGGATGAAAGACACAGTTAATGTGGGTTGAAGGGATGATTTACACTAGCAAGGACTAAATCAAAATACATCTTAAGTTGAATTGAATACAGGTGTAACTTGAAGACTCTTTTTCAGGACTCATAACTTTCCAGCCTCATTAAACCGATATATTAATTAGTAAATTATAATAATTTAGTATTAGCAACTGAGTTGATAACGTAAATAGGCCATCGTAAAGAGTTTCAAAGCTGACGTCTCGAGCGGTAGCCACTCGCTCTGGTTAGGGGCTAATGCTCGAAACGTCAGCTCAAAACTCTTTACGGTGGCCAATTTACGTTATCGACTCAGTTGATAAAACTAAATTACCCTGTTGTACTCAGTCTCCCACGGACGCAGCACCACAGTTTCCCTAGAAACTTGCCCCCGTTTGTATTTGTAAAATTAGTTTTTTCACAAACTAGACTTCGGTCACTTGACTAACAAACAACTCACTACCGTCCTGAAGAGCTACCCTCACTTGTATGATTAGATCACTTGATTATAAATTTACTCAATTGACTTTTTCAGGTCATACTGTAGTCTCTGTATAGGGATGTTATGTGGTAGAAGTGCAGTCAAAGAGGTGAGTGAATTTAAGCACTGTAATTTGCGGACGATTACCCATGAGAAATCGGTTCATTTTATCAGTAAACAACTACTGTTGCTATGAGTAATACTAAGGCGCTGGTTTATGTGACAATATTACATGACAATCTACCTTTTGTTCACTTGCTTTTTGCTTTCTATGCGTCAAAAAATTACCACATGCATTACGACTAATATACTCTCTTTTATGTATAAGCACTTTTCGTATAGCTTGTAAGCAAGCCCTGAGTATAAGTACTGCGGCGATAACAAATAGTAGAAATAAATTGTCCAGAAATGGTTCAAAAAATGTCTGAAGAAATGGTCCAAAAAATGGTCCAAAAATGGTCCAAGGTTCCATTGGTCCAGTTCAATTTCATCCATTACTATGTAATATGTAATCGAGCAGCATGCTCGAGGGACTAAAATAGACGATTCCATGATCCGAAACTGGCGAAAAAAAAAAGATGCTGTTGCAAAACAACCAAAAGGTCAGCGTACGGGAATCGTAAAATTTCCCGCATTGGAAACGACTTTAACAGAGTGGATTGTCAACCAGAGAGAATGTAGCCGTGCTGTTACTATCGTCATGATTTGACCTAAGGCGAGAGAGTTAGCAAAACAGATGAATGTTGCTGATTTTGTCGGTGGTCAGAGCTGGTATATCAGATTTGACAGTCAGAGCGTGAGGAAGACCCTGCGATACTATTATTAATTAAAACTATAACAAAATTCTCGAACGTGATTGGTCGTCACAAGCCCGATTTGAGCAGTGTGCGTCATGTGCGCGCGTTTTTGTCACACATTTCGCCGAGTTCACTGTTGCTGTTTTTTTGTGAAAACGTATGGCCGATGTCTAGTTTCTTTTTCAAATTTTGACACAGTGTTGATGAATTGGTAACAGAACTTCGTTTCGTCCAATTCTGTCTGTAATCACGCTCGTGATTAACAAATCGGTCTCCCCCTCAGCAGTCGTCCGATTTTTTTTAATCACTCGTAGGATAGCAGACCGAATTGGACTCCGCTCAGTCCTATAACCATTATAAATATGGACATCTGTTGAGTTGAATGTTTTCTTTATATTCCCTGACAATGCCGTAGAACGGCGAAAGCTTAGAATAAAAAAGAAATACTGTAGTTCAAGTCCTCAGTTGACTCGTCCATCAAATCATCAACACGTTACTGAAGGACAACGTGAAACGATTACAAGAAATATGGTTTGTTACTCTGTCGAGAAAAAAAAACCGTCAGTTGCAGAAACACCCAACTACACGCAGTTACGAAAATTAGTTTATGGTGTTGTGGTTTGCTTGCATGTCTTGATCATTCCAGACATTTAAGATGTTCAGAGTTTTGTGAGTTAATTCTAATCACAGTCCAATCTCACTTAGATTTTAAAAACTGTGTTCTTTCTTCTTGTGTAGATTGCCGCAGCTGACAATTGGGTGTGTTACATGTGTTCAGGAGAGTGTCAAGGACTTATCAGGCCCCGACACAACTGGTCTGGTAAACTGCAAGAGTTCTTTATGAACGACAAAGAGCAAGATTTTGTAAGAAACCTTTCGTAGGTCTACTAAAAGATTTACTTAGAGAAGTTCACTGGAGTGGTTTTAAGTATTTTATGATTAAGAACGAGTCGTTATTTATTGCCCGGAGTTCGGGGGGGGGGATTGCGTGGTTTTTATTAGGACTCGAGAGGGGATCAGTCGTGGCCATCAGTGCTTAAAGGGGAGACTACAAAAAAGTGACTGCGAATGAACTTCTAATGAGAGGGGGATCTTAAAAATGTTACAGAACCTCATCGGGGGGGCGGGTCAGGGAAATCTTATCGTGACACAAGCAAAACCCTCCACCCCACCCTCCTGAGCGATCAATAGTGATTGTTACCTTGATGAAAGAAACGTGTATTATACTTGACCAAAAACCGCGTAGGGAGGCGCAAAGGCTGATTGGATCTTGCAAATGGTGTTAAGAAATTCGGAACTGAAAAAATCGAGACCTCGATCTAAGTAGTTTTTATTTTAGCACCTGGTCGCAACGAGTTATGAGGCATTGCTTTTTCTGAAAAGTCAGTCAGGAGGATGGAAAGAATCACCTTTTCTTTGTTCACCCATGTTTATGCGTCGATCGATTTCAAGCTTCAACGTTTCGCGTAGTCAACGCGGGTCAATGGGTAGAAATCACGGAGGCTGATTTTGCCTTTAACGAAAAAACTGACCATCAAATCTGGCATTTGGCAAGGGCATTTGAACACAATTTAAGGCCAGGGATTGGGGAGGATTTGAACGAATCATTCTTAAAAAAGTTTAAATACCTGGGGGGGATGTTGAAACTTTGAATTGATCAGCGCATTAATGACTGCTGTGTGAGTTAGGTTTAACTATTGACACCATTATTTGTGAATAATATTCTTCCTCTTTTTGCAGAAACAGCCATATATTTTCCCAGCAGTTCCCCCGGAAGAGCGCAGACCAATTCGAGTCTTGTCGCTGTTTGATGGAATAGCTTCTGGTTAGTATTCCACGTAACTAAATATGAACAATGGATTGCATCATTTTTTGCCCGCTATGCCCTGTGATTGGCTGGAAATCTCACTTCCAGCTCCCTTCTTAACCTGTCAGATATAACATTCCCATTGCGACATGCTGACTTGCACCCGCGACATGGTGATGACTTGGATCATGAGCGATTCTCTCAAAAATTTCTCTTATGTGTTGGAAGTTTATCCTGTCTAATTTAAACCGGTTTTTTCTTTTACTCATGTACAATGTGTGTTCAATACGGCGAATACTTATAGTTTTACAAAGCGTTTTGTCTTTTTCCGCCCATTGTCCCTCTTACAAAGACGACAAACTGAAGAATCACGGTCTTTCTGATTTTTCAAATGAGAGTCTGACACACCTTCAACAAACCACTTGTCCTTAACCTTTAAACTCACGAGATATGAATTATAACTTTCCCTTTTCAGCTTTTATACAATTCCTTGTATTTTAGTTAAGAGAATTTGATATCATATCAAGATAGCAACCTTGAGCTGATAAGTTTCTCTCTTCTCATTGTCATCGTATGGAGAAGTTGCGTATTAATCACGTCAGAAGATCAGAGTGTTGAGAGCATCAATGTATTGATTTTATTCGCTCTTACAGGTTTCCAAGCCTTGAAAGAACTTGGTGTTGAAATCGAAGTGTACTACGCATCTGAAATCGATGAACAAGCCATACAGGTTGGTAAAAACGAACTCTACATAACCAGCTATTTTGCTTAATGTTTGCTTACGTTTTCACGGCAGAGAAGGGGTACATAAAGAGAAAACCTCACAAACAACGCGGTAGAAATTTCTGTAACAGTCGATGATCAGTGTGCTAAAATGCTCTTACGAGTCTTCTTCTCTGAAATTACCTTTCTATTTGGTTCTGTTTTATTAATGTTCAGCCCTGAATCCAGATTCGAAATTTTTGCGATACTGACACGAAGTGGTTCAAAATATTTCATATAATCAGCATAACTGTAAACAGGGGAAAGAAAAATAAATTTTTTTAAGTATCAAGTTTAGTCACTTGTATTTTCGTGCTTTCTAGGTGGCCAAGGTGCAGCATGGAGATAAGATCCAACATGTTGGTGACATCACGCAAATCTCCAGAGATGAGGTGTGCGCATTTTCTTGTAGTTGCTATTGGACTTTGCGTCTTTCTATTTTTTTGTCCATTTTTCTTTTGTGTGTTCTTTGTTTCACGGTTCTTTGGTTTTGTTTTTGTTTCCTACCTGACTGATTCCGTCAGACTCTGCTAGATGTTGCTCATTTGATTTCCATGTGTAATGTTTTAAGATTGAAGAACTTGGACCATTTGACTTTGTGTTTGGAGGAAGTCCATGTAATGATCTTTCCATCGCAAACCCAGTGAGACGAGGAATTTGTGGTAGGTTGAGGGAGTTACTGGTTCTTTTGTAAGGTTTACTGCAGCATATTATCCTTGTGTCATTCGTAAAATTTCTTTCTACTTAAAGGCTAGCTTGACAAATCGCAAATAACGTTTCCGATACGCGTTTATTGGAAATTTCAGATACCAGTGAATTGCAGGTCTTACAAAGCAATTATTACTTCTTAGGGTATTTAACCGTTTGACCTGTAAGAGTGACTGGCATCTATTTTTCCTAAAATGTCACCCCTGAATCACATGTTACGGTCACAAGAATAAGATAAATTATCAGTTACTACTGAAGCTCCTGATTGTTGAACAAATTCTACGTTTCAACACCTTAGGAAATTTATAGAGAACAATATGGAGAATATGCATACTAATGTTTGGGTGTTTTAATGTTTAGGGTTTTTTGTTCGTTTATTTTCCCGTGTTGAAATAATATCACCATCCTGCTTGCAAGTTAAGTGTATTCTATTTCCTCTTTTTCTCATCTAGAGGGAACTGGCCGTCTGTTCTTCGACTTTTTTCGGCTCCTTCAATTCGTAAGACCTAAGTCAGATATGGAGAGACCTTTCTTTTGGCTTTTTGAAAATGTCGTTGGCATGAGAGCAGATGACAAGAAGATTATTTCAAGATTTCTAGAGGTGGGAACTGTTTAAATTGTTTAACTGTACACACATAATATTTTGTCCCTCAAATCATAGGTTTCAAATTTTCTGTTTTCGTCTCTGTAAAAAGGCCAGGTTTGTGACATACTACTATTTAACATGTTGATTCCCTATAGTGATCTGAGTTTAATTGTGGAAGCTTTTCTAAGCCGAGTTATCCTTTTTCTAAGGTGGGATTATTACTTCAGAATCAAATGTTATATTTAAGGAGTTAATCTTGGATTCACCCTTGGTCAATCGTGTTTCGAGTCGGTCGGTCCTACAGTACAATGTGCAGTAACCAATCAGTGCTGGTGAGCTACTCAGACTATCTTAGTTTGACTGGAGTTCAGATTAAATGCAGTTGTCAAACAGAATTTTGTTTCTTTATGGCAGTGTAATCCAGTGGTAGTGGACGCCAAAGAGATCTCTCCTGCTCACAGAGCTCGTTATTTCTGGGGAAATCTGCCCGGAATGAACAGGTGATTCATTTGTACTGTAGCTCTTACGTACTGTACTTTTTCATGTCTTCAGTATTAATATAGTGTTCTATATAACAATTGAAGCGAAAGAAAACTTGAGCTGAGTGTAACGGAACTGTTTGAAATTTGTCGCAAGTTTGTATTGGCCATAAAATGAATGAACAGGTGATTCATTTGTACTGTAGCTCTTACGTACTGTACTTTCTCATGTCTTCAGTATTAATATAGTGTTCTATATAGCAATTGAAGCGAAAGAAAACTTGAGCTGAGTGTAACGGAACTGTTTGAAATTTGTCGCAAGTTTGTATTGGACATAAAACATTTGTTTCGACATTATTAGCTTTTTTTCCAACACATGTTCATGCCGTAAAGCCGTAAATGATTCTGAGGATGGAACACGAAGCTAATTCCACTTCTGGGAAAGACAACCATCCTCAGATAAACAGTGATTATGGAGAGAACTTGCTCAGTGCGAGGGCTCGTAGATTCGTCCAGTGTATCAGTGAACCACTGTTATGAAAAACTTATTCATTTATGTTCAAGTCAGTAAGATAGCTAGTGAATAGGCATGAAGCTGAGGTCCTATGTTTAGTGCACACGTTTGTGACTTTGATTTCACAGGCCTACAGTGCCTTTACCCGGTGATAAGCTTTGCTTGCAGGATTGTCTAGAACCAAACTGTGGAAGGCAGGCCAAGGTAAGGCAACAACTACCAAAAAATAGTTGTAAATTATGCGTGTTTCAACAACAACAACAACAAATCTTTTTTGTTCAGCAAAATGGTATCAAAATGGAACAAAAAAATTGTTTTATAATGAACAAGTAATCATTATTCGAGCTTCGAGGCTAGAGGAACTGTGAGATTTTCGAGCTAGTCCCTGTCCAATTAAAGTCAGTTTTTATTTAAAGAAAATTAAAAAAATTAAGAGAGAGCAGTAAGAGAGAAAGAAACCAAAGTCAATAGATAATGTAGTATTACTTAGTACGACAGATAGTATAATTTCTACTCAATATACTTCTTGGTGAGCGATCCAGCTGCTTAAAAGCAGTTTTTTTAATCTTGTAATTTTTTAGTTCACTAAAGTACAAACTCTGACCACCAATGCCAACTCTATGCTTCAAACCAAGAAAGGTCTGTTTCCAGTTCAGTATACAGGAGCAGACGGACAGCGGAAGGAAGATGTGCTTTGGATCACGGAGATGGAGAGGTAATCATTACGGCCACTAGACAGAAATGAAACATTTTTTGTTCCTTTTACCCTGCGAGATAGAGTGCTCAACCAAAGAGTGATTTCCTTCAAACGGCGATTTTTCACTCGTTGGCACACAGCATGCAGTGCACTTTGATTGAGTGTTGTTAAGAGAATATGGTGAATCGAGTTGTCTTGATGTCCTAAATCTAAAAGTAAAGCTATATTTTTGGCCATTCAGAACAAAGGTAAATATTACAATCATCCAATAATCACTCAAACTAAGAAAAACAAACCGCCCCAAGTACGGGACAACGCGAAAGCGCGAGTCAAAATTGAAATCAGTTTTTTCGATTGCCTTTCTCAATGGTTATGACTGGTTGACCTTGAGAAATACGGCGGATATATATATATATATAGCACAAGTGGTAATAACTTCCTCTATAAACCAAAATATCTCGATTGGCCTCATGATTTATTTTGTCTGGTCCAAAAGTGCACGCGAACAGGAGTTTAGGCTCAGTTGCTACACAAGGTATAATCATATTCAAATCAGTTCATTTCTATGTACCTTGTACCCAATTAGAGGCTAGTCTTGCTTTGAAGAAACGACGGATTAGGAAACTTGGATAGGCGAGAAATTTTCTATGTCAACCACACCTTCTATCGTTTGATTTCTTAGTCAACTGTGCTTGTGATAATCTTTGATTCACCGGGGAAACTTTCGCAACCGTGGTCTAGTTAGCTTTTCTTGTTGAAAATTGAAAAAGAAAACTCGTTTTACTGGAAATGAGTGAGTGGAAATCCATCGATTCCCGGTTGGCGCCTCACTCGCGACTAATTTTGAGCGACCACGACTCTAAGAAGATGTAAAAGAAACAATTGGAGGTCGTTGCCATGGCAAATATAGCAGTTTGTTGTTATTCCACGTGTGCTTTAGTGTCGAAAGTTTTCCAGCCTTCATCAGACTATCCTTACCCAGGAAACTACTTTACACTATTTACTATTCCCCTCGGCTAAACCCAATTGGTTTCTCGTTACCTAAGCTACACCCGAGCCAATTGACCCATTCGGCGCGAATTCCTTCCAGCGTTCATAATATGACATGCGTATTTGTACACCTAATGGATGGGATCACATACTCATGGATGAGAAAGCCACCCTGTGGGTAAAGCGCACAATGCTCACAACTGGAAATTTCTGGACTCAGAGTCTAACACGCTGACCAGGATGACATTGCGTCCTCCGCTACTAATTGCGCTTTAAAAATAGTACTTCTTTGCTTTCCATCTTGGCTTTAGGTTGTTTGGTTTACCATCGCATTACACCGACGTCAGTAACATGGGGCGCTCACAGAGACAGCGGCTGTTAGGGAAGTCTTGGAGTGTTCCTGTAATACGGCATCTTCTGTCTCCTTTAAAGGAATACTTTAAATGTGAAGCATGAAATGCTTATATGACGTGACCGATGCATACGCAGCTAGTTGTGTCCGAAAGTGAAAACGGCCAGTTTTTTTTTGTATGTGGTATATTTGTCCCTCGTTTACTGGACTATTTTAATATTCTTCTATTTTAATATTCTTGTAATTCAAGGTTAGTTCTTTCGTATGCAAAAACACCCGTTCCAGTTTTTTTTTCAGTCTGCAAGGAAAGAAACGAAACCAAAACACAGATATGAACGTCTTTTTTAATTTGATGCTTTAGGTAACTCTTGTAAATTTGCTGAATACTAAGTGAAATCCTCCATGTTGCCCTAGGTGGTCACAGCGTAAGGTGCTCAGGACCACCAGTGTAGTAGGGCGATCTCTGTTTGGTTACCAGTTAGACTACGATCGTCACGTTACGTTCTGGTCCAATTGATCGTGCGTCTTTTAATAAAGTTTGTGTTGGGGGTGGGGGGTGGTGTTGCAGGTGTACTATATTCTCCTGGGTGATAGGCTTAACAAACTTGTTCTTTGTTCTAATATTCTAAGAGGAAACAAATAAAAACATCCATCATATCTAGCGTTCGTTTCCTTAGAGTTAGTCTTGTTCTGGGATCGAAGTTGGATCTGGCCCACATTTCTTTTTCGCACATGATCTATGTCTGTATCAGAACTCAATTGCAACGACTGGAAACCAGTGCCTTTTGGCGCAGCAAAATTTGAAGTAGATGTTCACTTAAGGAGGAGGGAAGGGGAGGGTAGAGGCAGGATTCGAGCCTAACGTTACGCGGGAAACAAGTGAAAAGCAAAATCTGGAAAATTTTAGAATGGATGCTAATTTCTTTGTTCAAGAGTGACTTGATGTCTTTCCAATAGATTTCAGCTTTCCCTACTCTTCATTTCATAAAATTATCTGCAAGTTAGCGAAAGCACTTTCGTTTGTGCCACAAACAATACTATACGATTACTTCTATCATACGTATTAGCATATAACTTTTTCGCTCTCCTTATCACTGATTGGTGTTACCAGGAGCAAAAGCGCAAGAATACGTCACGAAAGACTTGGCCAACATACTTACAGTTTCATTACCCCACACAACGAGTTCTATTCGAGAGCGACTGGTCACTAGAACTACATGGAGATAATAAATCATCTTTGCCTTAAGTAAAAACAATAAAAACTCGTACTTTTACGTGATACAGGTGTTGCAACTTAAACTGTAATGGTGAAGATCAAAATCGGTTACAAGTTCTGGTACCGGATGAGAATTCATGAGAACTGCACGTTTAATTGGAAACTTTTCGCTCGTACACTGAATATTCTAATTCAATTTGAAGCAGTTAGTCGTGGTCCAGATATACGTACAGGAACATTCAGCTGAGGTTCTTTGTTTAGCTTGTACATATGTTTGTGATTTTGATTTCACAGGCCAACAGTACCTTTACTTGGTGATAAGCTTTGCGTGCAAGATTGTCTAAAACGAAACTGTGCAAGGTTGGCCAAGGTAAGGCAACAACTACCACAGAAAGTTATGTGTTTCGACAACAACAACAATTAATCTTTTTTTGCTCACAAAAATGGTATTAAAATGAAGCAAGAAAGTTGTTTTATAATGAACAAGTAATCATCATGGGATTTTTGAGCTAGCCCCTATCCAATTTAAGTCATTAAACCTCTGACCAACATACAAGATGTCACATGACTCTTTATTTTGCTGCGTTTGCACTACTTACATGTCACTACAGTGTAGATATACTTGAAGCCATTATCAGCAGGAAAATGAACAGTTTAGACTACAAACAGAACCGAGCGCCAGAAACAGAGGTAGATCTTTGAAATGAAATATCAAGAATCTTGACATTTCGTCAAAATTTCAATAGCTCAGCCAGTCGATTAAACTGATCAACCACTAAGGCTTTAAAACTACTAGCGTACATCACTGAAAGACTACTGCAGTAGTTTTTCAAATTCAATGGTGCTTGTAAACGATAAGTAAATAAACTGCAACAAAACCAAACAGAAGGAACCAAAAATATCATGACGCAAGTAAAATTCCATGGTGGAACTTAACAGCCAATATTTCAGAGGTCACCCATTTTTCCTAATTTTTAAAAAATCTCCAACATTTACTCTTGTAGTTGGTTTTGATTGCCCTTAACTATGGAATTTTTAGCTGACCATTAATTCCAGTTCTTTCGATAGGTAATGCTCAAGAGCAAGAATGGGAAATGAACTCAGCAGAACTGGGTAACAAATTTGTCAAGGTATACGGAGATTTCTTCATTAAGACAACATTGACTTCAGTGAAACTTATTGTGTTAGCATGAGTTAAATTCTAATGATTTTCACTAATTGACAGCAGAGTACAGTACAGACAGCTGAATGACAGAGGTTTACCAAAAGGTATATCCCCCGCCTGTTCCTCCACTGAACCACCCAGCTTGTCGTTGTTGAACATTCACAGGCTGACCTTGAGAAGCCAATGCCTGAGCTGTATTGGGAGCATATCCTGGTGGAGGGGGCTGTCATGTCAAACATAAAAAAGATAATCTCTTAATTCATGATGAAGATACTAAGAAATTCATTCAACCATGGATTGAGCCTAAATTATTGTGTCCCCATCACTCCTACTTGCTGAGCCATCAACATTCCTGTGTTGTTGTGAATTGTTTGTTATCTCTTGGTGAGTATCAGAACAATGATAAACAACTTACTGTGACTTCCTAGGGGGGGAGGAGGGGAACAGACTAAAGAAAGTAGCCCATTCCATAGTTCAATGATTTTCGTATTTGTTTCTTTGTATTTTGCAAAGGGTGTGGTGAGAAGAGGTTTTAAATCTTTATTTCAACAAGTTATTACCACCAAACAATAGCAAACACTAATACTGAAAAAAAACTTCAATCTTCAATTTCATGATTACTACAATCATGTGACCTTCTTCAGAGAACTAATTCTTTGAACTCCACAGCACTTACTACATCAAAATGCCTATCTATACATTCAATCCTTCCTTTACTCACCCAATTTTGTGATGAGGCTATACAATTTACATATGGATTGGTCTGCATTATGAGTTTTATAAGATTAAAAAGGGGGGGGGATGGAGGGAGGGAAGAGGGAAGCAGGGCTATTATCAGGTTATGAGGGAGAAATGTGAGTTATCCTTTAAGAAACAAAATGTCCTTCCAGTGTTTTCCATTGCTTACAAAGAATAATGAAACTGAAAATTTTTTGCTCTTACTGGAATATTCACTGATGATCCAGGTCCAAACCTTGCACCTGGGTCAAAGGCACCATGGACCAGTTGTTGTGGGGGACCCTGTGCAGGGTATTGTCCCACAGGATACTGTTGCCTGAGATAGTGTCCTCCAGCAGTCATACCAGGATACTGCTGCATCTGCAGTTGAGGCTTCATAAGATAAATAAAACAAAATCAGTGAGGATACAACCAAAAGTCTATTAAACTCTATTAACCAAGTCTACACCAAAGTGTATGCTATTTTTTATCTACTGTGTATATTTTGGTTTGAACCTTTCCTTGATTTAAAATTTTGAAGACCAAATTCAATTTTATTTTTGTTTTTCTTTTATTCAAAACTGTATTAAGCAGTTGGCCATGGGGAATGACAATGAGCCTACTTAATACAGGTTGACCGCTTGATACAGATTCCACAGAATAGGAGTATTATAAAAAATTGTGGAAATCTCCATGTTTTGCCATAATTGATTACTTAATTTATAAAAACTTGCTCAAAAATACTACTTACACAGATTTTAGGAGATAAAGATGGATCAAATTTTACTTGAAAGATTATTCTACTGTTTTATACCGGTGGAGAACAATACAAACCACCTCTAGGACTAAGTATGAGTGACCACAACCCCTTAATAGGCCTGACTGCTTAATAGAGGTGAATATTACAGTACTAAAAGGGAAACAATTTCATGGCTTAAACAACCACTGCTTGATGCAGGGTGACTGCCTAACATGGTGCTGCTTAATACAGGTTTGATATGATACTGAAATCTAAAACAAGAGATGTTAAAAGTCAAATTGGTTTCAAAAATTTAAAACAAGGGAAAATTTAAATCACATCATATATAATGTACTGGTGGCAATCTTGATATCATTGTAACACATATATGGTAATTTCTCATAACAGACTTCTACGTCAGACCTTCTTCTACATATTGCTTAACTAAAAAATATAAGAAAAGTTTCCCAACTATTTCATGTTCACCTATTTCCTTTCTTCAAATTCCTAAGAATTGTTGATAAGTTAACTATGCATCTTCAAGACCAATTTATTATTTAAATGTTAATTCATTAAATATTTAGATGTTAATATATTAAATATTTAGATGTTAATATATTAAATATTTAGATGTTAATTTATTAATGATTTAGAGAAACCTGGCCAACCCTGCTGCATCAATGTAATTATCAGTCTAGTAAAATACTCAACGTCAACAAGATCATGTTTAGCTTCAAAGGAGTGAGGTTAAATCCATTTTCCGGTTCCTTGTGATGTACGTAACACTTAAGCTTACAGTTTTACAATTGAAAAACTCGTGGTTTGGAGTTCACAGCTGTATAGACCAGAATTTTATGTCACCACAAGGTCTGACAGGCTCAGGGATGATGATAAACATCCAAAAAATTCTTGCTTCAAAATGTTAACACTTAATGAGGGTAGTGCAACATGAAATAACATAATGGAAGGCACTAAACTTCACCTCAAGGAAACTTAACAGATCACCAAAGCACGAAAAATACATATCATGGAGTAAACAAAGTCAACTCTACCCCAGAACTCAACCTTACAATATTAGGTTTCAAAAACCTAATTTTCATAGGTGTTTAACATTGGTAGGTATTATAATTACCATTGACTGTCAACTTACATTGTACATTCCACTAGGAGCTTGTTGGGGGGCATGTCCTGATATTGGCATTTCGCTGTATGGAGGAGGTGGGACACCATACATTTGTCCACCTGCAGCAGCACTTGCAAACTGTCCCTGCAGTGGATACTGCATGGGCTGAGGTTGGGTTGGGTATGCTGGCTGCTGAGTTGGGTATCCTGCACCCTGCTTTGGGTATGAACCTACCAAATTATAGGGAAAAAAATCCTTATATTTGCCATTTACAGTATTTGGATGGGAATTTTTTATGAACTATTTTGTGATTTGTCTTTTCTATTAGAGATTAGAAATATACATTTTCACAGATTCATTCAAACTGCTTTAGGATATTTTGGTTTTTAGGATACCTCTACAAAGCCATTCCTGCCATCAAAACAAAAAGAGAATTTAAGAAGGAAGTTTGACAGTTTGTTATCCTTCATTTATTTCCTAAATTCAAGATAAGCTGCACCTTTTTGCAGTACACTTAACTGGATACAAGGTTCTTATTAAGTAAATGCAAAAAGACATTTACTGTGGAATGGAGGGTCCTTAGTGAGTTACATCAACCTGTACAAAGGTGACCTTAAACTGGTAGAATGCCAATTCACAAACTTAACAATTAATATATAACAGTTGTTGCAGCTGTCTTTTTTTAAGTAAATATGTAAATAAGTTTTTTCTTTGTTAATTTTATGAAAATGGACCTCTAATTATATGTAAGTGGTGCAAATGAAATGACAGTGTTTGGTGTGAGAATATTAGCTTCCTATGAAAGTATTAAAATTTCTACAAGCATGTTTAAAGTTGATAACTTTGCTTGGCCTAAATTACTGAACTTTTAAGAATGCACATTACTGTATATACAGCATAGAAATTTTACAGCATTTCACATTTTAGAATGGCAATTTTTTTGTATGTTTTTCCAAGGAACAATCATTAGCAGTCAGAGAACACTGAAAATTCTACCTCTAGAAGGTAGTTTTAGGAAATTTCTACCCAAAGAATAAAATCTTAACAAGGAAGGAAATTTAATATTTTCAAATCTTTTGCCATATCAAATTACATAGAAAAGAAGCTATACAGTAGATCATTTGTACATAGATATTTTGAGACAGTCTCGATACAAAGAGTACTAGTTGTTACTTGGGGTTTTGATTACCTTCAGAGATGAGAGAGTTCAACAGCTATTACACAGAATTCCCCTACAAGATTTTCCATTACCTATGGTAACCTATTTTATATTCAGACAAGGAGTGATTAACAAGTATGTCCTCTTTTGCTACATTTCTCACAGAAAAACCCAAATACTTGATTAGCAAATGGAGTATGTCATTCAGCTGAAAGAGCTCTATCTTTGTGGAAACTTATTTTTCGCTCTACGCATTATGAGGAATTATAAGAGCGAGTACACAGTTCTATAGCAAGCTTAGACTAACCTATTCAGATCTCAATCCTTGCTAGACGCATACCACTTACTGATGTGTTAGGGAGAATTGCATATTGCTTGTTTCGAAATCACAGAAAAAATCTTCTCATGTAGACAAAACAGGAATTTTTCGCCATTAGCAGATCTCATGTTATGCTAACTATGACGTCCTTTCGTTGAATTAAATGAATTGGCAGAATGTAATTAGTGACTCTGTATCGTGCAATCATTGTATCACGTGTAACTATCAACTCCTAAGGAACAACAGTATTCCTTCCCCTTTTCTCCTAGATTTATCCCTCCTAGCATCAATGCTTCAATCAACCTTCGTTCGAAAATGACAAAAAGGTTAGCATATTGTCAACTAAGCTAATTAAAAAGCTTACGCAGTATGACATAAGCAAAGAAAGCAGAAGATTTGTCCTTCCAAAAAGCACAACAAGAATAACTTTTGTTGCTAAAATTTGAACTAAAGTCAATAAAGTTTGCTTGACCAACCTGGAGGAGCCTTCGACATACTGAAGCTACCTTTTCCACTTAACAATTCACGGAAAACGATCTGATATAGACGAAAACACTCAAAACGAAGGGAAATAAGCTCTACCTGAGAGAGTCTGGGTAGAGTAGTGTCCAGCTCTCTTTCATATTGATATGTAGCCCAGTTCAGTGCAAAACTTCCGTGTTCCACCTCATATCTCGTTATAATACAATAGCGAAAACAATAGTTTACCCAGCCTTTGGTAGTAATACTTTCTTTTGGAATTGTAAGGGTTCTACGGAATTTCAGCCGGGGTTTAGTCATTCAGTTTAGTCATGCTTTAAAACAACCCCATAATGCCATTTTAAGAGTGATCGAAGTGACCCTGTGCTTGTGCTCTTGGTTAATGAGCCACGCATATAGCATACAGATGAAAATTGCAGTTAAGAACGTATTTTCGAATGGATATGTTACCGCTAGGCGAAGTCAAGCGACAGATATACACGGTATAGTCAGTGACGGTGGTGCATGCTGGCCCTTCTTACTTTCAGTTGGATACTGAAATAGAGGAACTTAAGACTGTGTGGAAAAATTTCATCGTTAAAAAAGTGATGGGAAAGATCTCCAAACCACTCGTTACTCCCAGTACTCTTTCTATGCATTACTCCCAATTTCTATGCATTACTCCCAATGGCAAACTTTTCGCCATCGTTTTCCTTCCTTTCTTCAAAGAATTGTATGCATGTTGTTTGAGGTTACACAGAATCTTGCTTAGCGAAATGATTGGAGCAAGAAATAACGAGGAAGTAATGGTGTTTCCTGGAAAGTCAGCACTGAACAATTTGTAAATCGGGAATCGAGGATGGGGGATCAATGTTGATGAAATTAGAACAATTCCTTCCCCTTTTACAGTTATCTGTTTCCAGTCCCAGTAAATATCTACATTGGGTACCTTGATGGGATATCAGCTCTTCTGAAGGTGCTTTGATAGAAAATTTCTCCCTACACATTTTCCAAAAGCAGCCTATGCCCATTGCTAAGGCTCTCGGGAACACACTGGGGGGAGAGAAGGGATGTAAACTCTAAGACACGACTCCTTCTTTCCCGAGCGCATTCTACACAAATCAACAGAAAAATGGAAGTTTCAAATCAAACAGATTTGAACTCATCTTGATCTGAAGTTCCTTCTAGAGCACAAAAAATATTTTGGCTTCTTCTTTACCTCTACTCTTTATTTTAAGCTGAAAAAAAATATCCTTAAAGGATATTCTTGAATACCACATGTGTTTCAATACCATAATGGTGAAAGACGTTTAATTTCATACCTGAACCATCCTAAATCATAATTTTTGGGGTGACACATAATTTTGAAGCTTGTGTAGGGGAGTAACACCCATATAAGCTGCACTGTTTGCTTACCTCTGAAAGTAACTTGTAAAATGTCACTCTGATTGTCTAAGTGGATTAACTAAGACAAAAACTGATCTTGGCAAATTGAAAATAAGTTTTAAAAATTTTTTACAACTGAGTGCAGCCTAGAAAAATTTGATACTTTCCATGTTACTTTCCTGTGAATTTCCCTTTGTGTAGGGGACATGTGGCAAGGACATTGTGGAGCTTAACACTGATGTGCCAAAACTGGACTGTTTACCACAAAATGTCCTTGCTACAGTTACTTCTGCTCTGTCCCTGATTCATGTCCCAGCAACATGTCTCAAGCAGCATACTCATAAGTATGTCCCAGTTACATGAAGGAGCAATATGTCTCCACAAAATTTACTCCTGGGTGGGCCTTCCTTACAAATCATAAGGTGAGAGCATAACTATTCCACTCACCAATGGCTTGTGTGCTAAGGTTTTGGGGTTGCCATATTCTAAATCATTTTCAATTTATAACTGGAAAAACAAGCAGTTTGATGGTTTTGCTGTACAAAAATTGGAAAATTTAACTGAGGTGGACTGGTTACATTTGAAGAGAAGTAGTATTTGTGGAAACAAAAATAGCTTTGCAAAGGAACATTTATTTTGAGAATGAATCACCTTATGATGCTGGAACTTGATGTGTCTGTGGGTATGTTATTTATTTGGCCAAGATCACATCAATGGCTAAAGTGGATTTCTCTACTTGAAAAATTTAAAAGCTGATAACAAATTATGGGTTGCATCTTTTAGTTCAAACGATCTAAGAACAATAATTATTCTTCCTTGTATTCTTGGTTGTTGCTGCCTGTCTTTTGAATTACAGTGTGCATGGCTTCCCTTGAGGATAATCTCACAAACTTAGTTCTTACTTCTCTTTCTCAGGCTGATTCAGTTAAATGCAGTCCACCTTCCTCTTAAGAAGGTTCTCATTTGGTTTTTCCAGTAGATCTTGATCTTAAGCAGGTGCTACCCTCACTTCTTGCTCAAGGTAAGCATACCAAGGAGAAGGCCTCTGGTAAAAGGGAGCCTTCTGCTGCCCTCTGTTGCCATCACTTCATCCCATATTCTCCCTATTGCCCCATCCACGGCGGTGGTCTGAAAAAAAGTATTATTTACTATCATAGTGTGAAGTTAAAATTAACAACTTGAAGTTAAGTTGTGGTTCACCTTTTGATAACTGATTATTTTCCTGTGTTTCCTAATTGAAAACAGGTTTTTAGATTCAAATTAGCTTTTAACTTGCTAAGTGGTCAACAGACTCACCATCTTTCCACTCATCCCAGTCTCTTTTCTTCTGAAGCTTAACAGGGTCATCTTCACTTTCAGATTCATCATCACTTGTCTTGCCCTTATTCTTCATTTGGTCCCTGGACCACACAGAAATAGTATTTCAACTTTAGATCTATGTTCTTAGTAACAACAACAATGAGGAAGGAAACAGTTAAGAAAGTTTAAATCTGAGAGCAGAAATCCAAAGCACTTTCCAGGAAGATTTCTTAACAAGATTTAGGTCATTACATGGTTTTACGTGGTTTTATTGGAAATTCTCTGAGAATTCTAGCTACTATTGACTCTGTCACTTGAGGGTCTTGAAGGCTTCAAAAATTATTGTGAGGGGCTGGCTAGATGCTTGTCTAGTAGCACCAAATTGGGAACTGATGATAATTAGTTTTCACTCATGGGTGAGCAAGGGAGAGGTTTCTGTTAGGAAACTAAAAACTTTCAACTGTATCATTGGCACAGTACATCAAAAGCCATAGCTAAAGTTAGCTGCAGGAGGAAAAAAAAATTAACAAGAACTTGACCAAATTGAAGGAAGCTAGAGAACCATAATACTGTAAATCTAACCTAGAGGCCTACAGTGTGAAATCTAGGAGAACTTTCCCATGAAATTTGTTGTAAACAATGACAAACAAAAGACATGACTCACTCTTTGTAATCTAACACAACTTTTCCCTCAAGAATTTCTTTTTCTAGGAATTCCTCCTGTGACATGGTAGGAACACTTGGGTACCCTGCCCCAAAGACTTTGTTCTGATGGTAAAAGAAGCACTCATTAGCATGAAATTACAACTAAAAGGTCTGAAACAAATACATATTGCAGGCTTCAGGTGTGACACCACTTTTTACTCAGCAAGAATGTGAATGACTGGACTGATATCACTTGTAATTATACTCTTTTCATGCTTCACCACGAATGCACAAGAGGCCATGTGGTTCCCTGATAGCCTTGTCAACCTTGGGGAATGGCTTTCATTGGGCTCTAGGTATTCATCAGAAGGAGGCATATTTAGAAGATTGAAGGTTAGAGGGGAGTGTTCATAGGATGTGTGGAGTTTGATGGAGTGGCAGTAATTAGGTCATTAGTTTAGTTTACATAGCCTTGAATTATCTACCAGCTTTATTAGCAGAGCAAGTGCAGTAAAACATTACTTACCCTAATCATTTCCCTAGTTATCAGAATTGGTTTAAAGCTCTGTTGAGGCTAAAATAAAATTATTTGATACAGTTTAATTGTAGCAACAAGAAGGAAGGGTGATTTTATCTTCCCACAAATACTGAAGAGCTATGCAAAAGTTATGGTAAAATCTGTGCATAGTACGATTTAATTTTGAATGCTCAAAGTTTTACACCATTTTAATAATCATACAGTTACGTTCATTTGGAAGAACAGCTTCCCTCCAACAAGTGGAGGCTAGCAATAAATAGACAATTGACAGGCCATAAACTGGAATGAAACTAGTTCAGAAAAAGTTGGGCAAGAGATGAACAATAATTTATTTTGGAAGATACTGTTTACCAGTACATCAATTCATCAAATGGCACAACAACAAGAAAAAGGGGAAGTTATAGAACAAACTAAATGCAATCCCTTCTACCCAATTCCCAGCCATGAAGGATGAACAGCCTAATTCAGTTTTTCACTTAAAGCTAAACAAGGAAGCAACAATGGCAGACAAACCTTTGTGGTTACAGGTCTGTCATCTTCTCTGCCTTTTAGTGTCTGCATGTGTTTCAAGATCTCCACTTCACCTGTGAATTTCAAAGAAGTACAAAGGAGAGATCAGCAATACAATAGCAACAGGAACCTGCACACTTCACCCTCAACAAGAGCTAATTTTTCCCACAAAAACACACGAACAAACCTGTAGAAAATGGACACATCTATTGAGCAGGCATGCATTGGTGAAGGTCATAAAAATGTAATTATAATTTCTGGTTGCCTACACATGCATTTAATTAAACTTGTATGTTGGCCAAAATTAAGTGTACATCAAATATAATCAAAGAGCTAAATTTCCATTGCCAGAAACACAGTCTAACCTCCACTACTCTTGTCTAAACTACCCTGAAACAGTGAGATTAGTGACTCAAGGTATGCAAATACACTTCTTCATATTAATTTCTTAAGTGGGAAAATTTCAAAGAGAACCTAGGCACACATGTTTTCAAGATATGGATGGCAAACAGAAGGCAAGAACAACTCTCTTCCTGCACTTTCACCTCTATCAACAAATATAGTGCTAAGTACTATTAAAACTAAATTACTATTATGTGGGAAATAATCCTGTAATGAGAACCAGAAACATTTTAAAAAATGCTTTACTTTGGACTGTAAACTACCATTCATGGCCCCATTAGGAGCCTGTTTGAGCGGTCAGTTGTTGCATCTGTAAATCAAGACTTACTTTGAAGACTTGCTAAATGATCCACAACTTTGTTGATCCAAAACTTTAAGAGCAGAACATAATAACTTCTCTGTGAAATACAAAAAAATTCAAATTAAATATAAGAACAAAAAAAAAACACACAAAAGAAAGGTAATGTTAGAGTGCAGTTTTAATCCCTTAACTAGAAGAAGTGATTATGTTAACTCTCCCTAATAAACATAATTGAACAAGCAGGTAATAAGGACAAAAAAAGCTAGAATGAGTGATAATTATTTAAGACTTAACCCTTCTACTCCTAAGATCTCATTTAGTAATTTTCCCTGATGTCTACCATACAATTTGTATGATTTTAGTTCTGAGAATTTGGATCAACAAACAGTCCCCTAATTGATATTTATCTTTATTTTCATCACCTAAATGACTGCTTGATATTGTATTTGATATTGTAAGGAGAAATTGGGTCACTTGTGGGAGTTAAGGGGGTTAAAGTGTAATCAGAGCATCATAAATTGTAAATTCAATCACCTGAGTATCTTCATCTGTTACAGGCCTGGATGACTCACCAAGGATATTCTGGAGTTCCTGCAAACATTGATGACCAATTATACTTTATTTCCATAACTAGCAAATGTTAAAAGTTTCACTGTATCACCAAAGAGAAAACACCCATTTCAATAAACTACTGTTCCTTTTTCTATTCCATGAGAATTCAATTCTTAATAAGCATCTAAATTGCATTGCTTGTTTGAGAGTAAACTGAAAATTCTTATTAAAAAATAATTAAGTATTGTTATTCATTCCCTAAATACCAAAAGTAACTTGCCTTGTGCAGGAATTTGGCACAGTTTCCCCAGAATTGTATGCAACATTACTACACAAAAAATACTGAATTCTTAACCTTTATTCTTTTTTCTTGTTCCTTTTGTTCCTTGTATCTTGCTATTTTTTCTTGACGACTGTTTGCCATTTGATTGATACTTTTTTCTTCCACTCTTGGTTCATCTGTTTCTTCATAGTATCTGGAGAGGTCCTTACACAGTGTATACAGGAGAGTTAGTATGATTGTACATACTAAAACTACATGTATTTATTTCCCTATTGTATCAAGGTAAATGACTGATAAAACTGCAGGCTATCTAATCCTACTGAAATGTGGAGGAGGAAGGCAAGTGTCCTAAAAATATACAAAGCCTTGTGCCAAGACAGAGAGAACTTTTATTTTTAAAAATCATTCCAAGCTTAGTTCAAAGACATATCATGACTAAAAGGCAAACACTTGACAATCTACATCCTTCTTAAAATTTAAAGAGCTCTATTTACAGTCTGAGAAATAAAGTTATGTATTAAGTAAAAATAACTGTAAACATCAAAACGTAACATTATCATGCTTACCATGTCTTTTACTCCATAATTTTTACATCTTTTAAGAAAGTCAATAAAGTAAACCTAAGGCAAGAAAACACAAAGTGCTAAGTTTATTCGTGTAATTTGATCTTCTGAGTGAGAGAAATCCTGAGAAGGACTCTTGTTGGTTGTGGTGACTGACATTTTGACAAACTTAATGAGAGTTTTAATCGGGGTCAAGTGAGAAGTTGTTGTCAGTTGAGTGTTATAAATTTGGTTTGTGTAAACTGATCAGTTCATTTTGCCATGATGTTATTTGCTGAGAATCAAGTGGTGTAAGTGGGTTGTGACTGGTCAGTTTTTATCTGTGGGTAATTCTGTCCATTGCAATTGTTGAGCAAATGTCTTAAATAAGTTGCTTATAGGGTGCTGATAGTAAGTTTCATTACATGGAATGTAATTTGTAGGAAATATTGCTTTGTTCTTGAAACAATAATTACAGATTCATCATATTTATTTGAGAAGATGCACATAGAATTAATGGCTATACAGTAATTGTGAAGAAGGAATTTGTCAGCAAGTCTCTCTTTTTTCTTTTTTTTTCATAATTCAGTGTATGGTTCATATAAACAAACCTTTGCAATGTTAAGTAAAGTCATTCTATCAGTTTCAATCTTCCTCAGAAACAGGTCACCAAGAAAAGCTGGTAACAATAGATATCTGAGGAAATAAGAATATTAAGGCATTTATTTAACATTGTGCACTTGGTAGTAAAATAACAGCAAAATCTTGGTACCACAGGAGAGAATGCATCATTATTACTGCCTAAAAATGTCTTGATAATAATTTTTAGTATATACCAAAAGATAAGATGGCATTGAAGGCATGCTCTGATTGGCTATTCAAACTCCAAATATACTTTACTATTCCAGCAATTTAATATTCTATTCCAGCAATGAGCACAGGATTTGTGCCCGAAAATATTGTAATCATTGCAGGAAAAAATCAATAAGATTCATCTTTTTTTGTGCTACATTATCACCTCAGTGTTGGTGGCTAGCAGCAGATATATCCACCATTAGCCAATTCCAAATTGGTGAGTAGTAGTTACATGTAATTATCATCCAAGTTAGAGTTTGTAACAAATTTATGGTTCAATAGTTTCAAATGCCTTGATTCTATAGAGATAACTGACTCATATCTCACACTAACTCTAATCACAATCAGTTCCCACTTGCTCTAAGTTATTAACTGTACTGTTCTCAACTCCTGATGAGTCAAACTCCTGCACCAAATACAGTCCCCATAACCTTACACTCACCTTAACTCAGAAGTTGGAACCTCAGACAACTCTTCATTTCCACTGAACAAAACCAAACCATTGACTATTTCTGTGGCACGAACAAAGTGATCTACAGCAGTGCTGACCTTCTTCTACACAGAAAAAATGAATGAAACAGTATCAGTTGATCCATCAAGAACACATGAAATAACTCAATACCACCAGCCTCCACAAAGGAGGGAAATAAAAGTGTCATCTGTGTGATGCAGTACAGTGTAAAAATTTCCTGATTCCTCATAAAGGTTTTTAAAGGCTCCTCATTGTGTTTTGAACCCACTTGTTTTCCCTTTTTAAAACATGAGACAAAATTCAATTAATTTAATAAAATTAGCGTTTAAGGATACCTCTCTGGGGAACTTTCTCACACATCTGAAAACAACTTCTCAGATCTATTGATCACAATGTTAACTACTAAAAGTTTCAAATACAGTAGGTTGTAATCTTCTCAGGTTAAAAATTACAGCTTTGTCGTTGAGGGTACTTCCTGGGCATTTCACTGCAGACCTTTTTCCTTGTGGATATGCGAGGCATATGAAGTAGTGGTACAGAGATTCAATATGCAAATTTTGTTGCATTAACCTTTTAACTCCCAGAAGTGATTTACTTGTAGCATCTCCCTATAACATCCTTACATTATCCAACGAACAGGTGTTGAGAATATTCAGACTTTTCAGGAAGAGGTTTTTATCTTGATCTAACACCAAATTTAACAAGGAAATTAGTACCAGCTAGAGGGGAGAATTAACATTCAGATCCTAGGAGTTGAAGGGTTAATATATCATAGGCAAAGTATTCTTTATTACTGTAGTATAAGTAATATATCAAAATGAATAAAGCTACTGTCAGGGGGATATCGATTTAATTATTTTCTTCATTCGGTCTACTAACCGAGTGGGTTGCCCTAACCCCCTTCAGTTGCCAATGGCTCGATTCTGTTTCTTGGGAACACAGTACCATTGAATTCTAGTATAATCAGTACATATTCTTGTCATATTCTGCACAATATATCTACGAGTTCATCATAGCGTCACTTTGATTGTAGCCCTGTACTTAATTTTAATAACGTCCACGACTTCATTCCGCAACGCACAAAATTGAAAATCCAAACAAACGTAGTATGTAAAAATACACTAATCATACAACTCAGAATGAATGTAAAAATACCTGAAATATCTCCGAGGTGCTCGATCCATCGTCATCTTCTATCTCACAATGTAAAACAAACCCTTGTTCAAAAATGTCTCCAAGAGATAGGGCCTTAGAACTTTCGGCGGCCGCCATAAGTCACCAACAGGGACAAATATATGGAGTTACATGAGTAGAACTTTGTGGCGAGGTTTAACCACTGATAAGAAAATGTGCGGTCTCATAACATCTGGAACTAACTAAAAAGGTAGCCTACTCCAAGGTAAGACGGAGGCGAGGTTCCCTTGCTTCCGTTTCACCTTGTGGGGGAGGGTACGGCTATACATAGGCTACTGAAATAGTAAATGGAGTGTCTAGTCCGGTTGGTCATGACTTCCCAGCGGTTGCAAGTTTTTCGAGGAATATTGAGGGAGTTGCGACATCTTTTGCCATTTAAGGTAATTTTTTTTTAAAAAAAGGGCTGTATTGAATAGGAAATCTGAAAAACCTGTTAATTCTTGCGCGAAACGCGAGTACTATGGTCCCAAGGGCCACTAGCCCCCATGTTCTCCCGTGTATCACATGTGCTTGCATGAGTAAGCTTTGTTTTAACATGAAGCTAGAGAGAATCAAGGAGAAAAGTAGAAGCGATGTGATGCCATGAAATCCAAGGTACTGCGTGCGTTTTGGCCCTTAACTTAGTGCACTTAGCTGAAAGCCTTTGAACAGCTTCAAAATTCTTCAACCAGTTTAAATTCACTGTAAAATTTCTCTTCCAGATGTAGATGATATGTCAAACAATTTTTTAATTATTTCAATACTCCTTAAACAGGCGATGGTTGCCACCCCTGTTTCCTTGAACTCAAGCTAGAGTATCAATTACTCCCCTCACCCCATCTCTGTGTTTCGGGCGTTCCCCCTGAAAGAGAAAGGGAAGGGAGGGGATGGGGGTTGGTGGGATTCCTAAATATCACATTTCCTCCCTTGAGATAGTAATAGACCCTAGGATTGTCAAAACATAACCAATTTTCTAAAATTGCTTAGAGTTGTTGGCATGTGTCTATAAACAAAATACCAAAATCTATACAAATTAGAAATTGAGATGATTCATGTACTGCATTTTGACACAAAAATGCTGAATACTCACACCTCAGTTGAAAAATGCATAAATACCTGAATCCCTGGAGCCCTTGACTGAGCCTGAAAAATTCAGATGTATGATTTGCTGGAGTCTGAAGTGGTTTCAATAATTGAATTTGCTGGACTTGTGCAACCAACATACATTAGGGCAGTGAGAGTGACGAACTCACATGAATGGGATTTGGAGATTCGTTTTCTGCATTGAGAGGAGAGCAGGGTGCAAGTCATATGCTAGATGTTTATTTTAATGACCTGAAGGCTTATCCTCATCAAAATTGTTTTTTGGTTAAAAATGATTGAAATCTTATGCCTACAGCTTGCATTGCATAGCCTTTAAGAAATGCCTCTTAAAAATACTTTCCATTTTGCCCTTTTAAATTTAAGTTTTAAAGGCTGATGTATGAAAGCCAGGAGTGTAGATATCAATTCATTAGTTAACTAGTGATTCCTTTTCATGTTAATTCCTATTCAAATAGGAACCTGTTACTTCAAGTTTGGAAGGCCAGTATCTGATAACAGAGTTTCATAATTATTCCCAGGCTGGAGAAGCTTTAGCACAGAAGCTCTACTTTGATTGTGTGTATTATCTTTGCTTACTTAGAAGTCAAAGAATGGCTCAGGTGAGTTTTATTTCATTTTCATCGTAATTATGTAAAATTTGTTTAAATTTTAAACTACTGTAGTTGATGTCTCCTTTGTTCTTTAATCAAAAGAAAGTAGAAACCAAACTAGTTTGAAATCACTCTGACCTGAAATAACTCAATCAAGGAAGTCATTAGTAAAGTTTGTAAAATAACTGAGAAACTACAGCATATCATTCACTACACTGGTAAACCCACAGAAATTTGAATTTGTCATATAAAAGCAATAGACCAGTCTTTCTATCATAATCAGTTTACTGGCATATAGTAATATTGGGAGAACACAAGAAAAGTTTGTAGAACACTTGCCTGGGGCTTATGATGTACATACTTTTTTGTGTTCTGGCAATCCAACATCAAACATGGATTATGACACCAGTGAACTGAAAGAAAGTGCCCTCTATTGCTCAACTGTATACCTGCATTTTGTGATAAATAAATGGTTGATGGTTGTTACATAATCTGTTACAGATGCTTCATGAAAAATACAAGGGGGTGGGTGAGAGGCCAGTGGAAGAAGTGGCAAGCTTAGTGGGTTTTAAGCTTCCAAAGCAATATCGAGAACCTTCAAATGATTCAAATGAAAAATGATATTATTGGTTTGCATGTGGCAAGGATTCAAGACAAGTGCTGGTGTGATAGGAGGGCACACCAAATACACACTGGTGTGGTACAGTTAGAGTGGAGATGGATTCAATGTATAAAAGAGGATTGACTATAGATTGTGGAAGCTTTTGGTGAAAGTACCAGTAACAATTGTTTGCATGATGAAAATCGCTGTGGCACTTCAACTGAAGTATTGAAAACATTTAGTACTGAAACCACTAACTTCTAGGCCACTAGGCGTCTAAGCTCTCAAGAAGACCTGCAATATGTAGGAGAAGTATGCTTCAAAAAATTAGGCAACTTTTATATCAACCATTACAAAGTATTATTACATGACTTTATAAAATTGGCCACATTCTTAGATTTGTAGAGTAACTTAACATTTCAAAACCTGTCTCCACTTTTGCCTAATATTGGACTTCCATGCTGCCTTTTGCTACAGAAATAACAAAATGTTCCTTTATCTAATAACCAGTGCAGCTGTGGTTTGTGAATTAAATAGGGTCTTGTTTCCCATTTTTTGAAATGGGGCTGTCCATTGTCAAATTCTCAGCACCTTGGAAGACAATTTTGGAACAATCAGGCTACTTTTTGGGATCTCAAATGTGGTGCACATTGAATATCTATTCTTTTTTTAAGGGCCAAGATGAAATTACCAGTTGAACACACCTCTCCTTTAACCCTTTCTTTTTTAACTGATTGAAGTAATGGAGTGGAAGCTGGGCACAGAAATGTGGTAACACATTGTTTTGAAATGGAGTCTTTGCATTTCTAGTGTAATAGTCTTCAGAATTAGGGTTCAAAGGTTCCTGTATTGAACAATCATCTAGAAATACTTTGTAAGATAGTCAAAACCCTGGTAACCCCTTCTTTTACCCCAAAAAGAATTATGTTTCTCTGAATAATATCACCCACACTTATTTGAGTTAGTTTAAAACCTTTATTTTGACTCAAGCTTTCCTGGTGTTACAAAAAGCATACCTCTACATCATAACAATAATTATTACTGCTCATCAGGCACGTTGTAATTGACCATTGGAATAAAAAGGCAACATGCTGATATGCTGTTAATTATTAACTTCTATTAATACCTAGCTGGAAAACTATTAGAATTAAATTTTGCGTAACAAGACTTAAATTTTACTGCTTCAGCTCTATATTTAGTTAGCAACTTATTTAATAATTACAATGACTAACCAATCTCATCCTGACCAGCAAACCTATGGTGCTTGAAGCACAACAAAATCAGGTGAGAATAATTATCCCATATCTCTGGAACATAAATTCCATTCAAAAAAATCATTTAAATTGATTCTCTACACAATAAGCTACCAGCACTTATTTTCAATATTTTGTTCTACTTGTGGAAGTAGTTTCTACAAAGAATCACAAGTGAAATGAGACTTTTAAAGCATAATTGATTACCAGCTACTTTACAACTTGTCTCAATACTTAATTAACCCTTTAACTTCCAGAAGTGATTGTCAAGTAACATCTCCTTGTAATATCCACACATTATCCACCAAACAGGTAATGGGAATTCACAAAATTATCAGTCAAAAGTTATTTTCATCTAACAGAGGTGTGACAGCTAGAGGAGAGAATTGACCATCAGATCTTGAGAGTTAAAAAGTAATTTGATCACATTTTCTACAAATTTCATTTCTTTGAAGTACATGAGAACCTGCCCTCTGGCAACACCTTGAGAATAGTAAACAGGTGACAGGCAAACAACCACATGAATTTAAAAAGGAACTGACAAGACAATGTAACAGTTAGAATTCCAATAACTACATGAGGACAATTAAATCTACATGTACATAATCAAGGTGTGAAATGAATGGCTTTCAAATTATATCTATCTGGCTGATTAAAACTTATACTGAATTGCATGCATCTACATGAACCTCAGAAAGGACTTTTCCCTAAGTAAATGTTTATCCAGATCTTAGATGAATGATTACCTGCCAATGCTAAAACAGCTATATGAAGAACAAATTACACTTACTTCCCAAAAGGTATCGTTAAAATGCGAAGAGACCTACACCAAATTAATCAAAAATAGCCAATTAGAATAAATTAGAAAGATCCAAAGATAATTCGAAGTTCCCACGAGGTTAGCAAATACTAGCCAAGATCTACTTCAGAAATATGAAGCTGTACATGTTGAGAGCAAGAAATGCATCATTCCTGGGTGAACCTCACAGTAGACACTGGACACTTTCTCCCACAAACTTGGTTATGAAACAAATACAGCAACAATTTTTTAATTCTTGGGTCATAGAAAATTAAGAATATACATCTATTTATGGATATGAGCAAACTTGTTTTCCACTGATCTACAGCTTCTAAAACAGCGAACACCTTGGTTCCATGCAAAGGGTTGTCTTCAAGTCACTTTAACTAACTAGTGTGTTTTTACTGCACCCTATCATAAAAAACCAGCAGACTTGTCAGACTTAAACTGTTTCAAGTCAAGAATTGAGTGTCTCATTCAACTTTGAGATTCAGTCAAAGGTACATTAGAGACTGTCTCATATGTGGCTACTCCATTACTGATTAGTGCTGGCTCAATGAGTTGTGTGTTTTCTGGTACAGTGTTGCGTGTTCCAGACACTGAATGAACAATACTATTATCATGCACTTGGGCAAAGCTCACATCAGTAGTAGAAACTGTAGGGCGAGAACTTTTCACTGGGCTTCCCTCAGAAGTCAAACACACCAAGGCTTTTACGCGGTCTTCTGTGAAAGAGAACTGACCAACTGGCATGTTGGTAAAATCTAGTTTTGTTGGTTCTTTCTCAATGCTCTGGTCTTCTTGTTTCTTAGCATCAAGCTCTGCTTTAAGTGAGAGATTAGGGCGGCCTTTTCCAGAGGCCATTCGTTTCATCATTTGCTTTCGGTTGCAGAACCAGACTCTAACAGTAACTGGCTCAAGGCCCAACTTAGATGAAATTTCAATAATTTCTGCACTGCTAGGCTTTGGATTCTGTTCAAATGCATGAATCAAATACTGAAGAGTTTCATTCGAGAAAGAAGTTCTTCTTTTGCGCTTCTTGCACATTCTCAACCCTTTGGCACACTCCTGTTCTTTTTGCTCAATCCAGCCTTGCAAAACTGGCTTCATTTTTTCTGCAGCCTTCAGACCAAGGTTTTTAGATTCAAATCGTGAAATAAATGACTGACTGTAAGAGGAATGTCCATTGCTGTGGGACAGCTCATTACCCACATCTTCCTGAGTGTATCCCAGAGCAATCCGCCGTGCCCGGAAGGACTCAATGAAGGCTTTCATGTCAGCTGTTAAGCAACTATCAGATAGCGTGCCAAAGATCTGTGCTGAGGAATTTGGTGAATCTGACAAATCCTCAACTGATGTCTGGCTCACTTCTTGTGAAGGAGGTGGTTCCTGGGCTTTCACCACTTGAATTTGTGTAACCACCGGTGCCGGAAGAGTAAGTGAGGAGGTTGGAATAGTGTAAGTCGAGTACCCAGAAATTACACCTCCATTTTGAGAAACAGGTAGAGCTTGTATCTGGCTTGTGACAAAATGGCCCACCTAAGCAAATGGCAAAAACACTGAGTTCAAACCAGATACAGAAACCATACCAAATAAACACACAAAATACAGATCTAGTTCCTAGTCTTTGGTTAAAAAAAAAAAGCTTCAAATCAGTTTAACTTGTAATTCTTCTCAGTCTTCTATCATATAAGAGAACTTGAAATAACACGTCACCAATTTAATGGCTTGGCTTAAATCTGAATTCAAACTACACATACAGCTTGTACACCATAAAACTTCTTTTCAGCTAAGGAAGTGGCAAGTGGCTTACCAGTTTAAATGGCCAGAAAGCTTAATAAGATTCATACACAATGACATTGTGATTCTTTTTACTACATTTAAATCATTATTTTTTATATAGTTCTTTTAATATTCATAAATCTTATGATAAAAAAAAAAGAGAATCCTTGCATAGGTAGAGTTCATTACACTCAATTGCAAAAAATACTGACACCTCAAGAGCATGATCCATGAACAATGAGACCCAATGCCTTCGTGAGAAATATTCACATTCATATATAATCAGTAACTCACTCTTGTTATTCATGGAAAATCATTTCTTTCAGAAAAGCTTGGATAGCTTTCATCATTCCCTGTGTGTAACCAACAGTGGAAATCATGTACATCTAACCCATAAAGCCGTACAGGATCACTATTCATTGTAAAACTTTTTAGGTGTCGACATTTTTGCAATCAAGTGTATATTGTTGTATAGTGACTTGCCACACATACTCACCTGCATACTCGACTGTATTGACTGGTTGGTATTCTGACAAAGTTGTTCAGAGCCAATAACTGACCTTGTGTTACCTATATTAATAATAGATGGTGCGTTGTTACAGTTACAAGTAAGTATTTAAAAGTTAGTTTTAACAATACTAAGAGCAACAACCACCTACTTTCTTTTTAAAGGGATCTCCATTTATGACTCCATTTAACATATCTCTTAGTGCCTGCATTATGTTAAGCAGGCTGTTTTCCCTGTTTTAACCCACAGATTTAAAAAATATCTCACCGACCTTGTTTTCTTAATCCACACAGTGTTACAGAACTTCATTTTTTTTCACTCAAATTTATGGTTTCCCACTTGGGCCATAAATCTGCCCAGAAAAACTTGGTTCATAACTTACAGTACAAACTAAGAAAATGAGTAAGAGGTATTTATTAGTCTTGACTCACAGGGTTACTCAATTTTTGAGAAACATCAATCATCATTAGCATTATTGTCGTTATTATCATGAGTATTATTGTTAATGTTACCGTTACCATTATCATTTGAAGGTTATTAATTTCAGAAGAGAGTATTTTGCCACAATGAAGACTAGTGAAACACTGAGTATACTTGATTATCTATTTTAGAAAAATTTTAAAAGCTGATGATTTAAGCATTATCCATGGTTACAGTACATGATGCTGACTGCCAGTCATAAACCCCACAATGGTTGATTAAAGAGAAAAAGTTGTGCCATAAATTCAAAACATTGCATTTTTTCTCCCTAAACACAAGTCCAAGGATCCCCCCCAAAAAAAAAAAAAAAAAAAAAAAAAAACAGCTCTTGGACTATAATGGTGTGTACCTTAGACTTTTTTATAGACTTTTCAGGCTACCTTATTTTCACTTTTTATACTAATTGCACTTCACCATGTTAATTAAATTAATGGGACAGTTATTTAACCAAAGTTTAACCATTGTCAACAAAACTGCGTTATAAACAATCTTGAATTTAGCTTAATCTTTTATCAGATAATTTATTTTTGCGAACAGTTTCAAGAGGGCTGAAAGCTAGCAGTTAAAGGATATATATTTAATGAAAACAACCCTCTTACAGAGAATCCCAGAGGCCCACTGCTTGCGGGAAACCGCAGTTTGGGTTAGACCTCGTGTAAATAACCAGCCCAATGTGTTTCTTGAGATGAAATATCAGGTTATAAAGGGCTTTCACTGATAACAATCATAAATCCGAAATTATTACCTGTTTAGACATAGAATCATTTATGCAATTTTGACAATATAGACAGTGCATACAAGTGATAGTGCACTCTTAGTGCAGTTGAAATTTAATTTAAAAAATTATCAGTGCTTATGCCAACCAATAAATGCAATGTGGGTTTGTCTGCTAAGGCTGTGTGAAAGGAGACAGTGCAAGGCAACACTGCTGCTAGTTGTGAGAAATAACAACACCACACAAAGGAAAACTCCTTCTTTTGCTGATTCAGTAAATGTTCTTGTTTTTATTTAAAGCACTCCCTCCAAGTATCCAGCAATGCATTACTAACTTTGTTTGAGCCTTTTAATTCCTACACTGAAAAAAACTACATTCTTAAGCATGCTGAATTAGCCTTCAATTCTTAAAAGGAAGACAAACTCTATGTTAATTGCCAATGTTACAGCAATAAAAGTAAATAAACCACACTTGTAAATTTTGAAAAGGTGATTGGAGCTGTCAGGTTGATTAACCTCCAAAACCTAAACTTGTAAATTTATCTTTACCGACTTCAAGTTCTCAACCAACTTTTGTCCTTTCTTCGGAAAGTACTTGACAAATAAGTGAATCGCACTTGACAACATCACGGCCAAAAGTTCTGGACTCTTCTTACTTTAAGAGTGCTTACCATCTAAGGACACTCACAAATCAGAGCTAGATGTAACTCACCAAGTTGGATTTTTTGGTAAGTGCATTAAACTGTTAAGCAGAACCGACAGACCAGATTATTCATTTATGGCTAATGTGATAAGATAATGATAAATTATATTAGCATGTTTTGTTTTAAGAGCTGGCATTCTGAAGATTTTTTAGGCTGCCCTGCCTATTTCTCTGTGGAAGTTAGCCAGTTTGCTATTAGTTAAAAAATTAAGCTGAGAATAAAGAAAATGAGAGAGATTATTTTTGAGCAATAATTTTCCTCTTCACAACTTAGGGAAGACTTCAAAAGAGGACATGCCTGAATTTTCAGAGAACCCAATCTGCCAGTCAGTTTTGAGTAAAGGCACATGCCACATGCCATAAGCAAATTACTGTAGATTAATCAGGCTGTTCCTCAAGGGCATTAAATAGTTGTCCCAGTGTTAATTCATTATGTGAGATGTTTTAATATTCAAAGATACCACAAAGTTACTAGACTGGTGAAAGTGCAAGCTTATAACCAAAATGTTATGTACCTTGCATCACAACAGAAGTATAGAAGTGCTGGTGCATTTTCTTAAGATCAGCAACAATCTTTTCCTCAATTTCTCTACCAGCCTCTAATTCAGAATCTGACATCCATATAGCTGTCTCTTGAGTAGGAGTGATCATCACAACTGTCTTCTTGCGAGTTTGTAGGATGTTTGATACCACCACCTAGAGTAAATTTAAGAATTGGTATATATATAATTATCTAATTACACAATTTGGTGTGTAGTATCCCTAATTATTTTTATAAGTTGTGCTGAATTTTGAAGAGCCGTCAGGGAAAGTCAAAATGCATATGTAACCATTCAAAATACTGAGCAGTACTACACACCAAAACATCTGGTAAGTTATTTATTATCCAACTGCTTTATTTTATGCACATTTCCCATCAGGCCTGAAAACTAAGGCAGATAGCTGAGCATAGCATATGCAGCCAACCAGTCAAACAGGTTTTTTTCCAGTACAAAATGATTAAATTTAGTCCAATATACTAAGAAATAACTAGTGATCAGTCATGTATAATTGATTCATCTTTCTCTTCCTTTACAGATTTGGATATTGCTGTAGATTTTGAGGACTTTTTTATTACTTTCTTGTATTACAGTGAGAATACCCTACAAGTATGAAAGTATTCTCAATAGAGATCCATGGGAAATGTCTCACATGCTACAAAAACAAGGTAAAGTAGAGTTGATCATAAGAACTTAATCCATAATGGCTGCTAAATGGTCACTTGCTACTTCACAGCCTCCTACTCAACCAAATTCTTAAGTAAATGTAAATCAGTAGAGGTAATGGGTCAATCAATTCAAAGCTTCAACACTGCTCCCCTACACAAACATTTGAACTCTTGGATACTGGATGACTCAAATTCCAAAAATGCACTACCCAAGTGCCAAAGTGCTGCTTAATGGTCAAGTGCTATTTACAGTGTACCTCACAGTCTACACCTCCACCAAATTCTTATGTAAAAGTGAACCAGTAGAAGTAATGGTTTGATCAATTTCAAGCTTGAACGTTGCCCCCTACCCAGACATTGGAACTTTTGAAGATTGGTTCATTCAACTTCCAACCCCCTAAGGAACCAAAAGTGTTTTTACATGCCTTACCCAAGTGCCAAATTTGATGGTTAGAGGGCAAAATAAGGGACAGTGACTTTCTATTCTTTGACCATGCTTTAAACCTAAACCATGTAGACCTTTCCTTCCAATCCATTCATTCATAGAAGTGAACTCCTTACCTTTAAACACCTCTATATTAAAAGACATAAATTATATTAAGATATATTCAACTTCTTGACCCCAACCAGGCAAGGTTCAAATTCCCCACTCCTCAGGCACAAATGACAGAAATGCCCCTTGGTTGCTTAGGGAGTGAATTGATTGGCACATAATCAACAAGTAGGGAACAGAAAATATAAAAAAATTACCTGATGTGAGTACTTGGCTAAAGCCTCGCGTGCCTTCTTAGAGATAATGTTCATGTCGGTCTCCAACTATACACCAAAGAGGAGTTTATGTCAACATTTTAATTAATTGAAGCTGGCAGTCTTGGTAGTTATGATATAGCAAAGTGAAGAAAATCTATGTTCAGCATCCAATAGATTGTGTATATCTTTTCCTGAGGTGTCACCACAAAGGACATAATTAAAAGCAATTAAAAGTAAACTCAAACATCTTTAATAAAAATAAATTAAAGCCATATGCCTTAACCCTCTCCTCCCAGGAGTGACCATGAGAGAATTTCTCCTTTTTTTCCCCATGTCAATAAAATAATTGCAGAAGGTAATGAGCATCTAGAGTAATATAAACCTGGGGTTATATTTGGAATGATTTAAAACCAAATTCTTAATAACGTTATCTCAAAAAATGCATGGTAGATGGTAAGGAGAATCAATGTTAATTTGATCTTATGAATGAAAGGGTTCCATCATCAAACAGTAAACCATTGGAAAAGTTGATCTCAAAGCAGCAATGAATAGTGATACTAAGTAATTCTTTAATTTTATAAGATTTCCTTGCCTTAAATGAGACAGTAAATGCCTGTGGTATCCATTCTTTCACAAGAGGTGCCATCATTTTAGGGGACTGCACCAAGTTAAGCTGCAGAGGAGCATTTGATTGAATCTTGTGTTTTGGCTGTACAAGAGAATGTCAATTAATTTTTCAGCATTCAAGAAGATTTATGACATGTTATAACATTATGCTTGTTCACATGGCTTAACATTTAATCATCTAAAGCAAAAAAGCTCAGTGTTAGAATGTTACAAACAATAATCTGAAGAATATGGGAAGTCAAATAGAAAAACTAGTCTTCCATATTGTTACAACACATTTGTAAGGGACAAAATGTCTTTATGTTGCTTGGTGGTCATCATTATTCTGTAGTATTACCTAAATGTATCAAAGTATTTTGACTTGGTTTATCTTGAAGAAATTACACTTGTCCCTGTACATGCATTTTTTTTTCAAAGCCACATATTTTTATCATATATCATAGTCTTAAATAAGCACCCAAGCTCCAATAAGCACCCTCCGCTGAATAAGTGCCCAATCCCTAAGCCATTATGTCAATCAAGCAAACCCTTGAATAAGCACTCTCTTCCCACCCAACTCTGTCCTTCCTCACTTTCTTAAAGAGTAGGATTACTAGGAAAATCTGTTTCTATTGCCACTTTATTTAAAACTTTTAAGCTTCAACTGGCACAGAATCAGTACATGTTAATAGTTTTTAGTATGTGCCCCTCCTTTTAAGCAATTGAAAGTTTTACATAAGTGCCTCAGAGTTTATTAAATAAAATATGGTAAATAATAAAGAAGAGAAGTCTTACTAAATCTTGAGGAGGGATATAAAAGTCAGAGACTGCAGCTGCTAAGTACATCATAACTGCAGGTCCATGAGGAGCTAGAGACTCGGCCACAGTCCTCAAAAGAAACAAGTACTCTGACAAACTATTGTACTCAATCAACAACAATGTGCCAGCAGTTTGTACCTGAAACACAACAAAGCTCAAACAATCATCAAAATAACTAAAGGTCTTGTAACTTTCAATTTAATATTTTCCAATATAAGGGCTAATTGATAATTTGATTGAATCCTTAATCACAGCTGCCACCAGTTGTTTGAAGTCACCCTAGATATGGAACTCCATTCTAGTTAAAGCTCAAAGTATCTCCTGATAAATCACCACTTTGGTATAAAGAAGACTTCAGCAATATCAACTAGTGGATCCTGCCCTCTTGCCTATTTTTTCCTGTTGGCCCTGAAATCTCTCCTCAACCCACAAGCACACCTACCACAAGATCACAAGTTATCTGGAGAACATTAAACATCTCTACTAAAAATGTAAACAATCAACCATAATTTGAATAAGTTCCCGCACAAGCAAGAAAAACAGAAATGACTACCATAATTTCCAGCTGTTTACCCACACAGCCGTTTACCTGCACCAGCCAATTATTGCATATGGTGAAAAAAAGTCAACAGATGACCTGCACTGGTGGATAACCCGCATGTTATGTTATTGAACTTTTTGGTGGCGAAAACGTGAAACTAAGGCGATACATTTCAGTCTTGTAAAAGTTGTCTAATCTAACTTTCGAAAGCTTTAAAGCTTCCTTGTCAAGTTTAAGGTCAAAGAAATTCAGACGCATGCACAATTCTTCAATATTAGCATGTTCTTTATTGATAAAATTATAAAGTAAAAACACTAGCAGCCCATTTCCAAATCTCAAAGTTTCATACTTGACAGAATGCAAATTTGTGGCCACATTTTGTGCGAGCGATCGTTCAGCGCCATGTTGATTTGTTGAAAGAAAGCCGGGTTGGCGATTTCTAAAAAAAATAGATATCTCCAGTTCTATTGAGCCTAACAAGTCCCTTAAAAAAAATGGGAAAATTCTCTTCAGCTCAAGCTAGTGTTAAATGGAAATTTGTTACTGATGTACTGGATATCTTTGGATTATTTTTGTCACCATCAAGGTTTTGTTTTCATGCATGCTGATAATAATTTGTTCATCACGCAACTAATTATGTGTGAAATAAACCCGAGTCAGCATCATGTTTCTGTGCTGCTTTGCGACACTCTTAATACAATAAAATTAATTTGAGAGGTGGAAACGCATGTAGGTGAGAATTTTTTTCAATTCAACTACCAGTAGATTTTAAAATTGCCACATAACCTGCACCTCCCTATTACCTGAAGTGGCGCATGTTAAATGCAAAATCAACAGATTACCCACGGGTAAACAGCCGGAAATTATGGTACATCGAGTTCAGATTAAATGGTAAGCCTTCCACATGAAATGAATAGAAGAGCTTACTAAGTTTTCTTTCATGGTTGGACTTGTAATGTATGGCTTAATATGGCTTTCAATTCAAAGGTGCCTATCAGAAAAATGCATTAAAAAGTCATATGAAGAAACTTAGTGAAAGCAGCACTCAAAAAAGACAAGTGTCTCTTTTCAAAACACATTTTTATTCCTAGCATAAATTTTATCAGTAAGTTAAGACTCTGAGTATTGGACCCCATTTGCCTAGCTTATATCCAAATGCAAAATTGACTGTAAGCCAGAAAAATCTGTTAATCCTAAATATAAAATGCTCACTTCTGAAGAGTTTTCCTGAAGTGGGGAGGGGGGGTGTTTCTATTTAGGACTCATAAGAACATGTCATGTCTCAAAAGGCAAACCAGAGGGACTTGCACACAAACAGTTCCCACCAAAGAGCCCCATTATATACTATTAATGATATCTTCCAACACAACATCAGCATTCAAGGGGTATCAAAATGTAATGCATACCTGTCTGTAAATTTTCAGAACTTGGGTCAATTTTGGTACTTTGCTCGCATTCACTAGAGATAAAAAAAAAATGATAGGAAGAAAAACTGAAAATAGTCAAATTTGATACCTGGCAACCAAGTCTCTGATTATCTCTAGAAAATAAGTTTTCCAACAGAAAAAAAAATCCAAAAATAACCAACCTTGAACTTGAGTAGATCCATCAGGCATGTCTTTGAGTTGTAACAGATCAAGAACATCTTCAGTTGGGAAGTGCCTTGTGAAAGGCCGCAATGATCCCTGCCTGTGTAGAAATACCACAGCATAACCTTGCTCTAGAAAATACCTTAAGGATTAACGGTCAAGGAATCAACAAATGATGAACATTATTTCATCCTTATGTTTTGGCAACCAAAAAAAAAAAGGAAAAGTCTGAGCACCTGATAAATCTATGGAGCTCTAAATTTGTAACCTCTAGAGCCTTTTACAGACTTTGATCACTCACTCAGTTTCATTCACCAGGATTGGCCAGTTTGCCTGTTCAAGCAAATTCACCTGTAAAGTCAGCAGTATTCTGTAAGTACTGTATATAAGCTCTCAGAAATGTGTGGTGGAAACAAGATCTTTTTTAAACACAATACATCATTAAGTTGCAATTTCTAAACACAGACGAATCACTCATCAAGACAGTTTCATACAAATAGCTTCTTATCAAGGATACTCAGCAGAAGCAGATCCTCTGGTTCCCATGCTGAAGTTATCAAGAAAACGAACAGCATTTTCCTCCAGTGGTACACGAGTGCCTCCAGACTATCAAGAACAATAGTTACAATCAAATGAGAAACTGCTCACTCATCTCAGCCTAAAAAATGAAGAAGCCTGGAGGAATTTTTTTAAGGGGCAGTCACTATCCATCAAATCCAAGATACCAACTCCACTGTCTCAACAACAACCTCTGTGTTTTACTGAAAAGGACATTTTGTCAGATAAGCACTTAGAGATTCACAACAAGTAGAATCTTCTGATTTACACTTCTTTTGCCTCCTGAATTATAAGGTTTGTAAGTGGTTGAATAAAAACTTTATCTTATCAAGGGGGGTGGAGATGGACACCCCAAAATCCCCCTTCCTCCAGTTCCATACCATGGTTAAGTTTTTAGCACAAAAGATTCTTTGGAATCTCATAATACCTTGTATAATAAACTTATATGTTAAAAGCTATCTATATCTTGAATACAATATCACACCAGAATCTCACATAAAGGTCACAAGAATAAAGGTAATACTCATTAACTAAATGAACTCTTCATTGTTACAGAAATTCTCCTTGTTAGCAACTTTGGAAATATATGGAGAACAGTATGGAGAATATGCTAATTGATGTGATGGATGGTTATCTTGGAAGCTGACACATGTTCAAACAGCATGAAACTCTTTAAGAAATTAGCATAGCTCCCTTTCTATTACGAAGTTAAGTTAAATAAGAGAACTTTAGTCTTTATGCATTTACAAGGATGCTGTCCTGCTTATATGTATCATCTACTCAAATTTAGTGCATTCAGTCTGAATGCCATTTAACCTGACCCAAGCAGCATATTTTATTTTATCTTGCTTTCAGCTTGCATTCTTATAGACCTGTTAACCAGTTTTATAATCCTAAAATACATTTTAATTCTAATTACTGTACTTTTAGGATTGAAGGCCACTAGTTCATCAGTTGAATTACTGTTGTGTGTTATCCTCCTTAGACAAAGTTGTTATTATAATGATTATTATTATTATCATGGTGTAAAGGGTAACTGACAGAAATAAAAATTGGATGGTTTCTGGAGCATACCTCTCCTTCAAAAGGCTACAGTGTATGAGCTGTCAACCATTCTATGGATGGATAAAGCACACTATGGTTTTATGACATTCCTTACTTTCATTTGTCGTAAAAAAGTCAAATCTCCTCCTTATGGTTATTTAACAATAACGATTTGTGTCCAGGGAATTGAGTCTGTGGCCACAAAGAGAAATGACAAAATTCCAAGTTGATACTATTTTAATTTTTTGCACCAAAATAATTGGGATTGCGATCGACGTATGACTGAATATTCATAAGAGCACAACACACAGATTGGAATAATCCGTTCTGCTAAGCTGAAAATTTGATTTCGTATCTGCACTACTCTGATTTAGTGTCCCCGTTTTCTAGTCACAAGTGTAAGTTTGCGCACCAAAATTCCAGATATTTTAATCAGAGAATCATGAATACTTTATGGATAAAACATTATGTAAATGTATCATTTTCATTATAATAGTATAGCGTAGCTAGCATCTGAGAACAAACAGCAATTCACACAAGCGGAACCAAGAGTAGATGCAAATATACTCCACTCTCGGGGATTAAAATAATCTAGGCAAGGTTACGCTCAAATACACACAAACAAACCGATGTTATTTCCAAATTTTAAATACCCCAAAAAGCCGCGGGATTTATTCCCAATATCAAAACATAAACACTTCTCTCAAGATCTTGTCGAACTTCGAGAAAATTACTGCGCACAAACATTAACAATTAAAATCATAAGGTCGCTGTTGAAACGCTCAACTGATCACGACTAGCTTTCGTGCATTTCGTAGCAAAAGCTCGACACCTCTCAAAATGAAAATTCTGCTTAAAGCAACTCGATTAATTCTAAATCTTGGAAGTAAAAATGAATTTTAGTTACATTATTATGTCATAATATATACTATTTCTTGCATGTTTTAATCGTAATGTCAGATTAAGGAGTGTATGTGCATATGCATGGATTTCCGGCCCGTGTAGTTTTCTTCTTAAAATATCTGTGAAAGCTATAGACTAACAACTCACCGTCACAAACACTATTTCTTTTCCAGCTGCCCGATGTTTACCTGCAAATTCACAGACAGATGCCCTCACTTCTTTCAGGTTTCCAGGAGGTGTGTGTCGAGAGAAATATTCAACCCAATCCGCCATGATTCATGAATTATCCCTCATTACATATTCCGCTTTGATTTTTGAGAAAACTGTGTTCTCTTCGCTTCAAGAAGAAAACCTTTTACTTCTGTTTGTCAATATACGTCATTGAAACAATTGAAATCGATGGAAACACATTTTCATTCCGAAATACCGACTATTTCAACCACAATTTGACACAGAAAGTCGCGAAGGAGGAGAAATAATTTGCGAGCAGCGCATAAATTATTACATACGGATGGTATAGTAGCCAATCAGAGAGCTGTATTTGAAACCAATTGTCTGCACTACGTGACAGGAAAGCAGAACAGTAAACAAAACTTAACTTAATTCTACAATTTACCAAGATATATCAGTTTTTAGCTCAGGTAAAATCTGAATTTCATTATTTTTCTATGATACTTAGCTCTCTGGCAAAGGTAAAGAAATCCTACGGCGATCTTTGTAGTATCACGTGACTCCAAAAGCTGTCACTGAATCCTCAAGAAATAAAACTGATCACTGCCTCAGGGGCAAACAGTAAAGCTAGCGCTCATTTCGGACTACATCTAGTTTCAAAGTGCATGAAAAGGAGAAATAAAGTGGCTGTTTAACCAGTTAGCGATGTTAAGAAAGTACAGATTGATATGCTCTGACCTTTTGCCAAATGTCGAGATGTGGGAGAGAGAGGGAGGGGAGGTGACGTCATTGAGCCTTCACGCGGTACTTAGGCATGACGAGATATAAGAAAGCACTTATATAAAAATAAAAGGGTAAAATGAAAGGATTTTCCCAGTTTGAGTTTAATTGCCTGTCAAATGCATTCTGACTGTTATTGCAAATTGTTTTCCCTCTCTAGGACCCTCTCCCTTGCAAGAGGGGACAGTTTGAAACTTCCAAGTCTCAACACTCCATCAAATTCTTAATTAAGGGACATCACTGGAATCAAACGCCCAACTCTCAAGAACAGCCAACTAAGAATTGTGGGAAGGGTAGACTCTAAGCCTTTCACTCCCAAGTTCTCACTAGTAATTCTCATTACTGACTGCTGTACAATTCCTATGATTTTAGTTGTGAGAATTTGTTACTGGATCAACTGATAATCCCCTAATTGCCACTACTCTCTATTTCCATCACTTGTGTGCTTGAAATTGTAGGGATATTGCCAGTAGATTGTCTTGGTCACTCATGGGAGTTAAAGGATTAAATAAGAAATCAAGTATGCAGATGTACCAGGGAATGAAGTTTAAATTCTTTTGTGCTAATTGCTAAGATGGGACAAAATTTCACCGGAAGTGACATGAAAACAAACACCCAAGACAAACGGTAATTCCCACTTTCCCAATACAATGTTGAACCAGTTCAAGTCAGCGTACAATGCAACAGCAACAGGTTTACTTAACAAAGCCCTTTAGGGGGGTCCAAGACACTCATTGAAACAAATAAAATCATCAATCTCACCCCAACTGTGCACATTTTTCACCTCAGCTGTCTTTTTAATGAATGGCTATCAATCATTCTTTCAGTCACAAATGGATCAGTTTCAATGAGGCATAACACATCATTCAGGCCTGTTAACACTAAACCAGACTGCGGTCATTTCCCTGAGAATGTTGCCTTGGTCTTTTGTTAAACCCAAGAAATATCAGAAGCCTTTACATAATTTCTGAGATGACCTTTGGCACAATCTTCAGAGACAAATTTGGACAAATAAAATGAGGTTATGGTCATTTAGCAGCAGAACTGTTGCACAATTGCTGATGGTTGACATAACAAAATTTGATTGTCAAGAGAAAAAAATTCGTGAAAAGTTCAGACTTCTACAATTTATGGGCTTTGTATATTCACCTGCTGTCTGCAAAGTGATTTGCTGTTTTGATCTGATTCATATCATTTATGCAGACAAAAATATTGACAAACTGTCAAGAAACAATTTTTTTTATTTAAAAGAAATTGCAACAAAAAGCGAAAGAAAATTGAAAAAGACAACAAGCCTACCTCAAGACTTTGCATTTTTTTTGCAATGAATTCATGTTCCAATTTGTGAAAGTTTAAATTTCACTCAAAGGCCGACTCCTTATTCATAACTAATACACCTCAGTGGCTGAGGTTATATTTTCAAAAAAATTTCTTCTAAATTGCCCAGTTGTGGCATTGTTTGAACTATTCTTATTGGTTTAATTTTCGGCCAGCTTACTTTCTGTTATGTTGAAGAACCTGGAAAATGAAACAAATGACGATCAGACAAAATAATACACAGTTATAACCCGAGCTATTACTCTCATACTTAAATGTACAAAACCTTCCTGAGAAAAAAAAAAAGAGATATCATGGTGACAAATTTCAACATGAACCGTTCCTCTTGCATTCCTTATAAATAATATTATGGGGCAAAGGGCTTGTTTACTCTGAAATGAGCAAATAAAAAATATATAACTCATTTAACTCAACCCATTGAATTGTTTATTCTCATAACAAACATTAATACAATGTCCTTTAAATTAACAATAGTTATGATACTATAAATACCAAACTTACCTTAGCATGAAAGCAAGCTCTGTGTTTTATTCAACATTAAAAGCAATGTACAAATCTAACATAGCATGTTACTGTATCTACATGTAAACCCCATATGCATCAGAGGTCAGACTTGCCACATGACCATTTAACTTGATCATAAAGATAAGTGGTTTTTTAGCTACAATTCCTGCACACTCATCCTTAGATGTATTTTTTTTTTGGATGTAAATAGGGTTTACATAACCTGAAAAACAGGAAGCAAGAATTACAAAAATATCACTACCCACAAAGTAGTTTTAAGATCACTGTTACATGAACCATTAACAATGTATATTGCATTTAGCAGGGAACAAAGTTTAGTCACTAAACAGATTACTTACATTACTAGGAAGTTTGCACTATGCCAAATAGTAGAGCAATTTTCATTTCTTTTAATTTTAGCCATCTGAAAAGATGTTTTAGGTAATTTGCCAAATAGCTTCCAAAGAAAAACTACATGATTGAGCTACTATTGTAACATATTAGCACAAAGTTCCTTTCTCCCATTCCAGAAATTAGAGAATGTCTGCCACAAAATAAAAAAGGCTTGATCATTTTGATTGCATTTTTCTGACAAATAAATAATTCAAAGACACCAAGGGTAAATAAAAATAACATAATCAAAAACAAAAATCAGCATGTTTTAACTGCTTTCATCTTCTAATGAATAACTCTGAAAACTACTGATCTAACCATAGGCTCCAGACTAAATAAATACAAAAACCAGTCTCTTCTACACACGCGATTCTGTGTTGGATGCTTGCCTAGTCCTGTCTGAACGGCACATTCTGCTCAGCTCAGTAACTTTGGAGAAAACACGGTCATGAGGCTCTAGTGATCGTGTCCACTTTGGCAACCATTCCCAGTCTTGGAGAACATCTGGTAAATGACCAGGAGCTTTCCTCTGAAAGATGTTCACAATGACAATGAACAGGAAGAGAAGTAGGAGGGGTGCAGCTACACCAAGGAGAATCTGCCAACCAGCAAGTGACAAGCCGAAGACAGCTGCTGGAAGAAGGAAAAAGCCAAACACCAGGTATGCAATGGCAAACCATCTGTAGTCAGCCGTTTTGTTTCCTAACGACTTGGCAAAACCAATGGGAACTTTTCGCAGGTAAGGGATAGGATACCAAACCAAGATACCAGAAATATTGAAGAATAGATGGCAGAAGGCAATCTGAAGGGCCTTATCCAGATTTGACGCACTTGCCAAAGCAGCCAAAATACCTGTTGCAGTTGTTCCAATGTTTGAACCCAAGGTAAGAGGGAAGGCTCGTTCAATGGTAACGACTCCAACTCCTATGAGAGGTGTAAGGGCTGATGTAAAGATGGAACTGGACTGTACCAACATAGTAAGACCAGCACCAACAAGAATTGCCAAGTAACCAGTGAGATGTTTGAATGGTCCAGGGAAGTCTGCATTGACGGTCTTCTTGATGATTTTTGCCATCTGACCACGAAGCATGGAGTGAAGAACCTTAACAATACTGACAAGACAGATACAGAGCAGGCCAATGGAGAGAACCAGGATTATGATGCCAACCTCAGTGTCGCTCAGGGATGTACCATGGAAGAGAAACTTGCATGAGGCAGGTTCAATTGTTGTCACATTTTCCAAATAAATAGTCCCATTCAAGGTTTTATTAACAGTCTCTATTACTTCCTTGGGTGAACAGTCTTTGATAAGGGATTTTGACTCTGCTGATTTATCTCCCAGTGCAATATTCTCTATAACTTTTTTGTCTAACTGAATTATAAGCTTAGTAAATGGTTCTGTCAATTTCTTCAGCAACTTTTTGTCAGTTCCTTTCTTCTGAGTCAAAGGAAGTACATCAATGATCTCACCAGTAAGATGAAGTAGGAAATGCGTGATAACCTCCAAGGGCAGGAATATGATCACAGACAGCCAGTTAAATATATCATGTACTGTCGCACCAGCAAAGGCACGTCGAAACTCATTACGTTCAGCAGCTTGTGCAAGTGAAACTATGGTGTTGGTGACTGATGTTCCTATGTTGGCACCCATCACAATTGGAATAGCAGGCTCAACCTCTAAAACTGAAAAAATGTACACATTCTCTTTTACATCTACTAAAATTCAATTTAATTCATAAATCTAGCAAGGCTGTTTATGTCAACAAAATTTAGCTAAAAATAACACAATTGCACTCAGTCAAAGACCACATTCAAGACCAATATTTACCCCTAACAAGTCACCATACAACTTCTGAGCAAATGATGGACAAGAAACATCACAATTTCATCTTAAGTAATTAATACAAATCTCCTTTGATTGGCATAAAGGTTTAAATTTAATGTTTTGCCAATAACAAAAAATCGTGTCTGATATGGCCCTTGCATACATTAACCTCCACAAATTAACAAACCTCGGTATTTTAATATAATCAGAACTATAGGTAATGAGGCAGAGCAACATAAAGAGCACCTACTACGCAAATAACATCACTGAAATTCGTCACTTGACGAGATACTCTTTCAATATACTTAATTATTGAAGATCGAATTTTTCTTCAACGAAATTATTAGTCTTAAAGAGCTGCAAGTGAAGTTAAAACACTGAAAAATTTAGTTATCAATCATGTTCGGAAACAAAATTGTGCATTATAACAGGTGTCAAATGTTCCTCAACACTGGCAATGGGGGCAACTATTGACGTATCCAATAGTTTTCACTAGACCTACGATTAATACCCGAAAAACATCAAGGAAAGTGAAGAAAAATTTTAAAAAACTGTACTAAATCTTAGAGAAGTGTTCAAGTTTTCACCCCCAAACGATTGATTGCTAACAAAAATAAAGAATTCAACAAATATTTAACACAAACTTGTACTGAGGAGTGTTATTTTAAATGCTTCTTTTAAAAATACCAAATCAAACTTACTCTGCGCAGCGACCATTGAAACAACGATGGATGTGGTTGTAGATGAACTTTGAACAAGAACCGTTGCCAAGATGCCGATCATCAAGCCAGCGACGGGGTTACTCAAAATTTTATTAGACGCAAATGCTTCGCCTGCCGCTTTTCCTCCAAGCAATCGGAAGGCACTACTGAGGAAGTCCAGTGAACAGATAAATACATAGAGAAGACCAAGAAGAAGAATGACCTTGCCAACTGCCAAAGACACTCGTTTCACTTTGCCGCATCCATCAAGTTCTGTGGGCCCGCCAAAATCAGAATTAGTGTTGAACGGGAAAATCGGTTCACAAATACTATAAATTTCATGACAAGATCAAAAATTACAACAACAAAAGCTTTACTACTTACCAGACCACTTAGGGCCAAGATCTTGGAGTTCAGGCAAAGCCCAAGGATCAAATTCTTCACCCTCTTCGTCCTCGTGAAGTCCATTTCCCGCCTCCTCGTCTACCGGCAAGTAAGCTTTATTGTAATTCTAAAAAATAGAGGATCGAAAAAATTAAAACATTTTCGAAGTCACTGAGAATTATTACCTTGGGCAGTGGTGAACTAAATCGTGTGAAAAGTCTCTACGCGTTAGTTACTACCTACCGGCGGATCTGCCTGACCCCGATTTTCCATTTCAATATCAGTCAGCTTGGAAGAGCTATTCATCATGTCCGCCATCTTAGGAGAACTGACTTAGAGTTAGATGTACAACAGCTTTATGTCGTCCAAAATTACGTAAAGACGGTAATCCAATCACATTCGACCGGGAGTAACGATATCCATTTTGATTGGCTGCTGCGGATGATCCGAGGTATCCGCATGACACCGACACGTGAAAAAATTGAACTTTGACGTTCGCGGGTCGTGCGAGAGGATCTTGAACAGCGTACACGTGGTTATGTGGGTTTTCTCTGAAGGAACAAGTTCCCTATGCGTTTCTTTGTTGGCGGGAACCTTTTCTTCAGAGTTAACACTTCCCATAAAAAAAAATTTTGGCGCAGTTTACAAGGATCCTCAAAATGGACGTGAAATTTGAGGTTGGGCCACAGGTGTGTACGAGATCAGTAATATTCATGTTAAAAATGTTCTTCCCTTGACAAGTCTGTCGGTGTCTTATAGTTTCTAGAGAGAAAATGCGGCACCTTTGGTGTTATTCCCTTGAGACGGTTCTTTTCTTCAGAAGAACGGGGTAAAAAGAGTATCTTGGGTGCGTATTGTTTTCCAATAAACGGAGTATAGCACATGTTTAACGGTGTGCTTTTTTCTTCCCTATTTGTGTTGTTTAATGTTTGTTCTTTCCCTCACATGGTCTCGTTTTCCATAAAGCGCGCGCGGATCACGCCACAGGTTCAAGTTGAGCAGGTCGAGTAATCCCACGCTTGGCCAACTCCGGTGTGCGAGCGACTGTCATAAGAGTATTGAGAGACAAAATCGCAAATTTTTGTCCAACGTCTTTCTTTATCCATAGCATGCCTCTCTCTCAAAGATCGTTTGTTTCTTTTATTTAAGCGGAAATGGCGCAGGTAAAGTTAGATTTCTCTCTCAGTTTCTTCTGGGTAGAACCAGTAGAGAAATCCACGAGGAAAATGTTGAAATAGCAATCACTAGAAGTTTAAAATCTAACAACATATGAAGATTTCAAGAAAATGAAAATCCAATTTTTTTTCGCTAACCTTAGTTAAAGACCGAATACGTCTTTTTACACCTTATTCAGGCAGCTTGAGCAACTCATCCGAGACATATGTGATTGAAGGAGAATCCCTTCGTCCAGGGACTGTTTGTTCTTAAGGACAAGCTGTCCAGTGTAATGCTGTGTGAATGTGTTACTTCACTCTGTCACTCACGTCTCTTGCTTAGACAAGAGACGTGAGTGACGAGTGAATGTCGCAAATTGTAACTTGCAAGAGTCTTTTGGCTTTTTGTGTTTCTGATTTTATCACTTGGTTTTTCAAATTACACAATTTGGAACGTTAAGACGGAAAATGTGTCTGGCGATGCTAAATTATTCAGGCAAAGATTGTTTCCAGAGCGTCAGAAACCCCATTATGGATCGTCATAAAGCTAAGCGTGAGAGTTTCTCGCGTGGTCTTTTCAGCTGCTCCCTGTGCGAACACGTACGATAGAAGGACTAATGAAGGAAGGGTCTAGCGGCCTAACAGTAAAAATGATCAATGAATAACAACAATACAGTGGAGAAAAGTGCGTGAATCAATCACTTTTAACTGACTCTGGGAAAGAAATATTTAAACCATCGATTCTTTTGTTGCTATGAAATTCTGTCTCACTTGATTTTACGAGAGCAAAGGCTGAGTTGCCGTGAAAAATGATCATACGCTCTCTTACCTAGTTGTGTCAATATTCGGTTACGAGAGAAATGTAATGAAACTGAAAGGTGCATATTAACTAGAACTTTTCGGAGATAAATTCTAAATACTTTAGAGTAGATAGCTAAATATTCCGATAGATGAACTAATATTTCCTTCACTGAGTCACGCAAACCGGAAAAAAAATCATTAGTATTTAAAGAGAGCCATTGTTCGTGATTTCGACGCACTGATTGCTGAATCATAATATCGGTTTTCCGAATAACTTAAGAGTTCTAAAACACTGAGGCGGTAATAAATAACACACAACCGCACGCCCTGATTCGTTTATGACTTGACTCTGAGCGAAAGAGTTCCTCCGGCTCATTACATGCCGACCACGGCAACATAGGATAAAACGTCTCACGGAGTAGCCACGAAACAAAGGTCAACGCGAACGCTCGAAAATGGAACAAAACATACTTTTATTTTGTGAACAATCTTGCAGATGCTTGAGTCCTTACCTAATGCACTTAATACAGGCGATATCAGGCTCTCGTGACGAATTGCAAATAGGACATCCAGGCATTTACTTAGGTGAGAGAAGATAACCTCACGTAGGCAATTTGTGTAAAATATGTTTACGTCTCTATGGAGGAAACACTCTAAATAAGTTTAAAAAATAGTTTTCAAAATATTTTCATGTGACTTTTTGAGGTATTTTTTACGTTTAGGCGCTTGTTTTGTTCTACAGAGCTCTCTCTAATTGACCTTACTACATCGTGGCTGGCTACGTCAGCACGTGTTTGCTTTTCCGGTTTTAGCTAAAAACGTGAGTACGTTTTTGTCGAAGTCATGATACTTAAAGATTAAAATATATACAGAAACTCTTTGCTATTTTCCTCCTTTTCATCTTCCTTTTACTTCATTCACTGGGACTGTCAACACGAGCGACTGATCAAGACAATTTAAACGGCCAGATCCTGTTCAGAAGCAAGTTTTCAGTCGTTTACCTGATACAAGGTATACACTTGGCCCACTATCAATCACGCGAAAAAAATATTATTTTGGGGATTTGATATTTATTCTTGTATTCTTTAGAGACTTGAAAAGGAAATTGGTGCCACACCTCAGGGAATAAGTGAGCAGAAATAATACATTCAGTTTCGTGAAAGACATCTTAGCATGTCGATGACAAAACCTTGTTCTGTCACCTGTAGTAACGTGCTTTTTCCATGCCATTGAAAACAACAATGAAATAAGCGGTTTGGCAATGACCTTCAATGCTACTCAAAGGACCCTCAGCAAGGGAAAATTTCACATGGAAAGTACATATTGCACTTTTTTGTATGGGATTTTAATATTATTTACGTTCTTTAACACTTGAAAAGGAAATTGGTGCCAAATTTTAGCGTGCGCGCCTATATACGTTTAGGAGTCGTTCCTGACATGGTCGGGCTTTCTTTGTCTATAAAAAAGACAATACTTAACGAGGGTGAAGATGAAATTGCCGAATCAAATCTTCGATAAAGAGTGCCAAGAACTCAGGCTCATTTCAACAATGCAAATACGAGCTCGAGTCCGAGGCTATATGACGCTGTTCAGATGGAAAAAAAAGATTTCAAAATAACATTCAAGCACTCTAGATGGCCCGCGTTTTTTATGTTGTAAAGATAAGTAAACTATTTCGGCTAGATCATTTCAATTGCTGCTAAAAAATATCCCAGTGCTGAGAGCAGGTGGGAACGCATAGCCAGCACAGAGGATGAACAGAAAGACACGGGTGAATGGATCGAACAACATTTAAGCGCAGACTGCAGTGCGCTTTGAATAGTTTTCAGCCTAAAAGTTTTGAACTTGATCGTCTTGCATTTAAGCGATAGCGCTGGATACACTATATTTTCTGCTCCTAACCTGTTATTTGATCATTTGTAAGGCACCCCTTCTAATGTTAGGTTTCGAGTACATTATTCCTTAGTGTATTCTGTCCAGACTTTATGCAAAGTATTCTCTTAAATAGTAAACTGAGAGATCCTTGTTCTAGGTAAGATCATCTGTGAACAATATCTAACGGAATAGATGCTGCTTTGATTACTAGCAGTAAATTCTTTCTACCTCCACAAGTGTAAAAAAGAAAGACACAAGAAACTTTAAAGGATATATGAGGTTTTCTATTTCTTTTGTTTAAATTCATTCTGCCCGGCCCGCGTCGTTTTGTTATGATTGGTTTTGTGATTTATTCACCTCGACTAAACGTCCTAGTGAAGAATGCGCATGACTTTCTTCAACCAAAAACTCACCACGAAAAATAAAGAAAAAATACATATATACATATCAAGACTGCAGGAGGAGAGATTAAGAAAGACCTCGGCGAAAAACAAACACCATCAAAGTACATTTGTGCAAGAAGGAACGAGTTTCATTTAATGTCATTGCCACATCATGTACACAATCTACAACTTCAGTGACGCACGAGTGACGTAAAGAGCTTATTCGCGTAATGACACGTTATATTTCTCATTTTCTGTTACAGTAACTGAAAATGCCTACATGAATTTAATCACGGATGCAAAACCCCATATTTAATCCTGTCCGAACGATCTGCCCCGATCGGTGCACAACGATGTGCCAGACCCTGAAACTAAAAGTCAACCCGTAGTGCCACACTCTTTCCGAACAGGTTACCTCATTCAAACTCCCTGAGTCTCACTTGTATAAACTTCTTGGAGTACCATGGCACCATGCCTGTTGTTGTTACATATGTGCAAGTATCCATAATTTTGTCAAGACAGAATTGACACCGACCAAGCTAAATAAATCAATTAATTATGCCTGTTTTTGGTTGACCCTGTGAAAACTCACCCCTTTGCATGTTTTGAAACAGAAGACGATTTCGGTGTGTATTAAAAGGAATTTCCTTCCTGGGTAATTATAACAAATGTTCTGTGTCCGACCTTCAGAAACCGGGCTCTTCTTTACCATCGCGGGTTCCTCAAGGACATAATCCCTTGGGGAGCTCTTTCAGAGGGTGATAAAATCAGACACTGATGGGTTATTCCTATGTATTATCAAGTACTAACAATGATAAATACCGCCTTTCTCAAATATTATTTTTGTTGAGCAATAAGACTCACAACTCTGACAACTTAAGAGCTGGTACTATCTAACTAACGCAGAGTCTAGGATGAAGTCGCTCGAATGGTAAGGTTTTCGATATTGGATTATGTCGTCATTGTCTGAGAGCGAACGGCGAGCGAACCGCGAAATTTCGCAATGTTTCCTACTGAAACTCCAGGTAAATATTGGGCGATTAAACTGCGAAAGTTGAGAGTCGCCCATGATACATCAAGAAAACATTGCAAGAAATTGTCTATCTTGGAGAGTTTGTTCAGTACGAATTAGGCCCAACTATTAATTAAAGTTTGTCAACAAAAAATAAATTATGGAATGAAAATGAGTTAATTAAACTGTGGCTAAAGGTACGAGGCAAATTTAATATTAAACTGGTTGATTCTCTCGGGTCGACTTCCCTTTTAGTAAATTTCAGTAACTGGTGATATCACATCGAAACTGAAAATCTCATTTTCCAGGCTGTGCATACGAGGAATTTAGACTTTAGACGCCGCACAAGACAAACTAGACTTTAGACCTCGCATGATGTTTTCTCTGTATCGAACGACTTCGTGGGCGCGTGATCTAACAACAACATTCTTGCGCGGATACCACGCTCGTGACCCTGGTGCCTCCACGGACCTACAAGCAGTAAAGGACTACTGCGACATAGGCTAGATCATAGGAACCAAAGGGAAACTGCCATATCTTACACCAGCGTATGACGCACCACAACATACCTATGCACCCCACCACGAATAAATGGATGAACAAATGTCATTGACAAAGAATTTATCGAGTCCGCAAGAAACACGCGCGCGTGACGTTTCGCACTCGCGTGCCGGGCAAAATCATTCGCGCCTGGATAGATCGATTGCACGTTTCGCAAGTCGCAAAGAAATGAAATATAGTGAAATGGCTTTTTTAATATTTAATCGCACAATTTTTAAAGTAAGCACATAACTCACGGACAAATAAGTTATCCGTCTTGACTCCAAGCATGATCTCATGAGGGACTAGTGCTATCAAAGTAGCCACTCTGAAAGACATGAAACCCTCTGACAAGCATCAGAAATCTCATTGACGTCTCGTGAGTATAGTCCATCTGGCTTGTGCCATGTCACTTATCTAATGATTTCTACATTCGGATGGTTATTTTATCATATGTCAAGGTTTATCTCCAGCTTATTGTACTTTTGAGCAAGAGAACATGATTCGCGAAAAACCCGTTCAAACAAATAATTTTTGCAAACCTTGGGAATGAAGGAGCGCAACAAGCAACAACACAAGCTGAAATCTTACGGGGTGATTGTGATGATCTGCAATTTCTGGGGAAATGAGTAAATCTATTGCTAGTTTTATTATCTTATGAAAGTGAAAGCAGACTTGCTGAAGCAATAGGATCACACGCGTTAAGCATTTCAAACTACTGCAGGTGAAAGTACAAGTCGATTTATGTCACTGCTATGCACAAAGAAAAGCTGCCAACAGCAATGGCCTTTTCACTCGTCAGTGTAACAAGCTGATCAAAGTTTTAGCATTCTTAGAACAACTAGACGGTAATGACAACAGAAGAAAACATATGAAAACGAAGAAGAACGTAGAATGTTGATATGAAACATTTATGTATGAAGCTTACTCCTAGAAGCTTGCTATTGTTCGATTTTGGCAAGGAAAAATTACTGTGCATTGTACAAATTTTGAATCCGTTGTTCCGTAAATATTTAACGTACCTGATGGGCTCCTGACGTACCTATGTACCACAAGAATATTTTCATTCATGATGCAAACATCTTTCTTCGAAAACAGTGAGTTATATGGAATAAAACATACATCATAATAAAGTGTGATTAAATTATTGACAACTACAGTCACTGCAGTTATCTTCAAAACTAGAAAAGTAATATATAAGCCAAGCGCACTGAAGTTTCATTTTACTTAATTTCAAAGAGAATCAGCTATTATTTTGTTAAAACGCAAAACATATACACTAATCTAGATTCATAAAATTTCAGTAGAATCAAGAAGAAGCCAACAAGAACGATTCAAGCTAATAGCCTGCTCTTTAGGATATAAAGGACTGGCACGAGGGAGCGGCGGAGGCGGGGCCTACGAGCCCCCTCTTCCTTCCCTTCTTTGATTTTGTGTAATATGAAAATTAACGCCGAGAATTACAACCTATTCAATTGCTTCAGTTTTCTGCTGGGTTTGTAAACGAAGTTGATAGCTGTTGTCGATTCCTTTTGTTCTCGTAAATTGTCGTAAACGTTTATTTGAATGACGCTACGCTTGACCAAAAGTTACTGTGCTAGATGCCAGATCGTTACTGGAAAAAAGGGAAATAAAATAGCTGTAAACTTAACATCATGACACTAACAGAAAACCAATGCAATTCAAAGGGTAATATTTCTCGGCTCAACGAAAAAATAAGGGGATTATTTGACAGAACTTAAAGAGGCCCTTTGGTTGAAATCCACAAATAGAGTAGGTCATAACTAAAACAGTCACAGGATCATAACCATTTGTGGTAACCTGCTGAAAATTAGCAGGAGGAAAGTATACGACCCTATATACCAGCCAATAATAAAGTTGACCAGATTTGTTTATTCTCATTTGCTGGAGTTAGAAAAATCATTGTGCCTGTTGGAGAGAAGTGGATGCACTTTAACAACTTTATTACTTGGAGATTTCAAACTACCCAAGGGTTGACTGGTCCAATCCGTCTTGTCCTATTGGCTTTGATACTTTATCCTCGATGTTTTGCTCCATATCTCAAGATTACTTTTCCCATCAAATGGTCTTGAATCCTACACGGGGAGATAACATATTGGATTTGGTGTTACCTACGGCTCCTGATTTGTTGTTTGACCTTAGTGTTTGATCATAATTCTATTGTATTTAATTTGAGACTCAAAATCTCACGACCTAGGCAAACCTCCAGGATTGTTCATGGAATGGTCTACGGGACGATTTCTCAAATATACCTTGGACAACTGCTTTCTTAGTGGATGATATGAATGATGTTTGGGATGCATGGAAAGTACTGTTTATGGAAGCAGTTGAGCGTAATATTCCAACAAAGTCCCTGAAGTATAAAAGGAATATACCATGGTTTAATTCTGAATTACGAATCCCTGTTTAAAAGAAACGGGGCTTGTGGAGGAAAGCAAAATCCTCAAGGGACCCACTGCTAATTGGGCTCAATTCAAGTCCTTTAGCAATAGGGTGAGGATAGTTTGAATAAAGCGAACTGGAAATATGTTGTTTTGGTCCTTCCTTAAATCACGCACTGGTTATTTTAGTATTCCCAGTTGTACTGAATACAATGGTCAATCTACCTTTACGCCCAAAGGGAAAGCTAATATATTTAATAAATTCTTTCATAGTGTATTTCACGAAAGATCTGAAGAGATGGATAATGAGGTTGTTACACCTTTCACTGAGAGCATGGTTTCACGTGTTCAGTGGCTTCTTTCTTATAAAGCGTATAGTTATTTATATTAGCCTTAGAGAGCAGTTTTTATATGGGAATTCAGTTTCCCCCTATTGCTTTCCTTCAACTACTGTACTTTTAAGATTTAACAAATATTATATGGTTATTATTAGTTATTGGTTATTGTTGTGATTTTTATTAGTAGTTATCATATTAGTAGGATTTTGTACAGTGGTAAAAAGCATTATTAAACCTTAACCCTTTAACTCCCAGAAGTGATTAACAAGAAACTTCTCACTATAATACCCAAACAATATTCAGCAAACAGGTAATGAGAATATTCAAACTTATCAAGGAGAAGCTGCTATCTTGATCTAGCACCAAGTTCTCATAACTAATTTACAAGGAAATGTGTAGCAGCTAGAGGGGAGAATTAACAATCAGATCTTGGGAGTTAAAGGGTTAAACCTAATTAACAAATACAAAGACTATCATTTTTAAACCTTTCTTCTGCCCCCTCAAATTTAAAGCACAAAATACATCCAACTGAGCTGGTTTTAAGAAACATGGATCTACTTAAAAAGCACTTCAAACTTATAGAGAAAAATTGAGTTTTGATCATTAATGTTGCCATGGCAACCAATTCATTCCGAGAAAAGATTTACTCCTCAAAACTCCAATACTTTTCAGTCAAACTGAATTTTGCTCAATAGGTTTGTAGTATGTCATGTCTCAATATCTGTGGCAAATTTGGTGATGTTTGCACAAATACATCCTGAGAAATTTCAGGGGGCACCCAGATTTTCACGAAAAATCCATATTTGCAGGAAATACAATTTAAAGGAAAAAATATATGGAAATATGGGTCCAAGTTGGCCTTTAACATAAAAACACAATATGTTGGCAAGAACATTTTGAAACAAATATGCCCAAAGTTATTTCCTGGTCTACTTAGTCTTTTTCTTCTTTTTGCCTTCATTGCAAGATTCTATTTCCCCAAGAGTCCCAGCTGCACATGTCACTCCCTTTCCACGCATCCTGAGATCCTCATTGCACTGTTTAGCTTGTCTGCTGGCAACTCTGTATTTCTTGTGCTGATTTTGTACTCTCTTCTCTGCCTGTTTAACTCTCTCTGAATCCCTTCTCCTGGCTTCCATTTTAGCATTATCACTCACGGGTTGTGAGTGACATACTGAACGGCATGTTAAGCATTTCACACAGCTTGGCAATTCCCTCTTTTTGAACTCCCATCACAAATGCACTGTACACTATTTGTCAATTCAGATCTTTGCCTTGAATTTTCCTTGGAGTGGTATCGTTGGAGGGTTGATCACCAGTGGCAAAGAACTCTATCATGCCACAGTCACACTTGACAAAGACTGAACTGCTAATCCACATTCTGTTTACAGTGCTCTCTAATACTTCAACTTACCTACACGAGAAATTAAAAGAAACAATCTATCAATTTCCTAGTTTAAATCCAGATAAATTAGTGGATCATGGATTTTGTTTCATATTTTCCGGCATGATAAGTAGCACAATGCAAAAATTTCAACAGACTAAAAACGGAATTTACAAAACGGAATTTATAAACTGTGAACTGATACACTTTAATCAATACTGGCGACTTTGCCAGACCTTGTTGTAGCTCCCTGTAGCTTCCTGTGGCTATGTATCCAGGCCTCCAAAATAACTTTTAGAATTTGGAGTGAACTACGGGATTTTTGGGAACACGGGAACGTGGAACAGAGTGTTCCTTTTACATTTAAGCCGAGAAAATTCGGTTGTTTTGAACTAGTTACCGTCGCAGCGGAAAAACAACCTTCAAAACAACGCCGTTTATTTGACTCTGCAAAAGAATTTATGCAAAAACAAACAACATATTCAAAATCTTGATAGATTCAAGTAAATATTTTCCAAAAAAAAAATTAAGCAACAAATTTTTTAATCTTACCAAATTTCAACCAGAGGGCCCCCTTAATTTAGAGATATTTCCGTCAACAACAGCGGCATAAAAATTTTTAAATGGCTGTATTTAATTGGTTGAAATTCACTCAACAGCAAGGCTATCCCAATAAACAGATCCCCGAAGTTGATAAAAAAATCTAGTGAAGATTTTCCGAGATAAAATCCGTAGAACGTTTTACGTATTTTTTAATAACACTAAGAAATTAATAATGATTGCCATGCCTCTCCCACCATTTCAAACTTCAATCCTCTGGTCAAGGCATGTATGAAAATCGTTCGATGGCAAAGGGGCAAAGGGGCAAAGTTAGCTTTGAGCGCTTAGAATAAAGCTGGTTGGAGCTTAGGTAAAATGCATTGACCCTCCTTAGATATTAGAGATTCTTCACTAGAAGAAAAAACCTATAACAGTGTTCTCCTACGATTTCTTTACTTTTTTCTGATAGAGAACGTTTTTGGGCATAGTACATAATTACAACTTCTTAAGTATCGTTGTAAAGCTCTATTGTTTTTAGTTATTCAGCAAGCGATATGAGAGCAGCATGTAATGTATTTCAAATTCATACCTTAATCTCCTTTAAAGACGTCTTCAGACGAAAATTTAAGAAGGGACCTTTCAATCCTATGAACTCCAAGAATTCCGACCGTAAGTCAATTGCTTTCCATTTCAAAACATCGAACGTAATTTGGTAAGGTTTTATGTTACCATAGTTTAAAGTCCGTGTGTTTTGAGCGAAAAGCAAAATAAGTGTAAAGTCCACAAAAAACAGGGCTTAAACGGCCTTACATAATTTCTGCGAGAGTCATTTACAGATGCAGCTCAAAAGTGTGGCAGTCTTAGTGCTAGTGTTAGTTGTCCTTGTTATTGCTGTTTTCAGTCTAAACATACTAACACTCTCTACTTTCCTAACGTTCGCCTAGCAAGTGTAGTAGCTTGATTCCTTTTAGCAACACTACTACCATAAAGAAGAACTTTTGTCGCGTTCGGAAGGGGGAATAGGTTTTTCCGCCACTAATTTGTTCCCTCAATTGTTTATGTTAAAGAGAACGTACACAACGATGACGCTATTGTCGGAGGTAAAGTTGGTGTGAACTGAACACGACTGCCTCGGATTAAAAGCAATCTTTCCGGTCTTAGAAATAAAAATAATAATGGTGCTGAAGCGATATCATTCAGCTGGTTGACCTAAGCTTCAACTTCAGAAGTAAAACGTTGCGATACGAAATTGACCTTTAAACATGACGGAGAAAACAAATATGACCAAATATAGCAATGTCTCCGGTAAAAAAACACCGTGCAGTTTGAGTGTGGCAAGCGGGCGCCCCTGAATTTAAATTTTTTTTGCACTTTACACGATTTGTAGGGTAACCCGTCCTTTCCTCGCTTGATTAATCGTTAATTTTCATAAAAGTAAAAAAGTAATCTCACTAAAAATACCAATGCGTCGACTTCGGAGGAGCGGGGATGGCGCAGTGGTGATAGCGCTGTGGTGCTAGCGCTTGCCTCCCTCCTCTGTTGCTCGGGTTCAATCGCCGGAACTGGTGTCACATGTAGCCGGGTTGAGTTTTTTGTTGGTTCTCGCCTTGCTCGAGGGAAATACTCCGGTCTTCCGGTTTTTTCCCCCACCAAAAAGTGGAGAGGAAGAGCCACGTCGTGGAATGTCCACTGCGAAATTCTATTATTCCCATTACTATTATTATTATTATCAATATTATTATTATACTAATAATCATTATTGTTATTATTATCATTAATAATGTTATCAACTTATTACCATATAAATCTACCATTTCAAAGTAGCACGAGCGTCTGTGAAGAACTCTCAGAGCTGTTTCAAGCTCCTTAGGCAACAAGTAGTACAGCTGAAACCCAAACATCTATACAAAAGTCTACAAAAGTCCACGAATTGAGAAAGCAACTGTTCGTTTATGACCAACGGATGAGAAGGGATTGAGAAAGTATGAGATATTAAAAAGGTAATTCAAGTAAAACGAAAGAACATTCACAAAAATACATAAGGTATGCAGTACACGAGAAGTCACTACGCTATAGGGGTACATTAAATCATGCGCAGAATAATAATAAACGACCCTTGTCACCGTTGTTCCGTTGAATAGCAACAATCTAAGCTATGCATTTATTCTGCGATTATAATTTGTAAGTCTTGATGACACTGATCGATTGTTGTCACCAATGGCATTCCTTGATTAAGTGACAACCGTTAAGAGCGCGAAATATTTTGCAATACAATTTGGATGAATTGAGCCTAAACCTGATTGAACCATGGCCTGAGATAGGCACTCGGTCAGTGAAGAAGCGGATGAGCCAAATTAAACGACGAAAATTGATAACTAGGCATTATCGCACCACTACGCACTTAGAGTTATCACACTTTGCAGAAATAAGTTTTTAACTTGTCAGAGTTTTATTGTTACGATTACAAACTGAAAATGGACTTGCAATTTCAGGAAAAGAAATCGAAACTTCCACTCATTAATTGGAATCAAGTTAAATGCAGTCACATATTGTCTTCACTGAAATATCCTGATTAAGGGGCCTCCCCTTCCAGAAAATATGGACTCCACGAAGGTAGGTTAACAGTTATCATATTGAAATAATTGAAAATAAGAAAGGTCCTCTTTTCCCTCTGAGCTTCAGATTTCCTCCAGATCATTTCCAAAGTCATCAAAAAAGTTTAAAAAGTTTAAAAAGTTTTCGTCGTCGTCGTTTCACCATGCAATTTCTGAGTCCTCATCACGAACTCCATAGCCTTCAGAAACCTCTTCACCATCATCATCACTCCACTCTGTATCTTCAGTTTGTGCGAAATAATCTGCGAATTCAAGAACGTCCTTAAATCCTTCGGTATCTGGGACTGAAGCTTCGGTATCTATGAAGTCATCTCTAGCAACGAGTGAATCTCCCTGATAAGTTTCAGGGGGCTTACCTCCACCATCGATAGATTCAAGATCATCACCGTCGCTCCAGTCGTCTTCTTCATCGTCATCTAACTCACCTTTAGTATAAAGAAGGTCATAAGTATCATTTTTATTCTGCTGTGAATTTCCATGATAGGTTTCTTGGAGTTTACCTTTACTATAGACAGATTCAAGATCATCGCCGCCTAACCACAGGGTTTCCTCGTCGTCATCCATCTCACCTTTAGCACAAAGAGAGTTATTAGTATCGTGTTAATTCTGCTGTTTATCTCCATGATAACTTCATGGGACTTACCTTCAGTGTCGGCTTCTTTGTCATCATCTAGCCCACCTTTAGCGCAAAGAGAGTCATTAGTATAATCTTAATCCTCAATAAACATCCATGTCACGTTGCATGGGGCTTACCTTCACTTTACCGATAGAATCATTCCCTAATTAAGTTCTGCGATCCTCCCATTAGTGAAAATAAGGCGTGAAAAAATTCAGGCCTGTACGGGATTTGAGCCCATGATCTGTGCGATACCGGTGAAGCGCTCTACACAAATATGATCTTAGTTATTTATTCATCACTTCACGGGTTTATCACGAACCAACATAATGGCCGGCTCCTAGTTGGCTTGTTAGCTCAGTTGTTAGAGCGCTGCTAAAGTACTGTTCATTGCTGCAAAGATCGCTTCCATATTTAGAATCATTATTGTCACTTTCTCTCCACTCGGCTTCTTTAGAGCAATTGAAGTCACCTCCAGCAAAAATAATGCACTTAGTACTATTTTAATTCTACTCTGAATCTCCATAATAAGTTTTATGGGACCTACCTTCACTATCAATAGATTCATAATCATCACTGTCTCTCCAGTCGGCTTCTTCATCGTAATCCAGCTTACCTTTCGCAGAAAGAAAGTCGTTCGTATCATTTAAATTCCGTTGGGAATAATCTCCATGATAACGAATATAGAAACGATCCTGGCAATTATGAACACTACTCAACTAGTAGTTGAAACAAGGCTTCATTATCAATAGATTCATTATCATCACCGTCCCTCCATTCATCTTCATCATCGTCATCCAACTCACCTTTAGCACAAAAAGGGTTATAGGTAATCATTTAAATGTGCTGCAAATCTCCATAATAGCTTCATGAGGCTTACCTTCACCATTAATATATTTTTGATCATCATAGTCTCTCCATTCAGCTTCTACATCGTCATCCAACTCACCTTTAGCACGAAGAGAGTCGTTAGTATCATCTTGATTCTGGTATGAATCTCCATGATAAGTTTCATGGGGCTTACCCTCACTGTCGCTGGTATCATCATTATCACTGAATCTCCACTCTGCATCTTCATCGTTATCGGGCTTACCTTTGAGACAAAGACAGTCCTTAGTATCGCCTTAGCTACGCTGTATATTTCCATAATATGTTTCATGGGGCATACCTCCATTATCGATAGATTTAAGATCATCACCTTCTTTCGACTCGGCTTGCCCATAATCATCCGGCTCCCCTTTAGCAATTATAAAGAGAGTCATTAGTATATTTCTAATTCTAGACTGAGTCTCCATGATACGTTACATGGGGCAAACCATCATTTGTGATATATTCATTATCATCTCGGTTTCTCCACTCATCTTCCTCATCGTATAAAACTTACATTTCACACAAAGAGAGTCATAAAGATCATCTTAATTCTGCTGTGAATCTCCATGATAAGTTTTATGGGGCCTACCTTCACTATCAATAGCTTCATAATCATCACTGTCTCCCCAGTCGGCTTCTTCGTCGTCATCCAGCTCACCTTTCGTAGAAAGAGAGTCGTACGTATCATTTTAATTCCGTTATGAATCTCGATGATAAGTTTCTTAGGGCTTACCTCCACTATCGACAGATTCAAGATCATCAGCGTCTCCCCACTCATCTTCTCCATTGAAATCCAACTCACCTTTAGCACAAAGAGGGTCATAAGTATCATTTTAAATATGCTTTAAATCTACATGATAGTTTCCATGAGGTTTACCTTCATTATCGATAAATTTCTTATCATCACCGTTTTTCCACTCATCTTCATCATCGTCATCCAACTCACCTTCAGCACAAAGAGGGTCATTAGTATCATTTTAAATGTGTTGCGAATCTTCATGATGTTTCATGAGGTTTACCTTCACTATCAATAGTTTTTTTATCATCACCGTCTCTCCATTCGGCTTCTGTATCGTCATCCAACTCACCTTTAGCACAAAGAGATTCGTTAGTATCATCTTTATTCTGCTTTGAATCTCCATGATAAGTTTCATGGGGCTTACCCTCACTGTCGCTGGTATCATGATTATCACTGAATCTCCACTCTGCGTCTTCATCGTTATCGGGCTCACCTTTGAGACAAAGACAGTCCTTAGTATCGTCTTAGTTAAGCTGTGAATTTCTGTGTTGCGAATCTCCATATGTTTTATGAACCTTACCTTCACTATCAATATCATTTTAAATGTGTTGCGACTCTTCGTGATAGGTTTCATGAGGCTTACCTTCACTTTCGATAGCTTCAATATCATAACTGTCCCTCCATTCATCATCATTATCATCATCCAACCCACCTTAAACACAATAGGGCGCATAAGTATCATATTAAATGTGTATGAATCTCCATGATATGTTTTATGAAGCTTACCTTCACTATCAATAGATTTTTGATCATCATAGTCTCTCCATTCAACTTCCACATCCTCATCCAGCTCACCTTTAACACGAAGAGAGTCGTTAGTATCATCTTCATTCTGCTTTGAATGCCCATGATAAGTTTCATGGGGCTTACCCTCACTGTCGCTGGTATCATGATTATCACTGAATCTCCACTCTGCGTCTTCATCGTTATCGGGCTCACCTTTGAGACAAAAACAGTCCTTAGCACCGTCTTAGTTAAGCTGTGAATTTCTGTGTTGCGAATCTCCATATGTTTTATGAAGCTTACCTTCACTATCAATATGTTTTTCATCATTACCGTCTCTCCTTCCGGCTTCATCATCGTCATCCAGCTCACCTTTAGCACAAAGAGACTCATAAGTAACATTTTAAATATTCTTTAAATCTACATGATATGTTTCATGAGGTTTACCTTCACTATCGATAGACTCATTATCATCACCATCCCTCCACTCATCTTCATCATCGCCATCCAACTCACCTTTAGCACGAAGAGAGTCGTTAGTATCATCTTGATTCTGCTATGAATCTCTACTAACTAAACCAACTACTCACCTTTAGCACATAGAGAGTCATAAGTATAATTTTAAAGGTGCCGTATATCTGCATGATACGTTTAACGAGGCTTACCTTCACTATCGCTTGATTCACTATCATCCCCGTCCCTCCATTCATCTTCATCATCGTCATCCAACTCACCTTTTGCACAAAGAGGGTAATAAATATCATATTGAATGTGTTGTGAATCCCTATGACAAGTTCCACGGGGCCTACCTTCACTATAGATAGATTCATTATCATCAGCGTCCCTCCACTCATCTTCATCATCGTCATCCAACTCATCTTTAGCAAGAAGATAGTCGTTAGTATCATCTTGATTCCGCAATGAATCTCCATAATAAGTTTCATGAGGCTTACCCTCACTATCGCTGGTATCATGATTATCACTGAATCTCCACTCTGCATCTTCATCATTATCGGGTTGACCTTTGAGACAAAGACAGTCCTTAGTGTCGTCTTAGTTAAGCTGTATATTTTCATAATATGTTTAATGTGGCATACCTTCATTATCGATAGACTTAAGACCATCACTGTCTCGCCACTCAGCCTCTTTATAATCATCCGGCTCGCCTTTAACAAATAAAAAGAAAGACTTTAGTTCCTCCTATTTTTAATGTGTTGAGAATCTCCATGATATGTTTTATGAGGTTTACCTTCACTATCGATAGACTCATTATCATCACCGTCCCTCCACTCTTCTTCATCATCGTCATCCAACTCACCTTTAGCACGAAGAGAGTCGTTAGTATCATCTTGATTCTGCTATGAATCTCCATGATAATTCTCATGGGGCTTACCCTCACTATCGATGAATTCATCATTATCTCCCCATCTCCACTCTGCATCTTCAACGTTATCAGGCTCACCTTCAGGACAGACAGTTTATCTTAGTATCGTCTTAGTTAAGCTGGAAATCTCCATGATAGCTTTCACGAGGCATACCTTCCTTATCGATAGATTCAAGATCATCACCTTCTCCCCGTTAGGCTTCTTTATAATCATACGGCTCGCCCGTAGCAAGTAGGAAGTGAGATATTAGTATCTCTAATTCTAGAATGGGTCTCCATGATACGCTATATGTGGCAAACCATCACTTTTGATCGATTCGTGATCATCTCTATCTCTCCACTCATATTCTTCATCATTAGAAAAGTCACATTTCATACAAATAGAGTCATTTTAATAATCTTAATTCTACTGCAAATCTCCATGATAAGTTTTATGAAGTTTACCCTCACTATCAATAGATTCATAACCATCGCCGTCTCTTCATTCGGCTTATTCATCGTGATCCTACTACTCACCTTTAGCACATAGAGAGTCATAAGTATAATTTTAAAGGTGCCGTATATCTACATGATACGTTTAACGAGGTTTACCTTCACTATCGCTTGATTCACTATCATCACCGTCCCTCCATTCATCTTCATCATCGTCATCCAACTCACCTTTAGCACAAAGAGGGTAATAAGTATCATTTTAAATGTGTTGCGAATCCCTATGACAAGTTTCACGGAGCCTACCTTCACTATCGATAGATTCATTATCATCAGCGTCCCTCCATTCATCTTCATCATCGTCATCCAACTCACCTTTAGCACGAAGAGAGTCGTTAGTATCGTCTTGATTCTGCTATGAATCTCCATGATAACTCTCATGGGGCTTACCCTCACTATCGCTGAGATTATCATTATCACTGAATCTCCACTCGGCATCTTCAACGTTATCCGGCTCACCTTTGTGACAAAGACAGTCGATCCTTAGAATCGTCTTAGTTAAGCTGTGAATCTCCATGATAGTTTTTACGAGGCATACCTTCCTTATCGATAGATTCAAGATCATCACCGTCTCGCCACTCGGCTTCTTTATAATCATCCGGCTTGCCTTTAGCAAATACAAAGTGAGATATTAGTATCTCTAATTCTAGAATGGGTCTCCATGATACGCTATATGTGGCAAACTATCACTTTTGATCGATTCGTATCATCTCTGTCTCTCCTCTAAATCTTCTTCATCATTAGAAAACTCATATTTCATACAAATAGAGTCATTACAATAATCCTGATTCTACTGCTAATCTCAACGATAAGATTTATATGGTTTATCCTCACTATCAATAGATTCATAACCATCGCCGTCTCTTCGTTTGGCTTGTTCATCGTGATCCAACTACTCTCCTTTAGCACATAGAGAGTCATAAGTATAATTTTAAAGGTGCCGTATATCTATATGATACGTTTAACGAGGCTTACCTTCACTATCGCTTGATTCACTATCATCACCGTCCCTCCATTCATCTTCATCATCGTCATCCAACTCACCTTTAGCACAAAGAGGGTAATAAGTATCATTTTAAATGTGTTGCGAATCCCTATGACAAGTTCCACGGGGCTTACCTTCACTATCGATAGATTCATTATTATCACGGTCCTTCCTCTCATCTTCATCATCGTCATCCAACTCATCTTTAGCAAGAAGAGAGTCGTTAGTATCATCTTGATTCCGCAATAAATCTCCATGATAAGTTTCATGGGGCTTACCCTCACTGTCGCTGGTATCATGATTATCACTGAATCTCCACTCGGCATCTTCATCGTGATCGGGTTCACCTTTGAGACAAACACAGTTCTTAGTATCGTCTTAGTTAAGCGGTATATTTCCATAACATGTTTCATGGGGCATACCTTCGTTATCGATAGATTTAAGATCATCACCGTCTCGCCACTCGATTTCTTTATAATCATCCGGCTCGCCTTAAGCAAATACAAAGTAAGACATTAGTATCTCCTATTTTAAATGTGTTGCGAATCTCCATGATATGTTTTATGAGGTTTACCTTCACTATCAATAGTTTTCTTATCACCACCGTCTCTCCATTCGACTTCTGCATCGTCATCTAACTCACCTTTAGCACAAAGAGAGTAAAAGTATCATTTTAAATGTGTTGCAAATCTCCGTCTCTCCACTCATCTTCTCCATCGAAATCCAACTCACCTTTAGCACAAAGAGGCTCATAAGTATCATTTTAAATATTCTTTAAATCTACATGATATGTTTCATGAGGTTTACCTTCACTATCGATAGACTCATTATCATCACCATCCCTCCACTCATCTTCATCATCGTCATCCAACTCACCTTTAGCGCGAAGAGAGTCGTTAGTATCATCTTGATTCTGCTATGAATCTCCATGATAATTCTCATGGGGCTTACCCTCACTATCGATGAATTCATCATTATCTCCTTCTCTCCACTCTGCATCTTCAACGTTATCAGGCTCACCTTTAGGACAGACAGTTTATCTTAGTATCGTCTTAGTTAAGCTGGAAATTTCCACGATAGCTTTCACGAGGCATACCTTCCTTATCGATAGATTCAAGATCATCACCTTCTCCCCGCTCGGCTTCTTTATAATCATACGGCTCGCCCGTAGCAGGTAGTAAGTGAGATATTAGTATCTCTTATTCTAAAATGGGTCTCCATGATACGCTATTATGGAAAACTATCACTTTTGATCGATTCGTGATCATCTCTATCTCTCCACTCATCTTCTTCATCATTAGAAAATTCACATCTCATACAAAGAGAGTCATTTTAATAATCTTAATTCTACTGCAAATCTCCATGATAAGTTTTATGAGGTTTACCCTCACTACCAATAGATTCATAACCATCGCCGTCTCTTCATTCGGCTTATTCATCGTGATCCAACTTTAGCACATAGAGAGTCATAAGTATAATTTTAAAGGTGCCGTATATCTACATGATACGTTTAACGAGGCTTACCTTCACTATCGCTAGATTCATCATCATTACCGTCTCTCCACTCATCTTCATCATCGTCATCCAACTCACCTTCAGCACAAAGAGGGTAATAAGTATCATTTTTAAATGTGTTGCGAATCCCTATGGCTAGTTCCACAGGGCTTACCTTCACTATCGATAGATTCATCATCATCACGGTCCCTCCCCTCATCTTCCTCATTGTCATCCAACTCATCTTTAGCAAGAAGAGAGTCGTTAGTATCATCTTGATTCCGAAATAAATCTCCATGATAAGTTTTATGAGGCTTACCCTCACTATCGCTAGAGTCATCATTATCACCGTCTCGCCACTGTGCATCTTCATCGTTATCGGGTTCACCTTTAGCACAAAGAGAGCACTTAGTATCGTCTTTATTAGGCTGTGAATCTCGGGAGTTTCATGGGGATACCTTTATTGTCGACAGATTCAAGATCATCACTGTCTCTCCAATCGGCTTCTTTATCATCATCCAGCTCACCTACAGCGAATACAACGAGTTATTAATACCTCTTGAATTCTAGTATGAGCTTCCATGATGAGTTTCATGGGGCATACCATAGCCATTGATAGACTCGTTATAATCTCTCACTTCAATCATCATCATCGTCATACAACTAACCTTTCATACAAAGAGAGTCATGAATATCATTCTAATCCTGCTCTGAATCTCCATGATAAGTTTTATAGGGCCTACCTTCACTATCAATAGATTCATAGTCCTCAGAGTCTCTCCATTTGGCTTCTTGATGGTCATCCAGCTCACCTTTCGCTGAAAGAGAGTCGTACTTATCATTTCAATTCCGCTGTGAATCTCCGTGATAAGTTTTTTTGGGGCTTACCTTCACCATCGACAGATTCAAGAACATCACCGTCTCTCCACACGGCTTCTTTACTGCCATCCGCCTCACCTTAAACACAAACAGAGTTCTTAAAATTGTCTTAATTTGGCTATGAATCTTCATGATAACTTTCACGGGGCCTACCTTCACTGCCCATAGAATCGTTATCAATACGGTCACTCCACTCATCTTCTTCGTCGTCTTCCAACTCACCTTAAGCACAATGAGAGTAATTACCATGTTGTTAATTCTGATGTAAATTTCCATGATCAGTTTCATCGGATTTACCTTTACTATCGCTGGAGTCATCATCAATATCGCCTATCCTTTCGGCTTCTTCATCGTCGTATACTTCACCTTTAGCAAAAATAGTTGGATTAGAATCATTTTCATTGCACTTGCGATATGCATGATTTGTTCCATGGGGCTTAACTTTACTATCGATAGAATCATTATCCTCACTTTCTCTCCACTCAGCTTCTGCATCATCATTTGGCTCACCTTTAGCGCAAAGAGAATTATTTGTATCATCTTAATTCTGTTGTTAATCTCAAGCATATGTTTTTATGGAGTTTACCTTTACTTTCGCTGGATTCATCATCACCGTCTCTCCATTTAGCTTCCTCTTCGTCTTCTGGCTCACCTTACGTACAAAGAGATTCATTAGTATCATCTCAATTCCACTGTGAATCTCCATAATACACTTCATGGGGCTTATCTTTATCATCGATAAAGTCATTGTCATCACTGTCTCCCCATTTGACCTCTTCATCGTTTTCAAGCCCGCCTTTAGGACAAAGAGAGTCTTAGTATTATCTTAATTTCGTTGTAAATATCCATGATAAGTTTCGTAAGGCTCACCGTCACTATCGATAAAGTCCTTATTGTTGTTGTCTCTCCACTCGGCTCCTTCATCGTCATCTAACTCACCTTTGGCAAAAACAGAGTCATTAGCATCACCTTAATTGCGCTGTGAATCTTCATGACGCGTTTCATGGGGTTACCTTCAATATCGATAGCTTCATCATCATCATTGTCTCTCCTGACGACTTCTTCATGGTGCACTAGCTCTCCTTTAACACAAAAAGATTCATAAGTATCAATTTTTATATTAAAATTCCTCCATGAGTCGCAACCTAATCGCCAGTAAAAATTTTCGCAAAATTACCCTAGTTTTACCATTAGTACTAAAGGAGTCATTAATATTAGAGTCATTCTGGTGTAAAACTTCCGTTTCGGAATGGTTATTTTCAGAATCAAGAGCTTCATCTTTACTCTTTGAATTTTTGATAAATTATCGTTGAGAACTGACTTTTCCTTAGCTTAAGTTTAATTTGCTCAATGCTCCTAAAACTAAAAAATTCGCGCGCATGACCTAAATGGATCACGAACTGTACAACTTAGAAAGGTGGAGCTGAAATACGCTTGCACGCGTCACGGACTTTCGCGGGCTCACTCAGGGAAACCGTGAAAATGTAGGACAGAAAGTAGTGAAAGTACAGACTCGTCAAAGAAAAAGCGAAGTTTTTGAAAACTTTAGGTGCCTGAAATTTCATTCAGGGTTTATGGTTGCAGACATTCAACTAACGCGGGTACACAACATATCCTTTGAACACTTCTGTTCCACGGTTTCACTCCAGATCAAACGACGAAAGCTGGCACCTAACTACTTAAAACTCGGTAAAAACTCCTTAGTCCCATTTTTTTATGCAATTACTGACGCGCACAGGCGTTTCTCAACAATCGTCGCTTTGAAGTAGGTTACGTCTGGCAGCTCTGTGCTAATTACTTTCTTGTTGTTATAAGTTAGGTTACATTGTAATCACTCAATCGAAACAGATTCTAAATTTGATTAAGAGAACTTCAGTTATCTGTTGGCCAGTGATGCGACAAGACGGCATTCTCGGTTCAACGATTAACTAGGACATAATTCAGGAACGGACAAGAATGTTTACCTACCATCACTCATTAGTGGTCTTAATCTTGGAATGGGCCGAGCATTGATTCCCAGTTGTGCGGACACAACCAAGAACACAATCCCGACCCACAATTTCATTTCTTGTCGTAAAAAAATTTCTCTTGAAAGAAAATTTGTTTCCGCACTGCAACTCAACTCCTAATATGAAGAAAAGCTCCGCAATACTGATTCTACGTCACAATTAGGAATTACTAAATTTGCAATCATACGTCAGTAATTAGTATTGGTAACAGCATGATTTCGGGTGCAATTTGGTGCAAATAAGCACGAGTAAAGTTTTCAAAGACAAAAAAATTGGGCGAGCCCGTAGGGCGAGTGCAACTTTTAATCTTTGAAAAAGCATAAAGAAAGTCGAGACGGACGCAATTTTGGCAGCGCGCGCGCTATTTGTAATTTGCACTTGTGTTACAACTTTGCACCCGAGTTACATGAAAATGTACTCGTATTGTTAGTATAGGTAATTACATAATTTCGAGCGCAATTTGGAATAAATAATTACGAGTAACTATTTTCAAAGACTAAAAAAAACACGAAAAAATACGAGATAGCTTATAATAATTATGCAGAAGCAAAGCGCGCGCATCAAGTGCAAAAATAATTTATTCAAACCCTGTAAGTGACGTTGTGCGTTCGGTCAAAACAACCGCGTGCGTTCAAAACAATAATATACAATGATATTTTCACATCTTTAAGGAGGGAAAAGGTTCAAAGTTCGGCTCAACAATTCAAGGAATTGTTCAGTTTGGTTTATCACTTCTTTGCACTGAATTAACCCTCTTCTGCATTGAATTACCTGAAAACTGCATTTATCTCAACCAATAAGAATTGAGTATTTTTTTCATGTATCTTATTAATTAAATAATTACACTGCAATTACAATTACAGTACAATACCGCTAAGTCCTTTTAAACAAGATGTTAGCTTTTTAGTCTTGAAACTAAAGAAATACCCTACTGTTTTATTTTAAAAGTAGAACGCTGCGCGTGCAATGTAAAGCTACTCTCTAAAACTTACGCGGAGCAAGAGTTCTCGCTCAGTTCTTTAGAGTAATGTTACATCCATAAAGAAGAACTTTTGTCGGGTTATAAAAGGGGTATGGATCTTTTCGCTATTCATTCATTCCCATAATTAATGAATGTGATCCTTTATCGAAAAGTCTGCCGATGATCTTGTTCGATTCACTGCAGGTGAAGATGAAATAGTCTGGAAATGAGTAGTGCAGCCGCTCAGCCGGTTTGCCCCAAACTCTGAGCGGTATTCATACAAACAAATAATTTTTACACCAAGAATATAAATTCAGTGTTATTGCCTCGATGCTGATCATTTAGTGGCTCTCCTCCTTTACTACGATTACTCGAGGCATCGTTGCAGTTGTTGAAATATCCTATATAAAGTCTCACACACCTCAGAATTACGACAAAGGTTGTCGGCGATGAGGAAATCATGTGTACACTACAATTCTCCATACACGACGTACGACTCAAACGAGAATCCAAGATGGCGCACTCAGGTATTTCTGCTGGTGCGAAGGGAAGACTTGTTGCTGTGATAGGAGACGAGGTAAGGACCAATTCTCTTCATAATCTTGTCTAGTTATCGTCAGAATGACTTAGGTTCACTTTTCTTGGTTAAGGACACTTGCACTGGTTTTCTATTGGGAGGAATAGGAGAAATTAACGCCAAGAGACAGAAAAATTTCCTGGTTGTGACTAAAGGTAAGAAATTTCTCTTTGATTGCTGGGAATTGTGTTTATTAACTCGATTAAAAAAAAAGAGTAAGCTTAAGAAATAAATCAGACTTAGTAGGAGGAGCAAATTGCATTCTTTTGCAGTCTCAGGAACTTGCAACCAGGATGCGGCAATCATACAACTGATATGGGGGAGTGTGAAATAATTCCCTCCATTCTACAAAAATCCTTAAAGAGGCGGTTTTTTTTTAAAATATTGAAGTGCTAAGAATGTATCCCAAGTGCTTTTGTTTTGCTCAGTATCGATAGGGTGGCAACCCCAATTGACTCGTAGCAGAAATTTACAAATTAATATGCAACTTTTGCTTCTGACTATGTACCGGTAAATATTTTTTTTTCGTTTAGTTTGGATCCAGTTTCGCAACCGAAAAAGAGGGGTTATTGCTAGTTTTTTAGCGTCGTTGTCGTGATCAACCCTTACACTCACAAACCCTTACACTCACAAACCCTTACACTCACAAGAGCGATCAGGAAATAATTCCTCGTTTTAATACTATACACTTTCAAGGATATAAGTGAAGAGAGTTGAGGAAACTATCACATAAAAAGCATCATCTTGCAATAGCAGTAACTTCTTGCATAAGAGATAAACAACCCATGTCAGTTCTTTCGATAACACCCGGAACCCGCTGGAGCTCTGGCAGGTATTCTGTTGTGAATCGCCGCGTATACTTTGCCATGTCCAAGTCAAATTTACAGAATAAAAAGGTTAATAAATAATATAGAAAATAACAGTCAAGTTAGTACTGGAGTATTCACCCCAGTTATTCTTTTAATTCTATAGCCTTTGTTCGTTAGATTCATTCTTTCACTGGCAGTTTTCTTTCTCTGCTTGTTTTGCTTGTTCTATAAAAGTTAATCATGCTCAAAGTAGAAGTGTACATTGTCAGTTACCTAAATAATTTTCAAACAAATTTGTGCTGAACTAAAATCATTAAATACTTTTAGATAAATAAAACAAAAGCAGTTCTTCTCAACTGCTGGTTAGAAAACAAACTTGAAAATCAAAGTTAGTTAAAACAGCTTGCTTGTTAATAGCACATCTCTCTGAACTGGCGGATGCTTTACGGAGGTAGCCACCTACTTCAAATCTTATTGAAAGCACTGCATTTATGTATGTTATTTGCCAGCTGAGAGGTTCATGTTGGACCTTGAGACAGAGGGCTCAGTTTTTCCCAATTTGGACCTCCATGCTGGTGATTAACATTTTTATTTTGTTCTAAATCTTCATGAAATTCCTGCTAAAATGACTGGAATGCTTTAGAGCTGTAATTATGGCAAGATCCTCCTGAAACTGAACAATTTTTGAGTGAGAAAATGGTAGTTAAAACAGAGATAACACAAATTAAAGAGAGAGACTTCACCAAGATAATTTTATTTGTGTAGTGCCACTAAAAGTTGTTTAGAAGGCTTCCAAACAAACTTTGAAACATTATTTTTACAAGTACCGTAGTTATTCGGTTATAAGGCGCACTCGGCTATAAGACGCACCCCCAATTCAGCAACTTCATTATTGCATGTTTTCAAACTGAAAATATCGCTAAAATACTTGGTTATAAGGCGCACCGTTGTTTGGGGAGTAAAGATCAGTCAAGTTTATTGTAAATTCTTCCATAAACTTACAAAAAAGCGAAAAAGTCGCGTATTGATTATAGTTTACTGTTAATTAACAAAAGCAGAATTGTCGCATACGCGACCATGCGCACAAACAAAAGCCTTGATTAAACAAGAATTAACATACCGCCAAGAATGCAGGTCTCAGTGCACAAAAAAGGCTGGATGGATGAAGAAGGTATTTATCTCTTCGCTTGTTTATTTTCGTTTCATTTTGTGACGTATCAAATTACTAAGCACTTGCTCTTGAGCACGTATCAAATCTATGCAAATTTGACTTCGCTCGTCTTTTCAGAACCACCATATTTATAAAAGTCAATGACCAACACCGTGTATCCTTTTATTTGCTTGAAATTATACCAGTAACTGTGATAAAAAAAATTTTTTTCGGGAAAATATTCGCCTATAAGACGCACCCAAACTTTGCTGGTAATTTTTAGTAGAAATTAGGAATTTCTTGAAAAAAACGGTGCGCCTTATAACTGAATAACTACGGTATCTGTCACAATCTGACACCTGTCAGTTAGAAAGTGTGTTAGAAAAAACAGCATGTACACTTTCGAAAACAAAACAAAAAACAAACAGTACTGATTTGGCAAACAAACTCAAGTTCAATGACTATCAAGACAATGTTTCTTCAAAACTATTTAATTATCTTACAGAAAGTATTATTATTTACTTCCATTGATGATTATTGCACAAAGAATAGCTCTGTAAATTCTAAGGAAAGTATTTGTAAGTAAATTCAAATGTATTTTTTGAAGTTGTGGGGGTTTGCTTATGTGTTTGCTGCAATGGCGCAAATCTGGCCTGTTTCCACCAAATAACTGAAGTCAAATGAGACGCTTTAACTAGACCCAGGAGGAATTTAATTTAGCTTTTTCTTGTGGAATTCATTTGTCTTTTTTTTTGTGCAATTTATGGTGAAAATGGTTTAACTGCACAGGTTGACTTGCAAAGACTTACCAAAAGTGTATTTAAAGTAGGACTGAAAACTTTGCTATAAGGAAAAAATTGATTGAGAGAATTCAGATGTTAAATGAATGAAAGTTCCATCGACTAATTTGATTGTAAACAAATATCTCATAGGTTTAACTTTCTGAGTTAGTGTTTATGAAAGACAAAAGTTAATTGAAAACTTTTTTTTTTAGGCTGTGTGTCAACCCATTTAATGACACATTTGCTACCACAAATTCATTTTGAAAAGAATTTTCAGCTGGCAACCAAAATGATTTGAGAGTGAGAGAAGAGACAACTAATAAGTTATTAATTGGCTTGATTTGCTTTGAAATACTTTGCTTGAAAATAATGCCCAGCTGGAAAAAAAATTATTTATGGAGAATGGCAACAAAGCAAGGGATGTTCTTGGTATGGACCATGCTAAGAACCAGTCAGATTGCAAGATTTGTTACCGTGCCCTCTGAGATAAAACTAAATATATTTATGAGTCAAGATATCTACTTTTCAGGTCTTCGCAGTGGAAGGATAAACTTTTTTATTATCTTGTATCTTTTTCTTGTTTGAATAACTTTTCATTTGTTCTCTACAGAAACTTCAGTTAGTGAACTTGAAGAAGCCTTTCAGCAGTTTACAAATAGAAGTGATATTGCCATTCTTTTGATCAATCAAAATGTAAGAAGTTGATTTTTTTTCTTTAAGAGGTTAAATCAAGATAGTGACAAAGTTCTACTATTGACAATGCTTCTTATTTGGTCCTTAGAAAAAGTGGCATGAAACTGCTATATTCCACTAACCAATTGGGCAACAGCACCACAACTTTTCTTACTTTCTGTGGCATAAAGCGACAAGAACTCTTGCCACTTTTCTAGGATGGGATGCTACTTCACTGTAGACTACTCCATCAACAGCACTTAATTAGCTATCCTTGATAGTTTTCAGGTAACACTGGAGAGAGGCAGTGTAGGAACCCTTTTAAAACTCAAACCTGGGTATTTCAATTCAGAGGCCTTCCCTGCCAACAGGCTCCCTTAGCATCCCAGTCTTTTCTGGCATTAAATAGACAGTTTGATTTACACTTTATTTTTTGTGACATGTTGTTTAGCTCAAGCTGTTCTGTTTGATTAAAAGGTGTGATAAAATGAAATAATGAATTTCAGCTAGTGGTTTTATAGGCAGGCAGCTCTGTTTCTTATTTTGTTAGTTCCACTGCCTTCATTTTGTTGATCAAACTTTTCCCAAAAAACCCATCAGCTTTTAAGGCTACTAATCATTAGGGTGAAGCACCTCCAAGTTAAAAGAGGACATTGATTACCATTGTATCTTTGTATTGTTTGTTCTCCTGATCATGTATTTTTTTTCATTGTTCATTTTGGTTTAAGATTGCTGAGGAGATCAGGCATATTCTTGATAATTATGATAAAGCTATTCCAGCTATTCTTGAGATTCCATCCAAGGAGCATCCATATGACCCATCTAAGGACTCAATATTAAGAAGAGCAAAGGTATCTAGTTGACGCATTTTCTCCTCAATTTTGGAACGTATATTTGTTAGTTATTATCTGCTTATGTGCATATTGTGCCAAAAGTTATAATCACTCAATGCTTTTTCATGCAAAATGTCCTCCCCTTTCTCTTTTGTTAGAAAAATATCCTCATTAACTTTCATAAACACTGATTTATGTACTGTCAGAAACATGTTTATGTATGATACTTAAAATGGTTTAAAGTAAACTTTGGAAATAAACCCATGAATAAGAATTTCGTGGTTATTTCCTGTTAGCTGACAATATAGTGAAAAAAAGTGCATAGTTTGGGACTTTCCACAATTCATTGTTGTTTGAGAAAGAAATAACAAGCTTGTTAAAAACAACAACAAAAACTTCTAGATGACATATGTATGTATCAGGAAATCAACTCAGCTATAATCTCTTTGATGGCTAATGAGCTATTCTTAAAGGCATTTTAAAAGAAAGTCATGTAAGTAAACATCATTACTTTGGAAGGGAAGTCAGACTGAGAGAAAAATCTAAGTTTGCTCTGATTTAGTTGACACTGAGCACAGCTGTGTGCTGTATTTAGAATATAATAAATGATCCTTTGCCAATTTCAACATTTCATAATCCAATTTACTCTAATTGTCAAACTTTATCAACTTGTGGGTCTCCCGATTTCATTATTGAGCCTACTATAATACGCAGGGGCTATATGGACACCTGAGCCAAACTGTAAACAAGCAATTTTTCCTTTTTGCTTTTCAAAAGTCTCAGTACCACCAAACTAGACGACTCAGATCAGTGTATAAAAAATGCTTTGTTTATGACATTCTGTGCCTCATTCAATACTTACCTAAGAAAAGCAGCCCACTCACTGCATTTATTCATTCTACTTAATTTAAAAGTGAAAATTGTTTGTGTGCATTTCCCATGGTGTAATCTGTACATCTGAACAACAGTTTAAGTCAGATTGAAGCTGAAATCTCAGGTCATGTAGTAATCTAGTACTTTCTCTCTTCACTGTTAGGGTTTATTCAGTGCAGAGGACTTCAAGTAGTTATCCTGAAATGCTGCTTACAAGAACCAGTTATGAAGAGAATGAATTAGGAAAATTTGTGGAAAACTTAATTGTTATTTAACTATCAATAATCTTATTATTTTGATGGGAAGCTTGGAATTTGTACCTCTAAAAAGGTACAGTTTCTGAACGGTGTGAAAATATCAGTTAGATGGATCTCAGTCAAAGTATATTGCAATAACTCTAGGAATGGAATACTTACTGATGGACTAACACCTTTGGCTGAAAATGCAAGACCTAAATAGGAAATGGGAAAGAAAATCTGAGAGTAAAACAATCAGAAACAGCAGAAAACAGATGAAAATGAGAGATCATGAACAGACTGTCAAAGATATGCTGTGTTTCTTATACCAGTCCCAATAAGTGTTCAGTGAAAACTTAACGGTTTAACTCCCTTGAGTTGCTGAGATAAAAATTGCGCTTAGAATACCAATACATTGTCAATTACATAATTGATGAGAATAAAGAAATTTATCAATATGGGGAATTTATATTTATTTCCACCTGTGTTTTCTACTCCATCAATGTTTTCCACTAGATCATGAGCGTGCGAGGAAAATCACAATGCTTCTTAGACAATTTCGTTCAAAGGTCCCAAGAAAATTATCTTCACGAACTACTGAATAGCATCTTATTTTAAAGCTCTTCCAACTGTAATTAGTCTTAACCCTTTAACTTCCATGAGTGACCAAAAGAGAATTTCTCCGTACAATATCAGTACAATATCAAGCAGACAAGTGATAAGAGTAAAGAGAAATATCAATTTGGGGATAATTAGTTGATCCAATACTAAATTCTCAAAACCAACATTATAAAAATTGTATGGCCGGCTTTTCTTTTTTTTTTTTTTTTTTTTTTTTTTTTTTACCCAAAATAAGGGGGGACCCGGGCCCTCCGAGCCCCTCCACTAGATCCACCACTGATAACAAATATACGTTGCTCGTCTAACTTCATGTCGTTTTAGGTCAGTTGTCAGGTATTTATGTGCGACAGTTGGCGTACATTTAATGGCTCACCGCTCGGAAGTGTTTGTGAAAAGAATTCTGCAAACTTCGGAGATCTACCGCAGACGTTTCAGGAATATTAACCCGCGGTTGGCCAGAGAATTGAGATTAGGAAGAGGGTATCGTTTACATACAAAAAAAACCTGGCCCTTCAGAGAGTGTAAAATCCAGTGAGAAATTTGGAAAAAGGAAGTTAATGATGCGAATAATAGTCTTCGTGGCTTATACTTGACCCATTGTTGTATGTGCATCATTTATCACATTCTCCTTCGTCTCAATAAGACGGTCAGTTTCAAACAGAACATACATAAAACTCTTTTTTCTAGGTTACGGGAACATCGCAATCGACAGAAATGAAATTTAAGGGAAAAATTTTCATTCAGGCTCATATTGCATCGACTTTCATGACATTTGGTGGCTCCTAAAGGAGCCGTTTGTTTTAGGCGGGAAACCCACAGAGTGAGTTTACTTGCTGCTGGTGTACTTGGTCACAGCCTTGGTTCCTTCACTGACAGCGTGTTTAGCCAGTTCACCAGGAAGAAGCAGCCTAATGGCGGTCTGGATCTCGCGAGAGCTGATGGTTGATTTCTTGTTGTAGTGAGCGAGACGGGATGCTTCGGTGGCGATGCGCTCGAAGATGTCGTTAACGAACGAGTTCATGATGCCCATGGCTTTGCTGGAGATACCAGTGTCAGGGTGAACTTGCTTCAACACTTTGTAGATGTAGATGGCATAGCTTTCCCTTCTCTTTCCTCTCCTCTTCTTCTTTCCATCGGCAATAGCCTTCGCCTTTCCGGCTTTCTTCTCGCCCTTCTTTCCTGCAACTTTAGCTGGCATCTTGTTAAATAACGAAGATTGATGGTTGTGTGGCGTTGTTCGGTTTGTATTTATATCGGAATTGTGAAAGGATATATTACCATACGGATCGAAATTCTCGATCAATGATTGGCTTATTCTTATACTGACCCCAGGGGTCAACTTGCATGACATTCTCTCTTTATTCAAATATATTACTAGGATATTAAATTATATGAAACTTGCTACTGATTGGTGCTTTTCGATCCTTCCAGCATAATAAACGAAATATAAATATCAAAAGTGGTAAAAAGTTTACCATTCACTCTTGCTGAAAGCACTCAAAGCAGTTCGTATCGACATGTCTGGTCGCGGTAAAGGTAAAGCTAAGGGCACCAAGTCCAAGAGCCGCTCATCCCGAGCAGGGCTTCAATTCCCAGTTGGTCGTATCCATCGTCTTCTCCGCAAAGGCAATTACGCGGAGCGTGTTGGCGCTGGTGCTCCTGTGTATTTGGCTGCTGTGCTCGAATATCTGAGCGCTGAAATCCTCGAGTTGGCAGGTAACGCTGCGCGTGACAACAAAAAGACAAGAATCATTCCCCGTCACCTTCAGCTAGCTGTCCGTAATGACGAGGAGTTGAACAAACTGCTCGCCGGGGTCACCATCGCACAGGGAGGTGTTCTTCCCAACATCCAGGCCGTACTTCTGCCTAAGAAGACTGAGAAGAAACCCAAGGCCTAAATCAGCTTTAACACGTTTAAAAACGGCTCCTTTAGGAGCCACCAAATATTACAAAAGTCTTAACCAACTAAATGCGATCCAGTGAACATGAATAAAAAGAACAACCAAGTAACGATTAACCTGAATATCACTTCATAACCTTCCTCCCCAGTTTCTAGTTTGATGCCATAAAGGTAAAAAATCTACGGTATCTCGGGAAATGAATGTTGACAAACGACCAAATGCACTAGCAAAAGCTTTCACGCACGAAAATCTAGCTCCATCGGAAAATTTCTCGACCCAAATGTGTGTATTAACTTTCGCGCCAAAATCGTTAGTCGTTACACTCTTGTTATGTCGACGTCACTGGCGGTTATTAAAAAATTGCGCCTGAATATGATGATTTTGATTTATACATTTGCTGCACGTTACACTTATGCGAGAAACGAAACGAAACTCGGAATGAAAAGAAAGCCGACAGTGATCTCATGCGGGTGACTAACAAGTGGGCCCATTGATTGCAACTAAAAAAAATGGTACTAATAATTCATATGTAAAAAAACCAATAAGAACAAATAGAGAAGGCTTTCAATCGTGTATGCCAGGTGTATTTTATCTTTCCTAAGCGGGCTGTTTTTTTCTTGCGCCACTGAAACCCTACCATGACGCGCGCAGATAATGCGATCATTTTCTTTTGTAAACAAGAAGTATGAGCGAAGCATATAGAATCTAGTGGACTGCAAAAAAGCACACACATTTATTGGTCATGACTTTCCTTATATTTGGTGGCTCCTAAAAGAGCCGTTTTGTTGTTGTTAGTGGTGCCTGTCTAACCGCCAAAGCCGTATAGAGTGCGGCCTTGTCTCTTCAGAGCGTACACAACATCCATGGCTGTGACAGTCTTTCGCTTGGCGTGCTCCGTGTATGTCACAGCATCACGGATCACATTCTCGAGGAAAACTTTTAGAACGCCACGAGTCTCCTCGTAGATCAGGCCAGAAATTCGCTTGACACCGCCACGGCGGGCAAGACGACGAATGGCTGGTTTGGTAATACCTTGGATGTTATCGCGAAGAATCTTTCGGTGACGTTTGGCGCCCCCTTTTCCTAGACCTTTACCGCCTTTACCTCGACCAGACATATTGATTAGTACTCGTGTGCAAGAGTTATGGCAAGTGAGAGTGCGTTATTACATTTTATGGGGAAAGATATGACCTCTCAGAAAGCAGTGTGGAAATACATGTTGCTATTGGTTGAGGAAAAATATCTAATCATAATTATTAATGCAGTATTAACATGTATTAACATGAATCACACGGCATTCTGCGCGCGCTAGTTTGACAGTTGGAAACAACTCTATATCTAGAAGTCAGTTGTGAACCACGCTAAGTAAAGGTTAAGCATTCTAGTTATCCTACATGGAAAATTTAAGGGGTGGATAGTTCTCAATTTATGCTCAAACGACCTTTCAGTTATTTCGGATCAAAATATAATCACATATCTGAGAATTAATTCACAGATTTCGTACCTAACCAATCAAATCTCTTGATTTCGAGCCAATCAGAAACAAGCCCGCCAGGTATAAATCAATTTCTCAGTTAAGTTTATGTATTATCATTTATTCTGAGTCTTTGAACAAGATGGCACGTACGAAACAAACTGCACGAAAATCGACCGGTGGAAAAGCTCCACGTAAACAACTCGCCACAAAGGCAGCTCGTAAGAGCGCTCCTGCTACCGGTGGAGTCAAGAAACCTCATCGTTACAGGCCTGGTACAGTAGCTCTTCGTGAGATTCGTCGTTACCAGAAATCCACCGAGTTGTTGATCCGCAAGTTGCCCTTCCAGCGTCTTGTGCGAGAAATCGCTCAAGATTTCAAGACTGATCTGCGTTTCCAGAGCTCGGCTGTGATGGCTCTTCAAGAAGCTAGCGAAGCTTACCTCGTTGGTCTTTTTGAAGACACCAACTTGTGCGCCATCCACGCCAAGCGTGTCACGATCATGCCCAAGGACATTCAGCTGGCCCGCCGAATCCGCGGAGAACGAGCATAATCGGACTCCGCTTCAAATCACAAACGGCTCTTTTAGGAGCCACCACATAAATAAAAGCAATGACCAATCTATGAGCCCCTGTTGACCTAACAATAAATTCTTAAAATATAAAATGTGACACTAAATAGAAGTTGAACCCATTGAAATTGTTACACCATATTTGCTCGGTGCGCGTCTTGGCGACAATACAGACATATAAGTTATGTCTGGCCTGTATCCGTGCTTAGGAACACACCATGTCTTCATTTCTTAAGTAACCTAAAGAAACTAACCTTACCTTTTTTCATTTACACTTCGCGCATGTTATTTTGGCGCTAATATTATATGAATATGCCGCGATAACTGATACATTTTGCCATCTTTTGGATCTGTTTCTTACATCCCGATACTTGTTTTCTCACGCTTGACTTTCATGCTGCATGAAATGTAAAATTGCAATGTAAACTACACTTACTTCTTTCGAATTAGCACACCGCTTATCAAGTCAAGTATGAAAAGGCGGACGTCATAGGTTTGTTATTCTTGTTCGAATTTAGAGGCCGGCCTTCCTTTGAATACGCATCATTTTTTCATACAAAAGCGAAATTAAGGACCCTTTCCATCCTGCTGTTACGTTATGATGTAACTAAACTTAAATTTTCTTTTCTGGGGTAGTTGGTCTGACGGGAATCCGGTACCTACTAAATTGTGTCGGACAAATTATTCCTATTCGATCGATAATTAAATAAACTGGATATTCGCAAATAGTCTGCTGTTTCGCGTCCCTCTAAATCGCACACCTCACCTCAGAGGAAGCCTACTGCAGTGTTTAGCAAAAAGATTACATTGCCAACTATTTATAAGTTTTTTTCGTGAATGAATTTGCCACATTTTGAGAATATATTCTCTCTAACTTAACTCCGCTCTTGGCATGAAAATCTGATCAGAAGTCGACAACGCGCAACCGTCAACCGGTTCATTCAAAACTGTCTTTTCAGTAAAGCAAGGCAAATCCACCAAAATAACCTCAGAGCGTTTTTCAAGCGCCCTTCGTTTTCAAACGATTGCTTCAATGTTACCCCATCTCCAAGTCTTTTTCTTTGTTCGAGACATTTAGCATACCTCTTATTAAGGTCACGTATGAAATGGCGGACGTTATAGTTTTGTTCTTCTTGTTCAAGTTTAGAGGCTGCTCTGCCTTTGAATATGCATCGAAAGGCTATGTATTTCATACAAACAAAAATTAAGGAATCAATCTTTCTGATAATTCTTAAAATGCTGATAAAAGGTGACTGAAACTGAAGTTCTTTGCGCATTTTTCCAAAGTTCTTTCGTAGTCTTACCGCGTTGTAGACTTTTGAGCATTAAATGTCATTCTTAATTTGAGTAATTTAAAGTAAATTTTACATCCACATTTTATGAGAGAACGTAGCTAAGTTCTCTATAGTTAGAAAAGATCTGAAGTAATTGAATAAGCCCGTTATCGACCAAAATGTCAAGCAAACTAACACAGTTTAGACGACGCCATTTTGGTCTAACCCTGTTTCCTCAGTGGTCCGTACATGAGGAATAATATTTCTTTGCGCGCTCTAAGTAGTCATTACTTGCCTTAGTTCCGAAGGTTTTACAGCACACAATATGTCCGAAGCAAAGTCACCAGCTAAGAAGAAGCCAGCTGCGCCCAAAAAGCCAGCCGAGCATCCACCTTACGCAGACATGATCAAAGCTGCTATCTTAGCGTTGAAAGAGCGAAATGGTTCTTCCCGCCAAGCCATCGAGAAGTACATCAAAGCCAACTACAAGGTGGACGAGGTTGGCTCGCACTTGAAGATGGCTTTGAAGAGGGGCGCCACAAGTGGAAAGTTTGTCCACACCAAGGGAGTCGGTGCTTCTGGTTCGTTTAAGTTAGCCAAGGAGGAAAAGAAGGAGAAGAAGCCAAAGAAAAAGCCAGCCGCAAAGAAGAAGCCTGCAGCCAAACCTAAGAAACCCGCCGCCAAGAAGACAGCAAAGAAACCAGCGGCGAAGAAGGCTGCAAAGAAACCCGCCGCTAAAAAGCCAGTAGCGAAGAAACCAGTGGCTAAAAAACCAGCGGCAAAGAAGCCTGCGGCTAAAAAACCAGCTGTAAAGAAGCCCGCAGCTAAAAAGCCCGCCAAGAAAGCAACGAAGAAATCGCCAAAGAAGACCACCAAGAAATAAAAACCCAAGGAGGGAAGCAACTCTTCACCAAACGGCTCCTTTAGGAGCCACCACATTTAAGAAAAAGTTATAATCAACTGAGTGTTGATATAGTCTTCGGTAATCCAGTTTAAATTCACGATATTTTTGATCGTGGACCATGATAAATACTTGCGGTAGAGAGCAGATTCGCATTGAACTCGCTGACAAATCTTTAAACTCTTGCAGCAACCCCCATTTCATTTCCTTTTACAGTAATATCCCAAAACATTTCATAAAATCTTGAGAAGAAAGTTCATTGTCTCCAACCTTGAAATTTTGATTGTTGAACAAATTGGTCTTGTCAGTACTACCAAAGGAAATATATTAAGAAGTATATGGAGAATGTGGATGCTTTAGGCGAGTTTGAGACGCAAGTTTTAATAAGAATATTTAATTTTCTCCCACCAAACACCCCATTTCAATGTAAAACGATTTTAAATTACCAAGAAACATACCGTCTCGAATTTGGATTTAACCCGTTTAAAAAAAAATCATTTAACCCGTTAAAAAAAAACAAAAACAAAAAAAAACACAACTCGTTTTTAAGGACTTGTTTAGATTGGAAATAGACAGCTGACTTCAGAAGACTTGTCCGTTAGCTTCTGCTCTCTTTCATAAACCATATTTCAACTTTATTGGGTCTTATGAAGATTAGCTTATAAAACAATGGGTGTAACCCCTTGCAGCCCCATGGCATTTGCTTGTGAAATTTGCCCATAACATTTATGTTGATTTTATGAACTGGCAGTTAGTGTTTGCAAACAAACAATTTCTTCTTGGTAGCTGCAATTGAGAGAGGCGAGATGGTTATGTCTACCTGCAGGATCAAGACTCATGTGTCGATTAATTGGAAGCTTTAACATTCTCCCTCTGCATAATTCTTGGCTATTTGAATTTTTGAAGATTGGTTTGATAAATTCCCGCTCCAGGACCAAAATTGTGTTCAAATGCCTTACCCAAGTGCTGGATTTGATGGTCAACTTTTTTGTAAAAGGGAAAAATTAGCAACCATGACAACTCTTGCAGACATTATTTTCTGAGCCATTTTCTCGCAAAAGTGAACTCTTAACCTTTAAACACTTAACACTTCTAGTTCAATGTCCCCAACCTGGCCAGCTGAGGTTCAAATTTTCACCCCCCAGGGCATGGCAATGGTCAAATACCAGTGGGTAGGATGTTGAAGCTTCAGAGTGATAGGCTTGTTAGTCAATCCCTTCAAGTTGACAAGTGATTAACATGTAACTTCTCTCTATAATAACCTTACACAATCAAACAGACAGGTAATGAGAATACCACACCACATTATCCTCACTAATTTACAAGGAAATGTGTAGCAACTGGGAGGGGGGGGGGATTTAATAATCCAATTTTGGGAGTAAGAAAATTCATGCTTGAAATTCCTTGATTTTTAATGACTGAATACGAAGAGGTTTGTTCTAAAAAAGTAAAAAGTTATCACTCAATCAAGGTGTTTCTTGATTTCCTGTTGAGAAAAATAATTGCTACCATCATTGACGACCTTCTGAGCATGGAAAGCAGTACTGTAGCCTATGCAGCTGGCAGTTTTGTGCTCCCTTAAGAGATGAGCACCATGCAAAAGGCTTTGGACAGAAGATAGTTGCTTGCACCTCCACCACTCATCTCTTAGCCCACCAAAAATGGCCAACTGTGCCCGTTATTTTACAAGGAAAATATGTTCTGCTAATAAAACTTAGAAAACTAAGTATACAGGTAGGTTAAAATGCTGATTTATTTGATGGAAATGACACCAAATACATTCCAAATACACAAGTGTATTATTCATAGATAATTCATCCATTCTGGTTTTACAACAAATGATCGCCAGCAACTTGCAGGAACAAAAGTGGGGGGGTGGGGTGGGTGGGTTTGAATGGGGGGAGAGACTCAGTGGGCTTTTATAAAAATATAGTAAGTTCTAGGAATTTTTAAAATTTTCCTTAAACGGTCTCTTGGTAAATGACAAAACAGTGACCTTTCTGGGAACAATGAGAAACACTCAGAATTTTTGGAAAATACCACCAAACCAAAGCCATTAACAAAAATAGACCAGACTTGACAAAGTAAACTCTTCCTAGGCAAAGTAGCTTCACTCTGTATAATGGCAATAACAACCTTTGTTGCGAGGTGAAATTTGAATCCTGGGCTATTCAAGCCTAAAATACACATAAATAACCCAGTTGACTCTTTAAAATGATTAGAAAGAATGTATAATTTTGTCCAACGTTCGTATCAGTTGATAAAAAACATTTTTAAAAGCTCTTAATTTCAATATTGAAAATGCACTATAATGTTGTTCACTTCTGTGTTTGTGATCATGGAACTATCTTTCACCAAAAATTGGATCTTTACAAATCTGGTTTTTTTGTCTGTTAACAACCAAGATTGTGCTGTTAAGATATGAAATTTATAAAAGTTTAGCAGATCACAATAAATACATAGAGTTTTAGCAAAATTGTTAACATTGGGACTTTTTAACTAAGTTAAGGAAGTAACAGCAATTAACTTTCCAAATATGACTCTGACTTCTGCGATGAACTTGCATTTGATGTCTCACTGATTTGCTTTGATTTACATGTAGGCTGGGATTGTGGTTCTACTGTCGAAGTATCATCCTAAAAAAAAAAAAAACCTTACTTAAATAGCTGATCAAAGAAAAACACTGGAAAGGGCATGCATTAAGAGCAAATAAAGGTAAGTAACAAGCAAACAAAAGTTTAACCTAAGAGAAGAGATTACCACGAAACAAAATGCACAAAAATGGATAGAAATGTCTTATTTGCAGTCTAGTTTAAAAGTAACTGCTTGTCACTCAAAAGTTGAGAGTTTCTTGTATCAGTGAAAGCCACTCATACTTCATTGGATCTACTGAAACCCCAGTAACCCTGATAAAAAAACTCTTCAGCCCTTAACTCCCAGAAGTGATTAACATAAAACTTATCCCTATGATATTAAAGCATTATCCAGCAAACAGGCAATGATAGTATTCAAGTGTACCAGGTAGAATTTTTATCCTGATCTAACACCAAATTCTCATAACTAATCTACAAGGAAATGTGAAGCAGCAGGAAGGGAGAATTATCAATCAGATCTTGGGAGTTAAAGGGTTAAAGGGCACCTTTCTTTTAAAGATGCAGTAATTCAAACCACTCTTTCAATTCCCTGATTTTAATTCCATGGTAACACCCTCATACAACTTTCCTTTTTTACTACTCAGCCAATCCCAGCATGGCCTAGCTCATCATTAATTTGCCTGTAAATCAGTGGCAGGACATTGGAGGGCAAAGCATAAAGGCTGCAGTTTTATTCCTAATGGGGAACAAAATGCTTTTTTAAGTGTTCCAGACCTGACAGACACAAAGATCTTTCCTTTTCTCATAGCTAAGCTCAAAATTCACCATCTTCCTTATTCAATAATTTTGTTTTGTGATCTGCCAATACATTGTAGTGGTTCTGATTTATTGATCGCTGTAAACTGTTGTAAAAAGCAGATGATAGAAAAAAGTTATGCAAACCTCTTCTTCCTCACTGATATCAGCCTCTGGAACAAAATGATTTAGCATCAATGCTTCCTTGATGAGTGATTCATCTGATACTCTGAAGCAGAATAATGCAAACCTTAAATACTCTATACCTCAGCAAAGAAATTTTAAAACATTATTATACCTTTTCTCTTTCTTACCTTTCAATCAAATTTAAATGTATGTGTTTATATTACCTCCTCAAAAAAATTAAGCAAAACTTACAGTTTGTTAAAGACATATAGATCTTCTTCCTTCCAGCTTGAAACAACACCATTTTTAATATCTTCTGCAACCTAATGGAACACAAAACCATAATACTTAAGCCAAATAAAAAAAAAGTGACCGGCAATTAAACAACATAGTTTCACAAGAAGTTTCATTTGAACTTTACATCCTTGCAAAGAAAGAACAACTTACTGATTTAGGGGTTGAGATCATCATTAAAATGTGGTTAAATAATAACTTATTTCTTACATGGAACTGATACAATTTAAGTATGCTCCCATTCTCCTGATAAAGAGGTGCATTTAAAGCAACTTTTTTTTTTCCCTTAGTCCTTTTATTGCAAAGTAAGACACAAGTCCAGTAACATACATACAGTATGAAGTACATCAACTATTATACTCACTTCAAAGTTATATCCAAAATCTGTCCAGTTATATTCCAAAACTCTGGATCTAACATTTCTGCAAATATAGAGACAGTTATCCCTTTCTCATGTGAATAACCTTAGTGCAAATAAGAGTGACCTTACAAAAGAAAATTCAACACAATAGGCCTAAAAGGATACAGATCTACCATTATTATTATCTCTTGTCTTGAATTTAAATTAACAACATAAAAAAATTTGTTTGTTAAATTACATAACTGCATGACTAAGGACAAAGATTGGAGGCACTGGTGTAACTCACATGGAATAGGAATTCCTTATCATTTTCTTCAAACTACTTTCAAAACTTTGAGAGCCAAATTACTGTTTCCAATGTATTAACAAAGGGAACTATGTCACATGCGAGTAATACAATGATTTTGTAACAGTCTCCTGGGTACTTGGCTTCAAAAGTGGTTGCAGTGGCTTAATAATTTTGAGACTTATTTAAATTAAATATCTATGCTCTTTCTAGGGTTTCAACTGACAATTATCAGCAAGACTGCTTGTTTATGTACCTTAAACTTCCTAGAAAGAAAAACAAGACAAACTTCATTTGAAAGGTTTTGTCTAACCTCATTTCCTCCAAGAACTTTTTATAGGATGCATCAAGTCCTTTAAGGTATTCTAGGGGAATCCCACTTTCATAATCCTATGGAGTATGTTTGTGAAAATGGTTGAGTTGAAAAAAAAAAGCACAATGAGTGGCAAGGGGTCTGTTAACTGGGTTACATTAATAAACATAATGAGACAAATTTGTGATTGCACCTGAAAATTCCAAGCCTGAAAAATAGAACACTACAACAAATCTAGGATAATCAAGGCTGATTGAACCCTTTCACTCCCAAGATCTCATCACTTAGTGATTCTCCTTGCTGTCTGTCATACACTTCTCATGATGTCACTTCAGAGAATTTTGAATTGGATCAACCAGTAATCTGCTCACTGAGATTTGTCCTCATTGTCATCACTTGTCTGCTTGATATTATTTAGATGTTGTAAGGAGAAATGGTCTTGGTCACCCATAAGGGTTGAAGGGCTAACGCTGATCACGTTGAGAAAATGATCAGACAAAAGGTCTCTTTTCCCAGAAAGGGAAAGGATGGATAGAAAAAGTAAAATCTACAGACTTCTTTAAGTTGCTGCTATAACTTTGTGAACAACTGGTAGTTATCATAAAAAATAAAAAAAATAAAAAATAAATAAATTTAATAAGTTCCACAACTATCTCATTCAATTATAAGATTAATTAAGATGCATTTTTAGGAAGAGAAAGTTATTTCAGGTTTGGTTAACAAGTCAGAGGGTCTTTTTCCTCTCAACTCTGCTATGAGAAATAAATGTTAATATAGAAATTTACTGTTCAATACCCTTCCTCGTCTACGGATGCGCTCATGGCAAGTCTCAGGAGAGACATCAAGATACAGGGTGGTGTGAGGAACTGGAACTGACTGTAAAGCTTTTTTCTTCAAGTCCTTGTAATATTCATAACCTATCACAAAATGAAATTTAAGATGTCAAAAATTATCAATCTCTGGTGATGCAATGATTAATGAAACAATTTTAATTGTATTCCACTTAAATTCAGGACCCAATTAAACACTGAATTACCACCTCTTCACTTTTTTCAAAAACCACTTGTAAATTTATGTTTGACCCAACTTTTTATCATGCTAAGTTACGATCTGCATGGTTTCATGGAAATCCATGCACGACAACATCAAAGTGGTCTGATTATGAACATGTACTGCCTAAAGCTGTGTTTCAATTATAAATAACACCTTTCAATCATTCCCTCTTAATGCCAGTTTAATATACTGTTTAGCTAATTAATCTAAACTATAGATCATGTACAGAAGGATTACCAGTTATTACAAGACCACAGATTAAAAACAATTTAAAATCTCATCAATTTCTTGTAGCTAGTTACACAAATGAGATTTAGCAACAGTTTGACTGCATTTGGATTGTGACATTCACAACCAATCAGCTTTGCTGTATACTATAGACATTATGCATAAATGGTGGACTTGATTAGTATTCTTTTGTATTCATGAAGATTAGCCCACCTGGCCAAGTCAGTATCTTTGAGAGACATTAAAACCACAACCCAAAGATGAGATAGTTGGGCTAATTTATATGAGTACAAAAGAATACAATTGAATGTACAATTTATACACTTATTATTAACCTGAGCTGATTCTACTTTAATTGAAGCTTAGAAAGGTAAAAGGAAAGTGGTAATAGAAATAGGTTTTCCTTGTATCTCTTCCATTTAAGAGAGTGACAGAAGAAGGGGGACACTTACTTGACACGGGGCACTTGTTTGATATTAAGGCCTAGGGGAGTGGGTGCTTAATCAGGGGAAGGCACTTGTTAGAGCATGGGTGCTTACTGGAGGAAAGTTATAACATTCTCCACATAAGGAGTGAGGCCTAAGAGACTTCATACCTTCTAGAGATATTGTCCCTTGTTGAAAATTCACGTCAGCAAATACTGTATCACTGAAAACTGATCTATCTAACAGCACTCCTTGGCCTGTAAAAAATATTGACATAATGAGATTTATCACATTCACATGTTAGTGAATTCAATTTCATGGCACATGTGAGACTGATGTGAGTGATTAAATGATAAACAAATACATTTATTGCCTGTGGAATAAAATATAAGTTTCACAGGGCATATTCAACCATAGTGTGAAGATTTTTTAGTCCATTCTTACACCTAAAAAAGCTTTTATATGCTGATAACTAAGGACCTTTTATTTGCTGCCTCTCTAGGCAACATGTTAACAACATTTAAATGAGAGATTCATCACATGCTCCAGTTAAAGGTAAGTATCTCCTGGCTTTCCTGAACAAGGGTTTAAGCTCCAAAGATATTTTAGAGTTCTGAAAAAGATCAGAATGTTTTCTTCTTACAAAATGGAGATCTATAACGATCCAATTTCTTTAATTTGTTAATAAATAGCAGTTCTCAAAAAAAAAATCAGGTAAAATTGCTCTGATAGCATAGAAAGTTTGACTGCACAGAAGCTACCCACCGGTTTGAAGGACATGTTTGGTTGCTGCAATGTAAGTCCTGAATCGTTGTTTGAAGATCCATAACTGTAGTTTCAAAGCATATCTCTTCGGATCCTTGTAGAACTTTTCCAGGTAAGGATTCTTCGTTGTGGGTTCCAAAAAGACGCGATAGTTGAGCTTTCTAGCTAACTGACAAGACAGAGTGGATTTGCCAACCCCGATGTTTCCTTCCACAATAACTAGTTGTGGTGCACATGTCGTCGATGTGTTACGTTCGTTCGACCTCAATCCAATCATTGCTGTGTTTAAAGCCGAATTTGACAGGAAAAACTTGCCGGACTGATATCTGCAGTGGAAACGAAAACAACGCCATAGTACTGTAGGAGACTGACACATCACAATTCAACTCTTGCCTTCAAGCTAAACTACTTGATATGAAACATCGCTCGCTTGATTTTGAAAAGCGCGCCCATAAGGATTCCATGCAGAGACTGACAGAGTTAAATTTCGCTTGATTGACGAACATCTATTAAATTCACAACCAGTTTGCTGTCTGCTGCAGTATTTTGAATTCGGTGCTGTGCTTTACCGAAAGAGACTGGATAAAAGATTCAAGATTTCACTCTCACCTTTTAACTGGCAGACTTCTCGTTCGAAAATAATTCCCGCCAACAATTCAGTCCCAAGAGACTTTGCGAGCTAAAAAAAGCGCGGAAAGTTTGAGTAGCGCTGTTTCTGTCACGTCGCGAGCCAGAGACAGTGGATGTTTGCAGAGAAACGTCGCTGAAATAGCCATAATTACCACGGTAGGTCTCGCAAATATAACAATCATTTGCTGCAATGAGTGTGCCGTCCAAGTTTTATGACTTTGCAGACGAGAGTGAAGCGCTACGTTTGTTTGCACAGCCAATAGTTTTATTGTGTCTTTTAATTTCTTTCATTATATTTTCGGAAGAAGATGATTACAAGTGTAAACTAGTGTCAATTACGTTTCTCATTTCGTTGTTTTTTTAAACGTGAGAATTAAACTGTATCAACAAAAGTTTACTTTAAGGAAAGTTTGAAGCACAAGCGTCACAAATTAGAAGGTCGTTAATCCAAATTGTTATTTTATTGAATTGTTGGCTGTTCCTGTTTACTCGAACTCTATTATAATTCTAAACAAAACTTTTATGGCTTGAGTGGGGAAAAAGGTGTAGACATGCGGAGTTTATTGTTGGATGATATTTTCCCGTAAAGTTCATCAGTAACTAAGCCTCCAATTCATTTACTTGACCAAGTTTTCCGGCCCTGGTGTTTTTTCAAACACATCAAATGGGTAAGAGGCAAGCTATTACAGGCTCGAGAATTTGTTTGGATAAGTGAATACTACTTTAGTGACTTATAAATTCTCATTCATTTTACAAATTTTGAACAGAAGTTGGTAGATAAATTGTGCCACTCAACTAACAAAACACAATAACTAAAATTGTTGATGGAAACTTTGAATTTATGATTTCAGCTTGTGTCTGAAGACGGGTAATATTTCTGCGATGAGTGTTGTGGATGGTTTCATGGAGGATGTCTTTTTGTATCAATATGTTAAAATTGCTTTGGTAAGTAACTGTAAATCTGTGTAACTATACTTCCAATATTTTGCCAGAAGCTCTAGTTTTTAGTGATTCAACAGAAGTTTTGTGGCTCTGGTGTAGTTTAAATGGATAAATTACTCAAAGGACTTGTCAAAGTGCTTTAATTGCATGTGTTACATGTAAATTTCTACTAGCAGTGTTCTCCAAAATATTATAACAAAAACCTTTATTTGTGTTCTGAGAAGTGTAACGAGATTGGTGGCTGCCTTTAATAATCAATTAGGCTAGCAGAGCTAGGCAGGCAAGTAAATTTATGTATTTAAAAGAAATAGTACACTGCTGGTTTGTGGGATGTCAAAACTTGTTACTTTCACACAAGAGACGGAAAAAAATAAAAGAAAAATACAGACTTAAACGAGGATGGAAAAAGTGATCAAATGTGGATGATTACAACTTGAAACTTTCAACTTATTGCATTATCTAGAAAGGTTAATATCATAATGTAAGCAGAATGGTGAAGCTAATCAAAATTAAAATGTGAAAAATAGCAGTACAATCGAATATCTTTTTTAGAACTCTCTGATGGGGATCTTCCTACATCAATACAACAATGATTAAAAAGATTATCATGAGAAAAATAATTTACTCTACATTACATATGTAAAATCTGACATAAACAAGATGTCAACTGCCAGACAAAACTCTATAAAGGGATAAATTTCTACATACAAAACTCTCTAGATGGTGATTCCTTGTGTTGTGTTTAAAAGATAAAAAAAGAAATGATGGCTGTATCTACAGATAACTAACAAACTAAAAGTGAAGGCTATATGTCAGATGTTACATGAACATGAAGGTCAGAAATAAATTTGGTTGGTGAGTTATCTATTGGTTTCACAGTTTTTTGTAAAGGTGCTTGAATTAGACCACCTTTCACTTTTCAAAATCTCTGGAATGTTTAGTCTTTTAGTGTTACAGAAGAATGTAGATGCAGCTCTGCTGCTAAGGGCAAAATAATTTGTTATGTCCATGCCATATGTTACACAGAGTATCCACATGGTTTTAGGTTTTCCACATGTATTCTTTACCAAGTGAACATAAGATTATCCTCACAACTTTTTTATTGCTAGGTTCTCTCTAGCACAAGGTTTTTTTCTTATGTCATATGACATCTACCAGGATGTCCAGTCCTTTCTATGTGAACGCCTGACACTTAACATAAATTCCTCTATGAAACAACGTGATTTCACTACTTAACATATAATTCAAATACTTGTTTAAATTAATTCATCTGGAGATGATCTCCTTAGACACAGAGGAAAATTGCTTGGCAGAGCCAAGTATTAATCAAGAGGTATCTTCTGATTCTACTTTGTTTGTTCCAGAGAGTCTGTTGGGTATTCTACTACACAAAATTTCTTGTCATGTTTAAAGGCAATTAGATCTTTGGGTGCTAAATGTCTTCTGGGTATAGTTTTCTTCAATTTCTCCAGGACCATTACTCTGAATCTATCCTCCATGTCATGAGTAAAGTTTATGTCAAAGTTGTGAACTGTTTGGCATTGCTGTCCAGTGGTGAGGCAATTAACAACAGTGTAACAATTAGCTATTCAGCAAAAGAAATAACAGAATACTGGAACAAGAAGAGCTCAAACATATATTATCTTCAAAAGCACATGGTTACAAAACAAAAGCTATGGGGGGGGGTACATACAGGATACTACACATGTCACCCAACATGTCACGAATATAGTGAGGTTTAAAATGAGATCCTAGAGTGGCAGCCAGGCTGAAGATAAGGAAAGAGTCTGCCAGCTAAGATCATAAGTGAGCAGGCTTAGAAAGAGATCTAGTTTCTTGATTTTGTTCTGGTCTTTTGTAACCCTGGTTGAAAAACAGCCTGCTACACCTGTTTCTCAGCTGGCAGCTGGCACATAGTGAAAAACTGTGGTAGTAAACTTAACACTAAGCACAACTTTTGCATCCCAATTTCTGCTATGGGAGGAGATGGCTTTCAATAAAAAATTCCTTGAAAGCATCAAATAACTAAAGGATGCTCTCTAAATTTCTCTTTGTCATGTAACACAAGACTGATGAAAGCTCTGAATATGGAGTATTTATAGCACTTTAACCTAAGCCATATTTGTACAATGTGTGACTGAGGCAGGTTCTGATGTTGTTATTTGAACAACAAGACAGACTTATAGCCACAAATAAATTTATTTATTCAGGGAAGTACAAGAAAAGAAAAGGGTGATTGCAAGCTAAAAGAAATAAATAACAAATAGCAAATCACTAACAAATAATTTACAATAAAATAATTAAAATAAAACAACCAGTAAAAGTATAATATATTGTCATGGCAATGCACTAAATTTAATAAACAAGACAATTTCAAAGTATTGCATGACAGAACAGTGATCATTGTGTGACACTTAATAAAATACTTATCCTCTTATCCAAACATATGACTATTGAATAGTGAGCTATTTTTAGAATTAAACATGAAATAACCGAAAACAAGTAAATACTGATAAAACAGTAGCTCAGAACAACATAATATTAAATAAAACTAATCTCAATAGCATTTTCATATTTTCCTTTTGACATAAAACTAGGAAAACTGGCAACATATTCTGTGACAGGACAACATCTGTGACAGGACAACATCTGTTCCTATTGGATAACACATAACTTTATTTTTTGTTCATTCACGTATCACGATGGTTTGTTCAGGCGATTAAGAAGAAGAAAAAAAGTAAAAAAGTAAGCATCGAAATACGGAACTGTAACAGACACTCAAAGAGCGACTTTGCAAGAGAGCCTTCTTTCCTTGCGTCAAAATTGTTGAAAACCTATTAAGGCAGTTTCACTTCTGCATTGTAACTGGAACATAGTTTTGTAGACATTCTAGAGGCATGCTGTGAGATTTGCGATTTTCCTAGATGGTAGGGGTTTTTTAATCAAAGGCTTTTGGAACTTGAACAACACTTTCAAGTTAAAAATAAATTAATTAAAAAACATGCTAATATCACAGAGGTTTCCAAAAAGAAAAGCAACTTAAATTGGAATTAAAACACACATCGCTTGTTATTAATAGAGTTATAAAACATTACTTTCATTCCATAAGTGGTTTGACATGAGTAATGATGACCTAAACAATGAAAACTACAATGAAATAACTGATTTCACCAATGAACTCAGCCTACTACAGTGTTGCATAACATGTTTAGTGAATGAAAGGTACAGGTTGATACAATGTTCTGAAAGCTGACTACACTCTCCACAAATTTTGAACATGAATCAACTAAGGATTCAAGCAAAGACTAGACAATTGGATTGAGATAAGTACATATGAACTGTATTATTCTTGAACTTAAACTCTAAGACGTAATAACAAAGTCAAATGTGACATACTAAATCCTTAGTCAAATAGGTCACCAACTTGCAGTTACAATGGAGTTACTTTCTGTGACCAAGAGGTCCTGAACTTGTAAGTGCAGGTCTTGACACTCTGAACTACTGAATTGAACTAACTGTACTTCTTTTAGAAGGAATCAAACAATAGCTGGAAATTCTTATGATTTTGAAGCTGTGACATACAGGAAATTTATGATGCACATCCTGTGTGTATGATGATTTGATTATCAATCAGAAATAGTTTCTGCAGAAGTAACTTTAAAACTATGACAAAAATGTCATGCATTTTGTGAGCCTGGCCACAAATGAAACTAGAAATTCAATGCCATTGTTCGTTCAGGTATGATTTAGTCCCATGTGATATGGGAGATTGATTCTGTAACTTGCAGTTGCATTGACAACCGAGTGGCCATTGATATTTGCTCGTCCTCTTTTCCAGTTGTGGGAGGCAAATTCATTAAACTTAAACTTTCTGTTCAGGTATGATTTAGTCTCGTGCGATATGAGATATTGATTCTGTAACTTG